GAATTGATGTATTACCATGTAATTGCTGTGTTATTAGTGAATTAACACGTTTAATATATGACCTTTTGTGGAATCAGGAGATATGTTGATTACATTAATTATTGTTTATCAATTTCGATGTAGTTTCTTTTTTGATTCAGAGAAATGTTGTTAACCTGATTGGCACTTGAAGCTACTATAATTTCTATTTGGAATTAAGTTTGTTTATATGGATAGGGAGGCTTTTAGCCTTTACTCTATATCTGTGGTATTGTATTAAATTCCATCACATTGGAGGAAATAGATAAAAAACTCTCTAAACCAAAAAAATCTTTAAATAAATCTCCTATAAATCTGAACCTCACACAAGAGCCTCTATCTTTGTAAAACAACCCAAACAATAGCCAGTTTTGACATATGGCATGCCTTCTATCCCTAACTTCTCTGTCTGTTCCTCTCCAAAAACAATGAGTAAAATAAGGAAGAGACTTCAGTGTAGACACAACAGTGCCGGTACCAGCTGGTAAAATGTCTGTTGCTGGCACATGTGCTACTAATAATTTACCATCTCTACACTGTATCTATCTGTCTGTCATCATAACTCAATCAGCCTCCAACAGCCAAGCTACAAAAACAGCAATGTCACCTCCACAAAAGCCACCTGGACAAAAAGTATTACCAAGTGATGTAATGTAAGCCCCTTGGGGGGCTAGTTATAACAACGCTTTTGTCTGCCTGGTTGACATATCATACCATGACTTACTACCAGGGACAGGCACTCCTGTCATACTGGTTCCCTTTGTCAATGAACTGAAGCATTTTTGTCCATATCTAATGCCAAAAGTTAGACTGACTTCATGATCAAAGGTTTATATTTTTTAATTTTCTAAAATATATATTATGAGGGTATCTTTGTCAGATGTGTGAAGAGTAAAGTATCATCATGCTTTACATTAAAAAGTAACATCCAACGGAACACACCACCAGTAAATATAATTCTAGTATAGAGCTTGAAAACAACTCTTAAATTTACTGATTTACTTCAATAAGCTTTAAACTATTAATATTTCATAATATTCATTTAAAATATAAAACAACGTATCACAAGAAAGGCAAATATGATATTTGAAGTATTTTATCCCCACAAGTTTCTAGATTTATGCTGGACATTTGAAGTGTTCCGTTTAAGTAAGGTGTAATTTGATAATTTGATATTGACTCATGAAAATTTTTCTCTGCCAAAGTATTGATCAAATTCTTTGATATGTTTTGAGTATGGTGAGATGTTCTTTCATGTTGGCCTCAGAAACAAGCACTTAGGTGAATTTGATTTGGAGATCATGTATTGGTATAAAACCAACAAAACCACAAACAAAAATAAAGGGAAATGTGTAGATTAGTAGGGTATTTTAAGATAAGAACATGTGTGTTGCATTACATACATAATTGATGGCAAAAGATGTGCTCCAGATAGCTCGCCTTTGAGTGCTTTGAAACTAACAAGGAAACGGAGGCTGTAACCAGTATCTTGTATAGACATAGTGTCAGGTGCTACTGTACATGTCTCAATTTTCAATTTTTATAACAGATAGGTAATTTATTTCACATTTTGCATGGTGTTGGGAGAGAAAAGGTTGTCATTGCAGGAGGTAGGGGGAATCCACAAGATAAATAGAATGACTGACTTTATGAAATTCTTATGAAGTGTAGGGATAATTGTGTTTGAGGATTGTAGGTGTACATGGTAGAGAAAGAGTGAAATAAAGTTGGGTGAATTTTGCTTCAAACAGGTTATTAAAACACTTAATAACTGTAACTTTTTTGTCTTTCGAGAAGATGATACATGAATGTGGAACCTCAGTAAATACTAGTTGCAATATACTGTTCGGCTGGAGAGATCTTTTCTTTAACTCGATTGGTTGAGTAGAAGACTATTAAACCAGAGCTAGGTGCTGGGTTTGAATCCAAGCAGAGGTTTTTAAGTATATAATGACCTTTTTTTTATAGTAGTATTACCTGATATATGTGCATTATACAAGTATACATTGATGACATACACAAACTTCTGGTAGATTGACATACCATATACAGCTGTTATGTATATTACATAATATGGTTAGATAAATCCTGTCAGAAAGACAAGAAAGTCCACAGAAGCCTTCTCCATATGGCTGTTAAAATATACATGTATGCATGTAATCTGTGTAAATATACATGTATACATGTAATCTGTTAAAATATACATGTATACATGCAATCCCTTTTTACAGAAAACCCTAATCACATATTGTTGTACAACCTATTTTTGTTTAGTTTATATATAAAAACACTAAACATTGTAATGAAATGTATTCATTACCTTCGGTTTAACAACATTCATACGGTCTATCTCAGATTTTCTTCCACTGCCTTCCATAATTCTACTCATCATCCTATAGTTCATTTGATATCAAGTTCAAGGCTGTGTACAAAACAATACAAGATTAATGATCTTTTGTCTTGATTTATTTTCTTGAACTGTCAATTTACCAATGGAGTACTGATCTACCTCAATTACATGGGATTCTTATACTTTACCACAGGAATCATGTGGAATATAGAGGATAATGAATATTAAGAGTTTTAATGAATCATAGACATTCACTTCCAAAACCTGTTTACTTTTCCTATTTCGTACAGTGGTAGATGAATGTTTTGTCAGATTCGATAAATGGACACCTTTGTTACCTTCTTTTCCAAGAACAGTGAACATTAATATGATTATTTGTTTATGGACTGTATTGAAGCTTAATTCACGAGCAAAAGGAAAAAAAAGATGAAAAAAAAATTTTGAAACTGGTTGAATTTCTGGTTTACAGTATCTTTGTTAAATTTCATGAATCTTTCAACAGACTATATATACATACTCATTTGAAAATAATTTGCCCTTCTGTTGGTAGATTTGCATCAAGTTTAGAACAAAATAGTTTACAATTCTGTGGAAAAAACCTTAGCAGTTCTTTGGATTTCACATCTAAATTCATCACTTTTCTGTTGTCTTATAACAAAGCAAGGAATTTATTTTCTGTGGACATTATCATACATCTTATTGATTGAATAAGTTGCTTTAATCTTTTGATTATGTTTCCATTTCTTTATAATAACAAGTCTACTTTCTTTTACCTTCATCAGTTACTTTGATGTATTGAGGGCTTTTTCTGATGTTAAATACAAAGAGTTTGTTCAAAATTAGGGGACTGTGGCAGCTCATGGTATTTCCTTGTTTTGAAGTTGAATATTTAGAGATCAACTTGTACATAGTGTCAATCTTAATGATATTTTTTATTTTTTAGAATCAAGACATGTTAATGATGGTTACTGTTTTCTTCAAGCACACATTTATTGGTTCTTTTTAGTGCAAATGTACCATGCCATCTGTATATCCAGTAGAGAGAAGTGTTGACTAATGGTAGTTCAGTATTTTTATCACCCAGCGGTACCAATAGATTGCAAGTCTGTTGAACACATATTTCTGTAAAAAGCATTTTTATTTATCAGTTTGTTTGCACATGGAAACACAGCTAACGTCAGACAAATGATGGCTCCAAACAGCTTATATGAGATGGGAGATGATCATAACATGTGCACTGTTCACAACCTGCACTGGTATAATGCAGTGATAGCTGGTATTATCAGAAAGCTGTAGAGGCATAGATACAACCCAACATTTAGTAGATAGTAGTTATACTCATACCGAAGAGAACTCCTTTTTCTTGTAGAAATTATATTTTCATTTTAGCTGTGTGAATTTCATATTTGATAATAACTGTTTATATTTACAATATTAAACCTGGAACTAGAAGTTTATATCACATCTCATATGTGTGTTCTGTCTTTATTGATATTGAACTAACAGAAAAGATTTGGTAGGTAAGATATTATCAAATAAATGTTTAGTTTTTGTCTCACGTGAGACCCAGTTGCAAAGGTAGACAAAGGCATTGCTCTTCTGCCAGTCACATCAACATTTGTATTAATCTCAAAATTGTTCACTTATATTACAAGTACTATCATCACAAAACCTGCTTGATAGTAATCTATAAGCAATGCAAGAGCATCTAGGTACATGTTTTTAACGAAAGTTTTAATATATTAATTGGACTTTGTTAATGTATTGTGCTATGTTAAAAGATTTGCTTTGAAGTCCACAAAGAGCTTTATATCTCTGTAAGAACATATTTATAGAATCCTCCAAACACAAATTTCAGATTTGGAATTCCAACTTAAGTTTATCATTCACTAAGTTTTCTGTTCCAACTTTGTGTTGGGCTTCATTTCGCTCGGTGTACATAGGCTGTTAAAACCAGCCCTGTAATATACATGTTATCAGTGTATGGCCGTTCTAACACATTTTTCAGATTTTGAATTTTTATCTACAGTTTACCGTTGATTAGACTTCATTAATTTATTGCCCCCATGTTAAAGATTTCCTGTCAGTTTGTTTAATCCTGATGATGTGGAGAAGTGGTGACTAATGAGACATAATGATATGTAATTCATATTGTGGAATATATAAAAAGAAATCACCATTTATTGATTGTTATTCTTACATTTCCTTAAATAGACATGTATTTACACTGTGTATTATTATATAGACCTGACCAGCGGTGGATGCATGATATCGATTTTACCAGACCAGGGCACATGACCTTTTCATATGGTAGATTATGGGCTTTAAAACAGAATTGCAAATATGGGCTCGGGCATTTTTCATCATTGTTGCCAGCAAAAAGTGTCGTTACATGTTGTCACATCATTAACAATGTGTATTAACCCATGTTGGCTTGAATTTCCAGCCAATTTATCATCCAGTAAAAAAAATTGCATTGGGGCATTTGATATATATTAGAGTTATCCCCCTTGTAATTTGGGCAGATATGGTAATGGATGTTGAAAAGATGACACCACTCATTAACTTGAACTATTGATGATAGGTAATGTGATCAGTTGTTTAATCAATGTATGTTGTTTGTGTATTTCAGGACTCGGACAAGCTACAAGAGGAAGTCAACAAAGTATACAGGTCACTTAAGTATATTCGGGCCGTAGTAGACAATGAAAAGCTACAGGTTATCCCAAGCACAGCGACTGTTGTCCTGGAAACAGTCATGGATGTATTCACTCTCCTCAACAACTTCTTCCTCACAAAAGACAGGTAACATATGAAAGTCTTCACATTTCAAAGCAAGCATTATAGTAATTTAGTAACTCCTCACATGGAGATGCAGAGAGAATATTTCATGGCAGCCTTACATCTATATATTAGTCTATCAATGCAGAAAAAATCAGCATGATAAAGAGAAAACCTTTAACAGTTTACAATCTACTTATAAAGTGTCATCTGCCTATCATGCATGTCATGTTTACTTTTGATATATTTATATATTTATTGTGTATTCATTGTGGTATGTTTCTGTAGTTCCACAATGATGTCACGGCACAACAAGGTCTGCCAGTGTTTGGCACGCTTTATACAATGGGCGGACGACATTTTACTCAATGGGAAGAAGGTGCTTAACAAGGAGGCAGCACATGAAGTCATCACTGCTTTGTCAGATGGTGTTGAGGTAGGTAATGAGGAGTGTCACACAAGGTCATCACTGCTTTGTCAGATGGTGTCGAGGTAGGTAATGAGGAGTGTCACACAAGGTCATCAGTGCTTTGTCAGATGGTGTTGAGGTAGGTAATGAGGAGGGTCACACAACAAGATCATCAGTGCTTTGTCAGATGGTGTTGAGGTAGGTAATGAGGAGTGTCACACAAGGTCATCAGTGCTTTGTCAGATGGTGTTGAGGTAGGTAATGAGGAGTGTCACACAAGGTCATCAGTGCTTTGTCAGATGGTGTTGAGGTAGGTAATGAGGAGTGTCACACAAGGTCATCAGTGCTTTGTCAGATGGTGTTGAGGTAGGTAATGAGGAGGGGCAGTGTCATCACAGCACCTATAGATATCAGATGAAAGGAAGCAAGCTTGAGAAGGGGTTAGGGAAAGGGGAAATTGAGAGCAACTTCGTCAGTAATAAGTTTAAGGTAGGGAATTTACTATAAAGATAATATTATCTGAGTCACACTATGATTAGAAGTTGCATATCCTTATTTTTAGTTCTCTGTCAATTATGGTTTTAGAGGATGCTGGATTTTCTTACGGAAGCCTGTTTTTTTTTAAATAGGAGTTTTATGTTAATATATTATTTAAAAAAAATCTTTCTGAGACATTTTGAATGTAATTCTTTTTGAGCAAAATATCTAGGTTCAAGGACATGCCTACTAACATTCCCTATATTTAAATATTGGTTAATTCTTGTCTCTAGGAGCTTAAGCAGATCAGCCTGGACAAACTACATGACAAGAAGTTAAACCCTCGAGTTACTGACCAGATCTATGGTTCTCTAGCAGACAGGTAAAGGCAACCAATTATTTTTACCTTTACTGTGTGTGATAACTAGATACCTTCCGTAGGAGTCACCACCCTTAGTGATGAGTAGGGTCAGAATAGTGTTATCATAATGAATGGTATGGAAGAGCATTTAAAATCTCCTCCATGTTGTTTGATTGAAAATGGAGTAAAGTTATCTGTTACAAATGCCTGTGGTAGAATTTGCATATCCTTTTTAAGGCAAGAAAAATTCTTGTTAACATTCCAGAGATAAACCATCAATCAAACTTGCATATTCTGGTTTAGATAACTTCCAATATATTTTTTTATGATTTGACACAGCAACAAGAGGTCATCACTTCCTGAGATACCTCTGACTCCAAGGGAAAAGGAGATCCTGGAACACACCAGTGAGATGGGTATATATGATAACACGCCTTTCACAACTTCACGCTCCAGTGACAGCATCAGTAGCAATCACCGTGACCTGATGATGAGAAAAGAAGTATCTCCGCCCCCAAAACCCCCACTTCCCAAAGATCAGGCTGTGATACATAGGTAAGTCACAGGAAGATTTAGATCCCATGGTTGGATGCAGATTAAGAAAAAAAAAAAAACCATGATTTTTATCATGAAAAATTTGATTGAAGTATTTTTCAACTGATGTAAATAAAAAATGAATGATTTGAATTACTGAAATATTGATGTTTTCTATTTATAGATTGGTCCAACAGCGGTCACATGAGAGCCTGCCCCCTGGTGGCGACGGTGATGTCTCTCCACCTCCACTACCAAATAAAGAAAACAGAAGATCTCTTACTAACACGTTAGAAATCCTATCTGGAATGCCAAATCCATTGGGCCATGTGAGTCCAAACCAATCTCCACATACAAGTGTGATTTACACAAACACACCCTCAGAACTCTTATCCAGTTTGGGGCATACTACCCTCAGTAACCAGTCAGATCAGAGCATATCCCCTCTCAGCCGGTCACCAGGGAGCAGTATTGGGTCTGGTCTGAACCGTTCATCAGAGGACCTACTGGACTCTACGAGCCAAAATAGCAGTCGTACAAATAGCTTTTCCAGGACTTCTTCAGAAGCTAGGATAGGCAGTTCCTTTAGTTCAAGTACTATGAGTAAAAGTTCATCACAATCAGATGGAACTGTAGATCAGATTAATCAGTTAACAAAAGAAATTAATCGCCTGACATCTGATATTGCAATTATGACCAAAAAGAATGGAAACCAGGGTGAAAGTAGTGAAGGGCAGGAACCACCGACATTGCCCAAGAAATTAAGTCGTCTGCCCTCCCAATATGATAACATGAATGAGAGCGCCCTTCATATGACGACTGGCTCTGCAGGCAGCAGTCGGGTTGTTTCTTATGAGGCACGGATGTCATCATCTTCAACAAGTAGTTCCCAGTCATTTGCAGGGTTTCAGATGCAGAAGTCCAACACTATATCTTTTACACAGCGTACCAGCTCCCAGGAGACATACTCTAGCTCGGAAACATTCTCTAGTGCCAGTCACTCTAGTCTGGAGAGTCTACCTAAACCACCACCGCTACCACCGAAGAAACGTCACAGTATGTTTCAAATTCATTTACTTAAACTTAACGGCTAAGTTGAAAGAACTAAAATGGGACTAAACTGTTACAAACCAAAGAATAATTATGTATGTCTGCCTTATTCAAATTATTAAACTATGCTTTCAATTTCTCTCCAAAATAACTTCGAGCACTTTTGCTAAAATTTATCATATGAACCATGTCACTAACACCAAAGATTGTCGAGTGGTGATTATGGTAAGTTTGATACCAGTCAATTGAAATGCATTTAAAGTTCTAAGACTGTAAAGCAACGACTTTTTGGGGGTTTTTGGGTTTTTGTTTTTTTTTTTTTGTAATTCATGTGTTAACTTTGTGTTGCAGTACAAGCCTACATGCAGACATTCGGGAATTATACCCAACCCAGTGCAATAACAGACTGTGTATACTCGCGCCACTCAATCAACTTTTACGAGTCACAGTGGCATAACCACCAGATGGAGTTACAGCCACAGATGTATCCACGCTCAAATACGATCAGTGTCATCTCTGACCTCAGCTCCGACTCTTCCTTCAGTGGAAGTGCCCCAAACAGTCCAATGATCCCTCCCCTCCCCACAAAACTCAGGGTAAGTCAGATCTTCACAATCCAATGATCCTTCCCCTTCTCATAAAACGAAACCTTTAACCATATATTGACCCCTCCCCTCAGAATTTGGATTAAGGTCAACCTTCAGCAGTGATCAGTCCCCTTCTCACAAAACAAAACCTTCAACAATATATTGACCCCTCCCCTCAGAATTTGGATTACTGTCAACCTTCAGCAATGATCACTCCCCTTCTGACAAAATTTTGGGTAATTCCAACCTTTTGTAATACAATGATACCTCCCCTTACTGCAAAACTTAGGGTAAAGTAAAACAAAAATCAACAATCCAATGAGATCCCCCCACTTCCCACCTTTCTCCACACACCAAAATGATATTTAAAAAATATAGACAATAGGTCCCTTTCCAGAAAAGACAAGAATAAGTTAGATAGTTACCATCCATAAGTATTCATCCTTAAAACACATACAGAGCAAAATTCTAAATCTCATTTTGGTTTGTATTTGTTTTTCTGTTTTCAAGAAAGTAATATCAATGAAGTCCTGTCACACATCGAGTATTGAATATATAGCACATGCATCAGTCAGCTGCAATGTCTTGAACATGTTTTGATTATTCTATACAGGATAATATTAACCGTGATAGTCAGCTGTCCACAAATTCCAGCCAATCCGACTTCTCTGCCCAAGAGTTTCCAGTGGAAGTATCACGAGAGAAGGCTGCCAGTTTGATAGAGGGACCAACACAAGGATCTTCCTCGGATGTGTAAGTAAATCACAGTAAAATACATTTTTATCTTTCAGCTATTGTCTAATCTATACCATGTTAATGGGGTAAGGTTTTGCTTTAACCAGAGTTTGAATTAAAAGTGGCCAGTTTAGATAGGAGATGATACATCACCCATTATTGTGTTTGCAATAACAGATTTTTTGATTTTACATCTTAAAAAGATATATTTTATATTAGATAGGTTACTGTTTGTGTGGAGATCATTAAAATCCTAGGAATATTATTTATCAAAACATTCAATTAAGTCTTTGTGTTATTTCAATGTGTAAAAGTGTACAAGAAAGGTCTTATTTTTTTTGCTTATAAAGAAAGTAAATGTATATTGCCTTTGTTTAAAAAAATATGGGTAAGTCAATTGGTAAGTCAATTAGTATTTATATTACTGTATGTAAAGTATATAAAGTAATTGTGTTGAGATGCTTTGAAAAACTTGTGTTTCCATAGTGAGCCAAAACGGTCATCAGCCCCTCCAGGACAGATACCAACCAAGGATATTTTGGCTTTAGCCTCGGTTGACCTCCCAACCATCACTACTACAAAACCTGAGATCCAGCGGGATGCAGACTCTGACTTCGCAGAGATCAACCCACTTGATGATGTTGACGTGTCTGATCAGCTTATCAAGAAAAAAGAAGTGAGAGAAAATAAAGGTTTTATTATGTAAAACTATACGAGCTATGCTGTGAAAACCCCAAACAGTTGATAGAATTTTCATTCCTTGTTTTATATTGTGGCATTTCAGTTACTTACTATCTGTTTTATTTTTATTCACAAAAATGCAAGATCGACATCATAGTAGCTGATTGTGATATCCAGAATATCTGGATTGATGTGTTCAATGTATCGATGGACATGTATACCTTTGTTTGTGAAGACGATAAGATTTTTTCTGTGAAGTTTATGATCAGACAAATTTTACAAAAAAAAGGAGACTGCATGGAATTTGACTTTTTCAAACCTTTTTCAGACATATTTCTGCAGACTGCTTAGTTCATTAATGAACGTGTTATAATACATAAATTTTCTTTGTTGATAGAAGGAGGATGGCCCAGAAATACGTGGTGGGTCAGTAGATGCTTTAGTTGTCCATGCCTCAGCTGCTGGCAAGTCAGGTATGTGTCTCACATCCTGTTATAAAAAGCTTTGAGCCTATAGCGACTACAGATACACAACAGAAATATTTACCAATTTCACTTAATTTGCTGAAATTACATGTTTCTGTTTTGATCCTCAACTTTTAGAATAGATTGTAAAACACTTGTCAGATACTTGTTGTAAGCTCCAGTGTAAATAGTTTCCCTCTCCACTCCAGTGATGTTTTATAGACCATCCCTGATAAATCTCATGAAAAACTACCCCAGAAAACTCCCTGTAGACTTCTTCACACAATGCAACTAGACTGCCATAGACAAATTAACTATAGACTGACTTAGACACAATTCCTGTTGAGTGACCCAGACATATTTTCTGGAGATTTACCTAGATATATTTCTCTTAAACTGATCCAGACACATTTCCTGTAGACTGACCCAGACACATATTCTGCAGGCTAAATACAGACATATCACCTTCAGACTGACACAGACACATGTCATTTAGGCTGACACAGACACATGTCATTTAGGCTGACCCAGACACATTTCTGGCGACTGGCCTAGACATATCTCCTGTATGCTGATCCAGACACATTTCTGTAGATTGACCCAGACACATCTCATGTAGACTGAGCCAGACACATATCCTGCAGACTAAATACAGACATATCACCTTCAGACTGACACAGACACATGTCATTTAGGCTGACCCAGAAACATTTCTGGAAACTGATCCAGACACATTTCCTGTAGACTGACCCAGACACATCTCATGTAGACTGATCCGGACACATTTCTGTAGACTGACCCAGACACACTTCTGTAGACTGACCCAGGCACATTTCTGTAGACTGACCCAGGCAAATCTTCGTGTAGACTGTTAGACAAGTCTCCTGTGAATTGTTCCAGACAATGTTTTCTTTAGATGACCTGCGTCTGATGGCACCTTGTTGCCCCTAATTAGCTCACATTCCTCTGTCTGTCAATGTGGGTGTTGACCAGTTGATCCATGTAACATCGAACATTTCATCTCTCATGTAACGACAGCTGTTTAATCCCTTTAGAAGTAACCTAGTTAATTTATCATATTTACTTAATGGTCACTAACTTGATCACCTTAAACTGTCCAACCATAACTTTAGATTAGTCCAGTTATTCCTACATTTACCAGTAACTATTCAACTGGTGTCATTCAATTTCTGTAATAACTGCAGTGTTAGAGAAGACACAATTATCCGTCAGTTAATTGACTATTTTAATTGGTGATGTTTTAATTTGTCTCTTTTTTCTTATATATTGCTGTAATATATTGCAACCTGAATGCTTACATTTAGAAAGTTATATTCTGGGTTAAGGGTTTGTATGGCTATGTTATATATCTGTACCAGGACATCTGTTATATGCTACTGCTGTCCTTTAAATCCTAGATGATTCTTTATAACTTCTGCTTTCATTAGTTACCTGGAAAAATCACAAAAGTTTGAGCATTTAAGCATTTATTGATATTTTATCTACATGCTGATTATGTATCGCTTTGAATAAATTGAAAAATGATTGATGTAGTAAATAGACTACTCCTTAACTCATCGCTTTTAGTTTCAACCAAAACTTCTCAGTAACTGACCTCTGTTATAGATCAGTTCCTGGTGTACCATCCCTCCTTGGAGTTCTTTTCCTTAAAAGATTGTTTACTTGTAGTAAGAAATGTCAAACAGATTATCTTGTCACAAAAACAACTTATCATTTGTCAAGTAGTGCAAGATGAGCAATATTAAGGCCCAATGATTCTTTATTTAGAATATTTTTATTAGTTTTTATTGGTAATCAAGAGTTACATAATGATAAACGTACGCCTTCACTAATATAAATGTTCAATTTCATCATTAGTAATTCATTGCAATTATTACTAATAATTTAATCAAAACATGAATAACATTTCACACTTATGCTTAAGCTTGTAGAACCATATCGAAAATCATCAGATACCTGAACAGCATCAGGAATAAAGTCGTCAAGATGTAGGGATATTTTAAAAGTTTTTTGTGTCGTGGATAGATCAATGAAAATGTCTAGGACATATCATTTAGTAAAAAAAAATGTATAAACTATGTACACAGGACAGTTTAATGCTGAACTGTCCTTCACTAAGGATATAAGATTTATTTGTTATAGGTTCTGTCATAAAGTCTGGTTGATCTTGATTTAGGTCATAGCAGTAACAAGTATGACTAAATTTCAGCACAGTAATGATGCCAAAATTAACATAGAAATACTTAGTATTAAAACTTTTGGAAACATGGAAATGTGTTTTGAATCTTGATTTAGAAATCCGTTAATTTTGTTTCTTAACATTTCCCCTCTAAGGGTCGGACACTGATTTGGCTTCATGTAATCAGGAAGGTGAGTGGTTAGAAAGTGTCATGTTACATATCTATTTGGCCAATCACATTTGTTGTACCATCGTGTGTCATAAATGTTTCCCCACTTAAACTCACTTTGAAACTCGCTTTAATCATTAAGATACATACTCATAGTGTTGAATTGTTCAGTCCTTTCAGTTCTTTTCATTTCTGATCAAAATATACATATTTACATGATTTTGTATATATATATTTTTTTGTCAGCGTTTTAGTGTTTTAATGAAAATTTAAGCAAGTAGAAGTGATATTAGGTGGGGAAACATTCTATGTGTATATATTCCTCTAGTGCAAACATTGAACTCAGTGTGCATGTTTGTATCATTAAAATGTGTGTTCCTATGTGTACATATAGCGCGATCATTCAAGCACATTTGTATATATGTATGTGTGTCTCTTTATGTACACATAGCATTTGTCTTTCCTTGTCTTACACATTTATCACACACAAGCACACATTTTAATCACATATTCTCGTAATCGCATGATATTAATATATTGTTGAAAAGTTTCTTACAGCTACAATTAGTATTATGAAAATACTTCATACATGTGTTTTTTCTCTCCTGTAATAGTTTTTTCTATTTATATCATAGTTTATGTATATTTTACTCTAAACCTTTGAACTTTTTAACATTTGAACTTTTAAGGATTACCTTTTCCAAAGCCTCTTGTGTATGATCGCACTTTGATGCCTGATGTATTTGAGAAATTTGGGGTTGTGTAGTAAGGGTCCTGATGACTATTATAATTCCCATCTAAAAAGTTCAGTCAGTCATTCAGTAGTCAGTATTTCAAAACTAAATTGGATATAAACATGAATGATATTCCATACGGTTACAAAAACGTTTTGCAAAAAGATTGGATTTGCCTATTTACATCAAACTTTTCTTACTGGATTGATATAGCAAGGTAACCTGATTATATTCAGATTTGTCAAAGTTCTATTTATAAATCCAGACTTGATTATTGATAATGTTTCCTTTTTATGTCACTATAATTGATATGGGAGTTATTTGCCCTTTCTATATAATGTTGAAACGATATTAGAATGATTTGCTTTTTATTAAAAACAGTGTATTGGATATGTAAAGATTGATTTTGTGCCCGTTGTCTCGCGTTAAAAAGCCTGCTGCATGGACCTGGTGATGGCTATAGAGAGTAGAAAATCTATCATGTATATAGAAACTTTCAACTCTAGGTGGTTCGAGATATTTTGATATTTATATATATTTATATGCATGTGTTGGATGTTTTTCCTGCTGGTAATTAGCGGTCAGTCTGGTCTTTGTTACTTCTATATTACACACTGTGTCTATAATCATCTGGATAAAAATGATACTGTTTATTTACAAAATTGTTAGATAACGTTAAACTTTCCTGTTAACATATTTCTTACACTTTGTAGACAAAACAAAAAATATTTATTAATCAAAATGTATCAATATTTTCTCCAATTAACCTGATTTAGGGAGAGAAGTGCATTTAGTAGTGTTTTTATATAAACATCATACCTATGCAGGGACATTGGTATATATTGGTGCAAGGTATCAATGTATGGTATATGGTGCTTGCGGACTCTGAAATATATTAAAGTCATTTCAAACTAAGCATGTCTTTTATAGATGTGACAGCATAAAGTCTACATTTGAATTTAAACAATATTAACAAAATATTTTGACAGAGTTGTGTGCTCTTTTACAGAATTTATGTACCAAGAGGCATTCCTGACTACCTACCGGACATTCATCTTACCCCGTGATCTCATTGACAAAGTCCTATACAGATTCAACAAGTTTCAGCGAGCTGGGGACAACAAAAAGAAGCGACTTGCACGCAATGGGTTTTCCCTACTTGTCCGAATCATCGATGAACTTAGGTGGGTGGTAATTTTCAAGATTTTAACAGAATTTTTCATAAGCTTATGAATGAATGTTTTGTACTGTTAGTCATTTACAAGAATACTATGTGATGGATGATATTAATGAAATTACCTTCTCTGACAGTCATGCAGAGTTAGAAGACCAGATCATACAGAAAATGATGGAACTGGTGTTTGAACTCCTGTGTCAGGGTAACCTGATGCTGGCCCGCATCCTCAGGAAGAAGATCATTGAAAAGTGTGAGGCAAAGAAAGCTCACAGTGAGGTCGCTCAGACCATGAACATCACTTCCTCCATATCTCTGGCCTCTAGGTAGGTATCATCTTTAAGGTGAGGTTACTAGATCATGAACATCATCTCTCCTATATCTTTGGCCTCTAGGTAGGTACATTTATCACCGTCAAGGAGAGGTCACTCACATCATAAACATTATCTCCTTTATGTCTCTTACTCGTAGGTAGATATGTGCATCATCATCAAGGGGAGATCACTCAGGCTGTTAACATCACCTCCTTTATATCTCTTACTACTATGTAGATATGTGTAACATCATCAAGGGGAGATCACTCAGGCTGTTAACATCACCTCCTTTATATCTCTTACTACTATGTAGATATGTATATCATCATCAAGCGGAGATCACTCAGGCTGTTAACATCACGTCCTTTATATCTCTTACTACTAGGTAGATATGTGTATCATCATCAAGGGGAGATCACTCAGGCTGTTAACATCACCTTTTGCATCAATGGGAGTTCACTCAGCTCATGAACATCTCTTCAGCTATATATCAGGATTCAAGATACATACTTATCGTCCAGTGCTATCACTGAATCTTAAGCATGAACTCAGATTACACCAGAAACAATCCCATTTCGTTTTGCTTCCCTAACTGTTTCGACATGTGGACAAAAATGCTATCTACTGCGTAATTAGACCTTATGGTACAACATATAGTTATGTACTTCAACTTTCCTTTTTCTTGTCGGAGATTTCTCACACTTCCCTTGTAAGAATGTGCCTGTCGTGATCAGTTTTCCTGAAGTTATTGAATGTTCTACAGTCTAGGTGATATTCTAAAATTGTTTCATGTTGATTGTGGCAGCCTTTATCTGACCTGTATTATTGCCCTTGTTTCAGCCCTGCTGATCTTCTACATTTGAAGTCACATGATATTGCAGAACAGATGACACTAATGGATGCAGAGTTGTTCCAGAAAATTGAGGTGAATTGAGTGGCAATATGATACTTTTAAAAATCTTTTTAACTAAAATAATGAAATGAGAGTCACATAGCACCTTTTCTTTCTGCTCTTTGTGAGAATGATCACTGCAAAGTCAAATTTTTCATAGCTTCATTTTTGTGGTGATCTGATTACAATCAATTAAGCAGTTGATTAATTGTGTCACAGTTAACCCAGAAGTCTGCACAAAGTTTAGCATAGTCTTTAAATAAATTACTGAGTTCTGTATCAGCATAAACAGAAGTATCACATCACATAGTAAAGCACCGCTTCAAAATACACACATATCATATGTAATAATAAGGTAAACATTTACTTGTATACATGATGGAAATATTTCAAAACTTGGACGGACCAGTTATGATGAAGACAGAATTATTTGTCAGTTGTACATAGTTGTAATTATCCTTCAATAAACCCAAGGGACCAAAACATTTTTTCTTAATGAAAGTGGGGGCTGGGCTTATTACAAGACAATGAATTAAAACTCGCTTGAAATTTTACGGTACAACATTTTATATATGGTGGGGTTAATACCAAGCATGGGCTTCCCACTGGGTAAAGTAAATTACCTGCACGTTTTTAAGGTAGACTGTGACTATTTCACCAGTGAAGGGATATTTATAAATATGTTCTTACAATATTATAGCATATGATGTTATACAAGTCAGAGGATACAACTTGTTTAAGTGTTGGGAATTCAGTTCAGATAAAAGGTCAATATATAGGACAAATGTCGCTGTATCAAGGTAATAACATACATCATCACCTTATACTTCATATGGAAAGCAAAGATTCATTCCTATATGCTGGATAATTTGAAAAAAGAAAGTAAGAGCTATGCAGAACTTAATCAAGATTTCATTCTCTGTCTAGATTCCAGAAGTTCTTCTGTGGGCCCGAGAGCAGTCGGAGGAACTGAGTCCAAACTTGACCGAGTTCACAGAACATTTCAATAAAGTCTCCTACTGGTCAGTAACCCATTTCTTTGACACTATAATGATACAGACCAATTGAATATAGCAAAAATATCAAATAAGTTTTTCTTACAGATAATTCAACAGCTGATCGATAATTCTTAAGTGACAAATTGCTACAAAGCAATATTCCATTTATTGCTTATTCAAAAATTTATGTTTTCAAACTAAAGCTAATTATATTAAAAAACAAAAAATGTTTTACATCCTTAATTACTGAAAACTTCTTAACTTGCTGAAAATCTGGTAGGATTATCATGTCAGACCAGCAAATATATTATAACACTATGATTTTTGTTTCAGGTGTAGGACACAAATTCTCATTCAGGAGGAAGCAAAGGAACGGGAAAAGTATTTAATCAAATTTATAAAAATCATGAGGGTAAGTTGTATATGTCAAATTTCAGTGACATAAACTGTCCTAATATTTTACAACTATGTTGAAAAAATATACTTTCTTTAAGAAAACCTTTTTGAGTAACTTTTTTCCAGTGTAATTGAAGGATTTTAAAAAGACCTTTAGCAACCAATTGAGTCTTGAGTTAGCTAGGTGATGTGGCCTTCTATATACGCCGTTAACCTTGATATTTACAGCACCTGCGAAAGCTGAGTAATTTTAATTCCTACCTGGCCATCCTGTCAGCTGTAGATTCTGCACCCATACGACGTTTGGAGTGGCAGAGACAGAATCTGGAGGTATAAACTATGTGATATCTTAGGAAGCACTTCTAGAGATTTTAATCAAAATAGATCAATCCTTTGTAGGAGAAACAGAATAATGTGCTTATTACTGAGTATTTTCAAGCAATCAAGGTACACATACTATGATTTGATAGTTTGAAAATGTTAACTTTTTGATAAATGATCATGTAATTGGTGTAAATACAAGCAAAGCAAAGTGAAAATAAAACAAAAACAGTCGGTGAGATGTAACTCTTTTACTGAGTAATAATGGCTCTTTACAGATCACACATAAGTTGGTGTTGTCTATCACACATTTCATACACTTTTACAGGCCCTGAAAGAGTTTTGCCAGCTCATTGACAGTTCTGCATCATTCCGTGCCTACCGACAGGCTTTAAGTGAAACAGAGCCCCCATGTATACCTTACATGTAAGCATAATCGTCATCTCAAAGCTACAGAAGTGTCAGACTCTGGTCTGTGCTTTAGGTGTGCTGATAATATTCATGTTTATAATTTTATTTGGTGAATGTCGAGATGCATGAATGACTACAAGATGTATCTGTATATATATAAACTCCAAGGGCTTTTGACCACCTTTTGGAGACCATAGGATGATAGACCACTTATGGAAGTACTGGAATATTTTGTGATTTTAAAGTATCTAAAATTATTTGAATAATCATTTTTCTCAGGGGATTTCTATTCATTGATTTCATACATCCACAAACTGTTCAAACAAGTATAGATTTTTTTAAACCTATTAATATCCACAAAATCAGGTGTCCATGTGACAATATTTTGTTGAAAAGCAAAAGCAATTGAGCCCCACCCACCTCCCCCCAAAAAAATTAATATCAGATTAATTTCAGGGTTTATGTTTCATCATCAATGTGTATAACAGTTTAACACACTAAAATTTTTTAAATATCATGAACATTGCCCAAGGCTATATACAATTAGATAAACTAATCATATTCATATGATGTTTGTTATACTTGCTACAGTGGACTGATCCTACAGGACTTGACGTTTATAAACATCGGAAACCAAGACTTCCTACCTGACAAAAATGTTAACTTTGCCAAACGTTGGCAGCAGTTCAACATCCTTGATAGCATGAGGAGGTTCAAGAAATGGTAAATATCTGCTATGATGGAATGTTAACTTAGTTACAATTGATAAGGATTAGACAATGGTTTCTATCAATAATTTCTACACTTGATAATATATATATTCAAGTTGAAATCAGACTTACATGGTTAGCTATCATCTGTGACCATTGTAATGATAAAAATTAGATTTAAGCTTTTTTCTTCATTACAGTAATTATGAATGCAAGAGGAATGAAAAAATCATGGCGGTGTTCAATAACTTTGAGGATTATCTCAGTGAAGAAAGTCTCTGGCAGATATCGGAAAAAATCAAACCCAGAACTGTGAGGAAAAAGACTGAACCAGTGGAACCTTGATAAAACATTGGAAAGATCCATTCTGCTCTAGCTGAAAGTAGAAAATATCACGTGATGTAACCTTACCTCTCTGGAAGTGGGAAAATCACAGGATGTGATCTAACCTTTAGCTGGAATTGAGAAAAATCTTAGTGGTGACCTTTCAACCTCTAACTGGAAGTAGGAAATATCATTGCAGATGACTTTTCAGCTTCTGACTGGAGGTGGGAAATATCATAGTGTTGACATTTTAACCTCTAGCTTGAAGTGAAAAATATGGAATGTGATCTTTCAACTTCAAAGCCTGAAGAGGAAAAATATGATAAGATATGAAATGTGTAAAGGTATGATTTTGTATTAAGAAACTATTATTTAAATTGTTGAAAGTGGGAAAAGTACTGAAAGGTTGACGATATGTATACATGGCTGTTTTAAACCAAGGGGAATAACCCTTGTAGACCAGTAGCACAGTATACAATATATGGTAGTTTTTATTTTTAGAGTGTTGGTCGGTGCTATGCTTTTAGATAAGGATTATACCATGGTAGTTTAAATCTCAATAGACAAGGCCTTAGGAGATATTGTCAGTTGACAATACACTATCAAACAAGTCCATTTCAAATAGAATAAAGGAGTAGTAGGCCAATCAGATGCCTCAAGTTTTTAACCAGATACAGATGGTTTTCTTATTCAAATCTGATAATAGATTAAATCATCCTGCAAAGTGTTGTGTCAGCTTTGTTTTTCATCAGGTATTCGTATTAACTAAAATTGGGTAGTCTCTCAGCCTTGTTATACATTGGGTTGTCTCTCAGCTCAACCTTGTATTACACAGGGTTATATGAGTCTTGTATTACTCGGGGTTGTATGAGCTTGTATTACACAGGGTTGTAACTTCTTTGTCTTACAAAGGAGCTTTGTATAACATAGGTTTGTAACATCTTTGTCTTACAAAGAAGCTTTGTATTACACAGGGTTGTAACATCTTTGTCTTACAAAGGAGCTTTGTATTACACAGGGTTGTAACATCTTTGTCTTACAAAGGAGCTTTGTAAGAGTTGTATATCAGGCCTGTATTACATGGGTGATATCAACTTTGTTTACATAGTGCTGTGCCAGCCTTGTCACATATATAGGATTGGTTATTTGCATCTGCTTTCAATATCAGACAAGATTGTGTCAATGGTAAGCTTCATGCAATTTTGCCAAGTTTTTTAGTGAAAAAAGAGCATGCATTTCTATGTTTGCTACTTTCTAATTGAAACCTATTAATTGCAGAAAATTTCAGTGATAAGTCTGTGTTCATTTAGTGATAATATATGTCAAAATGCAGACCTGGATGATGTTTCTTTTGACTTTATGTGTTGTACTGGAATAAGGAAAGCATGTTGGAGTCCCTCATTTTGGTTATGTTTGGTAGCATTTAAAATGCAGAAAATTGGGAAAATTCTGAATTGTGATAGAGGATGTTTTTTGGTCTACTTTTATTGATACTGCCCGGGTATTTAGAATTATAGATTTATTGGATAGGGCCACTAATATGCAAATTAGTTATACCAACATTTATCACAGGGTAGATATTGTATATGCAAATGATTAACATATGTACTAGTCTGTAGTGACTACTAGGGCAGGCATTAGGCTGTAAAAGATGATGTCAGTATAATTATATCATGAAACAAAATCATTTCATTCATAACAATATCATATTTATTCCAATTCATTGTTTATGTCCTATCTTTCTGTTAATCTTCATATACATGATATGGACTACCTTTGCATACTTTTACTTTCTGTTTACATATATAAAGTACTACTATCTTAATTATCATTCTTAAAATTGTACACAATTCAGAAATGTGATTTTTACTGGGTGATGCATGCTATAAGCACTTGCTTTGTATGTCATTTGGATCATTTTGTAGTTGTGATGAAGTGCCAAGACAATAAGGCTTGTTTCGATGGATATGTTTGGCGATGTACTTACAAGTCTGATATAATCATTAGTATTATAGACATAGTAGTGTTTATAACATGATTTATCTCGATGTTTACAGTCACCTGACCTGTACAATATATTACACGACATGTGTGTGCCTGACATTTTGTCCTGTTGGCAAAAGAATGATTGAAACTTCGTGAAAAATGACTAAACCAAGAGTATTTATTTCATTCATGACTAGAATATGGAGAGGTGGAAATATTTGAGTATGCTAGGGGGTAACTGATGTATGATAAAAGTTGGTGGATTTGGTATGGTGTAGTGCGATGTGTGTAGATGTTGCTTCTGTAAATAATGGATATAAGTAGTAGACTGATGGATGTAGGATGTTACAAGTTTAATTTATTGAAATATAGATGTTTGCACAAAGTGCATTTTTGTGCTAATGACTGTACACATAGTATGCATTATACTACAGTACTAATGATATTGGATCTGTTACTGTTTGCATAACATTCAAAGTCAACAATGTACACCTGGAATGTCAGCAATGTACAACTGGAATGTCAGCAATGTACACCTGGAATGTCAGCAATGTACACCTGGAGTGTCAATAATGTACCAATTAAATGTCAACAATGTACATATGAAGTGTGAACAATATATCAAACGTAAACAAAGTTTACACCAATTGTGAACAATGTTTACGTCATGTCTCAACAATGTACACCTCCAATATCAACAATGTACACCTCCAATATCAACAATGTACACCTCCAATATCAACAATGTACACCTCCAATATCAACAATGTACACCTCCAATATCAACAATATACTTACTTAGTAGCAGTGTGTATTGCAAATGCAAACTTTTAACACTCAGGTGTCACCAGTGTATCAGATTATGTCAACAGTGTACACTTCCATTATTACCAATGTAAACTTATACCAGTAGTTACAGCTGTATGTAGTCATGTAACTAGTGTGTACAGCCATACTGAGTGTGTTCAGCCAATTTAAGCTATATTGTGCTTATGATGATGGTGATACACTTGTATCAAACAGTTATGTATATATAGGAGCACTTGTTAGTGTATGCGCACCACAATGTATCATGTATTGTTTATTTATTTTATATGTTATGCATATAGATATGTAATTATTATGAATTAAGGGACAGTTGTAATACTTCATTACCATTAGTTTTAATGTTGCTATGATATAGATAGGGAGCTGACTTTATTTTTACAAGTGACAGCCCAGCATGACAATGACCAGATTTTATCTGTGTAAAGGATTGATTGACAAACATGAGGAAATACCTGTATTTACTTTGTAAGCTTATATGACAGACATTATTCAATATCTGTATTAATCATCATCACTGTGAAACTCGGTTTTATAAGCATGCAAGATTCGGTTCTGCTTTTAAATAAAGGTGACCGAAAAAGACAAACATTATTGTAGGAAGTTTTGTGTAAAATATGAGTTACTAGGATAACTTGATAGAGAATCTACATGTATCTGCATGTCACATGCTGGCAAGGTACTGTCAGGCCAAGGTAGTGAAGGCCACTCGTACATACACATTTGTCTTGTAAGGTGATAGCTGACTATGTTCAAAAGATGTACGAAAGGTCAGTATATATTTACTGGTAGGTTTAGCTTTTCAGAGTGATGTCAAGTAGAAGTATTTGTGAGTAGATTCCTTAGATTATGTTCTTTTCATATTCATCATGCAAAGAAACTATCAAAATATTATACCATAAAAACTCTTGTAAGTTGTCAAGTGACATCCTGTCAGATAAAGAGCTGAAAGAAAAATTAAACTTTTAATTGGTTCATATCATTTATAATTTGAACAACACTTAATTTGATTTTTTAAACAGAAAAACACTACAAATTACAACAGTTTTTATGGTGATGGATGTTTGTTATGACAAGGTAATAATGCAGTTTTAATCTACAATTGTTGTGATAGAAATAATGTATTATGCAGTATCATTTTACATGCATTATGAATTTGATAATTTTGTAATTAACTAGTGAATGTCAAAAGTTGTTACATATTATTATTCCGTTGGTCAAAAGAATGATTGTGCCTGTGTGAACGTACATCCAATGACATTTATACAGCATTTACACACTGAAGTTATTCTTTCTGGAAGATCCTTATCAAACTTACAGAAAACATCTTGTACACATCAACTTAAACTTAGATAATCAATCACTTTGGCTTGGGTTTTTATGGTATTGTGTAAATAAGATCATCTTCGGTTTTCTTGTTTTTATCACAGATTGTTTTTCATCAAAAAGTGTTTCTACCAGTGGAATTATTGTCATAAATTTCAAACAAAACTATGTTGTCACTAATTGTTGAGGGAAAAATATTCGTGAGGAAGGACCTCAGGTTGGCATTGTTTTGTCAAAGATGAGTGGTAGAAAATATAGCAAATGAAAGTTGTTAGGGGAAAGTAATTAAAGGGAGACAATTTCATTTTTAAAAATGATTGAAATGAAGATATTATGCAATGATGAGTACAGAAAAGATAAAGGTCTTATGTGATGTCATCAATGATTACACAGAATGGATATCTCTATAAAAAAAAATTGTATAACAAACAGCTGAATTCTGTATATTGTTGCTTTTAACCTACCCTAAGACCATGACTTAAAGGAGAAGCAAGATGGATGTTACAGTGTAGAATGGTTGGTAGAGGATGTGTTGTTCTGATAAATACCAGAGTTTTACCCATGACATTTTCCAAATTATATCATTTGTACTTTCTCTATAGGTGATTATTTTGGCCAGCTAGAGAAAACACATATATTGACCAAAGACAAGTAGAAAATTATTATGGGAAAAAAAGTGATGGCTATAATTGTAAGAGAATTGTTTGGAAAATCAATGGTTTTCAAAGATGTGCAGGTAATAGCTTTAGTCGGTGGGAGATTGCTTTAGTCAAACAGACGATTGCTTTGGATAGACAATTATTTTCTACCAGTAACTGTAATGATGAAAATATTTTTGTACAGGTGACTCGTTCATATAATATAACACATGTAAGGAAAGGCTCTCCATATTTTGAAATAGATTTTAAATTGACTTCATACTTCTTTTCATACAGAATTTGACATGACTTCGTAATTACATTTTCCTTTGTTGGGTTTGTACAATATTTGTGAGACTTGAGAGTGATTACTTGGAGTGTTGAGTCCAGTCCACCACTGAAGAGTTACTACCATGAGAGTAATGCCTAGTTAAACAAACAACTGGACAGTTACAACATTGATGGTGACTCTGAGTCCAGTTCACAACTGGAAAGTAAATACTGTAGGCGTGACTCCCAAGTCCAGCCTGTGACTTGAGAATGACTTCTATGGGTGTAACTCCTAGTCCAGTCAATGACTGGAGAGTAACTGCTGCAGACTGACTTCTAGCCCAGTCCATGACTGTCTATGTTCATGTTCATGAGTGTCCACTGAGGGTGTGACTTTTAGTCCAATCAATAGCAAAGATTGACTACTGTAGATGTGACTTTTAGTCCAGCCAATGACTGGATAATGACTACTGTCAGTGTGGCTTTTAGTACAGCCAATGACTGTAGATTGGCTACCGTGGGTGTGACTTTTAGTCCAGCCAATGACTGGAGATTGACCACTTTGGTTGTGACTTCTAGTCCAGCCAATGACTGTGGAGTAACCAAGGATAAGTGAAAGGAATACTTTTATGTTGAAATTTTTCTGATGAGTGAGTACTTAAATTGTTTTGAGGTTTAAATACAACTTATAGACTATATTATTATGTTGTGATAGAGATCTACTGAAAAGTGGTTTAGTGCCCTTACATACAATCATTACTACATGCTCATACGTATTAGATTCCAGCATCTTACCTTCACACCTCATCATTATCATCAGTCACCATGGAAAACTTGAGTACTTATTATATATCTTTTTACATCATCATGACTTCCCACACACGGTAAAACATTTAGTAACAGGAATGGTCTGTTACTTTGTGTCACAGTATCTGCTTCATGGCTTTTTGGGCATTACTAGTATGATTTGTGAGCTTAGCACATGCTATTTTCACTTTATGATTATACGTGTATTCTGCTGTCAAATTTCAGTTCTCATGACTAGTGTGTTACTACACTTTTATTGAAATTACAATTAAAGCAAGGAAATTCAAACAGGACTAAAGACGATCCAAACAAATTGGTTCTCTATTGATAAAACCTTGGATTTTGAGGATCAGAGAAGTGCATTACATTGGACATCAAATAAAAAGAAATTGTAATGACATCTGTTCTTAAAGTAGATAATTTGCTGTTTGATTGCAAGTTTAGATGATTTTAAACATTAAAAAATAGCAAAGAAACAACATGCTGAAAATGGTAAATAATTGGAAGTGTGGTTCTACTTGATGGCCATTTTGTCAGCCGATCCATATTCAGTTTTTCTTAATCTCCCAAATATGACAGACTAACAAATTAGCCCAGTATTGATCGTTTCCTTGATGTGCCATGAGTTGTTATACAATTCAAGTTTTAAGAAAGTGCTTTTAATTTTTGTTTTGTTAATATGATGTGTTTTTGTTGAATACAGCTCCCACTTTGTGTAATTGTTGAGTTTACAAGGCTGTGAACAAAATATTCAGTTTTGAAAGTTAGATAGAAATTCAGTGTATCGTGTGAGAAGTTATTTATCATATTGGAATTTTATTTCAGTAGAATTTTTTTTACGAACTCGTCTCACTTTATCTCAACTTTGACCAAAGATTATTTTCTTATTTTTGTTTTTTTATAAATGAATAATGAAATTGAGTTGTAATCTTACCTTAAGCCTACAAAAAAAAAAGGATTTTTTTCTTAATATCAAATACATATAAAAATCATTAATATTATGTTTCATCAAATTGAGTTAAAATCTTAAGAATTCTGAGTCTTGTAATATATTCAACAGAACCATACAGTTCTATGCTGTTGATGTAATATAAAAGTCATTGGTTGAATTACTGTTAAAAATGGGCTGTTATATAATAGGATGACAAAGCCATTCAGATTGGTACTGTAGTAACTGGGGCAATCTAGATGGAGAAACTACTTATAACTTCATGCAAACAGTCAGATAATTTAAGCTACTTGTTGTAGTATCACATCCTATAATGTTTGAAATGTACACATTACTGGTAGTTTTGTTGATACTTGTGTGTCACCAATGTAAATTGTTTATTTGTAGGTTTTACATATGTTACAATGGTAAAGGTATGATACCGGTCCGTCTTTACCGTTTATTTATTTATATCCTATGTTAATGAGTTACCAGTATATACATATATGTATATTATCCCGATGTAATTAGTAAGAACTTGTGAGTGTATTTAAAAGTATTTTAATGATTATTTGAAACTTTTGTGTAAATTTCTTTGAGTATTTGTACTATATGTCATTATCACCCAATGATTATTTAAAAAACCTAATGTGACATTTTTGTATGTGTTTATACACAAATGTATTATTTATACCCTTCTAGACTGTGACAGTGTTACTATAAATACCCATGTGTATATCATGTATATCCGTGTCAGTTTTCCAGTGTTTCAATGGTGCATACATAAGTTTATGTTCTAGTGAATGGCTGATGATCCCATCGTCTATCAATGTGATATTTTTCCTTCCTCTCTCTCTCTCTCTCTCTCCCTGTCACGTGTTGTGTGTCCTCATCACATAATTTTCTCATCACTGAATTTAAGCTGTACCAAAACATACAGAAACGACATAAATAAAACAGTCAATACACTTTTCAACTTTGTTTGTCATTTTTAGGTCACTTGGTGACCTATTGCGATCACCTTTGTCCAGTTTCCATAAACAATTTAACATTTTAACAGGAATTGGTAATGGGTTGGGGAGGGAAGGGAAGCTACAGTTTTGTGTTAGGTCCATTCCTCCTTCCATTATTTTATTCATTCTGACCTTTGACCTACATCAAAGAAAAAAGTTGTCTCCTACTGTACTTGTCACTGCCACTTCATACTAGGGGTATGGATTCACTTTGGTAAGGCAGTAATTATGTATCAAAAGTCACTCTCACCTACAGTTTGGCCTTGACATCAAAGCAAAAGTTTGTCAAGCTATAATTTTACATTCAATAGGGACTTCATTTCATAGAATTTTCTTGCTACTTATTTTTTACAATCTTCACAATTGCATGTGGTGGACCTAAAGGCCTGATTTACTATTTCTGCACCTTATTTCGACATTTCTTTCCATCAATTTTGTTTTTCTTCAGCCGTCTCTTGGTTTCAAAATTTAGGCACTTGGCATCACTAACGAATCCTGGAAGAAAGAAACAGCTGTCGGATGCAGTTTAAATCATTAATTGACTTCACTGCATCTAATTCACTTTTTTTTATTAACGTACCATTCACTTGTGTCTCTTTTGTAAAATCTTACTGTTATTTTGGAGAAATTCTACATTGAACATTCTCATATTTCATCTATAGGTTCCTGTTGGTCTCTAGTTATGCAAATTTGATGTTTCCATGCACCTGGTTCTGACCTATACTTCACATAGTTCAGGGTTTCGAAAGGCTCAAACCAAGTAGTCTGAAACAAAAATTCTCCCAGAATGGACACAAAAAAAATACAGAATGCCAAAAAACATTAATATAAGTTTGCAAGTACTTCTTTCTTAATTCTCTCTGGATAAAATAGCTTGACGTTCATGTATATGCTGAATTGAAATTGATAAAAATATTGTTTAATGAAGTAGAATGCAAGATACACAGCAAGCTCTGTAGCTCTTTTAGGGAGGTCCCTAAACTAATACTTACTAAATAGTAGTAGCGCCATCTGTATTGCATCTTTATAGTTAATATTGTTAAAATTTGTTGTCAATTATGGTAAATGCTAATCTATATAAAGCGACAAATTTACTTAAGTGTCCTAAACAATTGTTACTATTTTCCTTTTCTACCTTATTGTATTTTCTATTTTTAGGTCATCTGACCAGAAGGGTCAGGAAGACCTATAAAAATAATGTTTTGTCTGTTGTCCTCCACTGTCCTCTGTGGGTAAACTTTCCATTCAAATGTTTATTTCTCAATAACCAAAAGGCCCTGGGTTCTGATATTGGGCCTGTAGCATGATAGTGTGGAGGGTTGCAAAGTTTGTTAGCATAAATGACCTTGACTTACTTTCAAGGTCACAGGGGTCAATATGTTAAAATCTTTAAAGGGCTTCTTCGCAATCCAGAAGGCCCACAGTGCTCATATTAGGTCCATTACATGATGGGATTAAGGGCTACTAAGTTTGTTAGTACAACCTTAACTGAATTTTGGGTTACTGGGGTCAAATATGTTAAGATCTTCTAACAACCTCTTCCCATTAACCAAAAGGCTTAGGGGAACTGATATTGATCCTGTGGCATGCTGGGATGAAGGGTTAAAATTTTGTTCACTTGATTGGCATCTTCTCTTTTTGAATGTCACAGGGGTCAAATGTGTTAAAATCTTCAAATGGTCCAGGCTGTTGATATTGGTTCTTTAAGTGGATGAAGGACTACCAATTCGTTCAAATAATTGACCTTGACCTATATTCAAGATCCCTTTGGTTAAGTGAGTTGATATCTGAGAATTTATTTTTCAACAAGCAAATAGGGTTCAGAGTAATACCATTTGTGTAGTAGTATGTATTAAGAATATGATTTCAAGTTTGAAGAAAATTTTTTTATGAATCAACATTGTCTTCTTTTTAAGGTGTAGATTGAGCAAGTTATTTAAGGCCTAATTGGCCTATTTCATATATAGGTCTTCGTAGTCAGGTGACCGTTAAGACATATGTGCCTCTTGTTATCTATTAAATATTCTAATAAAAGAAATTTCCAACCAAATCCCATTTTTGGCCATGTAACCTTGACCCTGACCATGTTGGCTGATTTCTCACTTGTTTTACTAGTATACCACTGAATCCCAATTTCGCTTGTTTAACAACCAGATTACTCCATTTTCCCTCCCTTTTCTGTCTTCCATCTGGCTCTGGTATTGCGCTCTATTTCGAGTTTCTTCCCCGATAGTTCAGGCTCCATCATAGCTCTGTCTGCCTTGGGCTACTCAGTTTAATAAATGCGTTTCAATTCAATTTCTATCCTGTACACAGGAACATTTCGCCGCAATTTTAACCTTTTCATCCTTTCTTCAAAAGTGCGAAAGAAAATGGGTGAATATTGATTTTTTAAACTGATATCTTTACGTTTTCAACATTAAGCGAAATTGAACAGGTTTATGCGGGTGCGACAAAGAAACTGTGAAGTCGTCTGTTGATGTTATCTGAATCGTGACCATTTCTGTAACTGTAACAGTTATTGTAATATGTATCTTCGATTCTCAAATACGAGCACGAGAGTCGGAACTTCAATTAATTTTGGATATTAATAGTGACTGTTCTTGTGTCATGCATACCGATTTGAAGCTTAACAGGCGTATTTCTCCCTATCAACGCCACTTGGTATAAATGTTGACTACACAAGTCATACCTTGGCTACATTTTCGCACTCATTTCAGACAGTCAGTGATTAGTAGAATGAAATAGTTTCTCTATTCAAAACTATTTATGTAAAGTCAACCACATCCTTTGCACGCTCGAGTTTCATCAAATACAAAACAGACAACATTTAGGTTTGAATATCCTTTACTGGTTGTGAAGGTCCGACTTTTCTGGGGTCCATAACTGGAGGGTATCTGGACAGGATCAGATTAGGGACTGTAACAAAATGAGGTCCATTACCAAATGGCTTGTCAAATATGTCGGCTCGTTAAATATTGTTTTGCTAAAGAACAGCACAGTGATATTGTTCAACTGCAATTTATGTAAAGGTGTATGCTACCCGTAATTAATTTATAATTTAAAAAGATAATGTAGTTTTAAGAATAGATTGGTGCCGTTTTCTATATTATCAAAGATTTCACATATTTGGCCAGATTTGTGAATACCAGTAGCTGGACCGCTGAATGGGGTGGCTGAATGGCGAAACTAATCTATTAAATGATAACACTTCAGCTATCACGGACTATAAACCGCCAGACTTACCTATCCCAGTGGCGGGACCCCCGGGTGGGGTATGACTGAATCGTGAAGCTTTCTGGGCCTGGACCTCGGGTAAGAGGCTTGGGTTTCGATAGCTAATTCGGGAGGTGGTAGTCTCTGTATACACGACGGCGGGGGCCTTGCCTACGTCATAAAAACGGTGTCATGTATAATACGACATTTAGTAGCAATACTAAGCAAATGTCACCTGCATACAAATTGTTCTTTCTCAACCTCTAAAAGGCGAGACTTATATAGACCTGCCTCGATTTAATCAGAGTTTTAATTAGTAAAGACGGGAACATTTAGGACTGTGTACATTGCAATGCAAATTTCTGTGTTATTTTACGTCTAGTTGTTGTCTTGTTCGAGCTTTCCTCGTATAACTAATAGCGAAACCAAAACCCATCTGTTCGGCTAAACTACTGAAATGGTTGTGGATAAATCTATTAATTGGCAAGACGTTATGGCGGTTCAAATTCAGAAGCAGTCTCCTGTGTTTCCGACGATGACGGACAAATCCTGAAAGAACCAGGACTTGTTACAGTCTATGCCTTCAATTTTAATTCTAACACAATTTGATTTTTTTTTTCAAAGTGCGTTGTTGACTTGGTCCAGTTTTTGAGGTGAATTGGAAAAAATGCATTGAGCTTGTCCCAATAAAGCGTTTTAATCGTTTTTTTTTTTAAATTCAAAGTGCGTAATTTTCTCGAAAATGGTTGTAAATTCATTCCTTTAATGTTTATATTTACCTATTTCGTTGACGTGCCGTATGAAGGGTCCACAGCTGAAGTTTACCCACCCTGGAACAAGTCATAATTTCACCGGTTAAGCCAAAATCAGTAACACTATTGTCGCAAAGTCACCTGGTTGTGTTAGATCAACCAGATATTGGTCATATCAAGACCGGCTTAGATAATTTATAAAATGCTTCATCTGTAATTTCTATTTTTAAGGGTTATTTTTTTTATCTAATGTAGACAAATGGTCAAACGTAACATCAAATTATATAAATACATGTGTGATAATTATACAAGAAAATTGGTTGCTAACAGAAAATTATCCAGTTTATGCAGTATAAAGTTGGTCTATAAAGGTCCTGTTATATGTATGTGGATTGTAATACAGGCCTAGTCGAAACTAGTTGAAATAATGTCAGAAGGTCTGGGCTTATTTCATAAACGAACACTGATAAAATTGTCAACGTCACTTTGATATTTAGTTACCTCGTATTAAACAGGCACTTCCGGCCTTGTTGTGTGAATATCCATATCATCTCAATTTTCCAACATTATGTTGTTAAAAAAAATTAACGACAAATCAGTTTACAATATTCGTTGGAAGAAGTTCCCGAAACAAAAGAACTACTGCTGTTGATCGCATGGTACAAATCCCCAACAGAATCTGTAGATGCATATCATAAGTACTGACCGTGATTGATGTATTGAGGTATAAAAATGGAGGGTACATACTTAAGTGATCTGCCATGGCGGGTATCCTCTTTGCTATCTTGTTGAAGTCGGGATGCCAAATGCCATACGACTGGGAAAAAACATCACAACAGCATTCATATTACTGTATAGACCTTACATCACACCTCAAACTCTCTTAATCTGATGATAATTACAGAGCTTAATATGGTGATAACTACAGAGCCTTATATGGTGATAACTACAGAGCTTAATGTGATGATAATTACAAAGCTTAATATGGTGATAACTACAGAACCTTGTATGGTGATAACAAGAGTTTAATGTGATGGTAATTACAGAGATCATTTCAGAGCTTAATATGGTGATAACTACAGAGCCTTATATGGTGATAACAAGAGCTAAATGTGATAATTACAGAGCTTAATATGGTTATAACTACAGAGCTTGATGTGATGATAATTACAGAGCTTAATATGGTGATAACTACAGAACCTTGTATGGTGATAACAAGAGCTTAATGTGATGGTAATTACAGAGCTTAATATGGTTATAACTACAGAGCTTAATATGGTTATAACTACAGAGCTTGATGTGATGATAATTACAGAGCTTAATATGGTTATAACTACAGAGCTTGATGTGATGATAATTACAGAGCTTAATATGGTGATAGCTACAGAAACTTGTATGGTGATAACAAGAGCTTAATGTGATGATAATTACAGAAATCATTTCAGAGCTTAATATGTTGATAACTACAGAGCTTAATATGTTGATAACTACAGAGCTTAATGTGATGATAATTACAGAGCTTAATGTGATGATAATTACAGAGCTTAATATGTTGATAACTACAGAGCTTAATGTGATGATAATTACAGAGCTTAATATGTTGATAACTACAGAGCTTAATGTGATAATTACAGAACTTAATGTGATGATAATTACAGAGCTTAATGTGATAATTACAAAGCTTAATGTGATGATAATTACAGAGCTTAATGTGATAATTACAAAGCTTAATGTGATGATAATTACAGAGCTTAATGTGATGATAATTACAGAGCTTAATATGTTGATAACTACAGAGCTTAATGTGATGATAATTACAGAGCTTAATGTGATGATAATTACAGAGCTTAATATGTTGATAACTACAGAGCTTAATGTGATGATAATTACAGAGCTTAATATGTTGATAACTACATAGCTTAATGTGATAATTACAGAACTTAATGTGATGATAATTACAGAGCTTAATGTGATAATTACAAAGCTTAATGTGATGATAATTACAGAGCTTAATGTGATAATTACAAAGCTTAATGTGATGATAATTACAGAGCTTAATGTGATGATAATTACAGAGCTTAATATGGTGGTAAATACAGAGCTTTACGCGATGATAATTACAGTGCGCAATATGGTGATAATAACAGGGCATGGGAGTATTTCCTAATCGATTTAATTAAATAAATAAAGCTGGCCAAGAAAAGCAATTTTCGAAAAGGGATACGTGTTACAACTAACATACCGCACGGGTACCATGAACAAGTCACCACCATCGAAAACCACTGATAGGACTTCAGGGTATTGTACATAAAGGAATAAGATATCACATACACGTGTATGAAATGACGTAGGCAGCATTAAGCGGCGCTTCTTTATGAAATTGTAGAGGAATAGATGTTACTTTTTAACTAACCGGCTTTTCCTGACTAATGAGTTGGTATCTCAGGCCCGGGGGGTGAGGGTTGGCTACACGTGTAGGAGACAGGATTCTGGGGAGGTACCGTGGTTTAGTTGTCTCGAAACCACTATAATCAGACAGGGTTGTGGTGCGTGGTTTTCGCGTTCGCTTCGTGAAGACATTTGCCATTATCTCACAGCTATATATCACTAGTGTATCAATATACAAATCCCTTGTTTCCTAGGATTGTCTCAAAAGTCCGAGCCCAGCACGATATACCTCACATCCAGCGAGTTACATAAATCCCTTGTTTCCTAGGATTGTCTCAAAAGTCCCAGCCCAGCACCATATACCTCACATCCAGCGAGTTACATAAATCCCTTGTTTCCTAGGATTGTCTCAAAAGTACCAGCCCAGCACGATATACCTCACAGCCAGCGAGTTACATCATTACTCGTATATTAAAATGTAGCTATGAACAGTGTTGAGCTACAGTAACTATGATATGACGCAAAAATTGTGTGACGTCATAAACAGTATCGTAGTGTGACGTCACATTTTCCAACAACATGAAACTAGTTTGTACAAAAGACTCACAATATATTATCCCCTTTCAATACAAATTTTAACATTATTAAGCCCCATCCTACAGCTGTTTCGTCCTTTTGGGACACGTTAGTGCTGCTAAAGTTTGTGTTAAATGCTAGGTGATATCGATCGGAGGCATTCCGTTATGGCGATTAATAATACATTAAGCAGTGAAATAACATAAGTATAGACATGTTACTTGTTAGACTATATTTTACGATCAAAATACACAACACAGCCCGAGGTGACTATTCTAGGTTCAATGCTAATTGAACATACCCGTTGTTTATTCCACTTGCCCTTACTTGAAGCGATGTCCTAAATGAAATACAGCTCAGGTTATTATAGTGGGAATATATACACGTACAACAGGTAAGTACAACTGCTACAGGTATAACGGCTGTAATTACAGTTCTTTATGGATTAAGACAGACAATCTTTACAGTCAACAGGGTCACAGTGAGAGTCGCCGATGTGTGTCCGGGCTTGAAAGTTCTATTAGAATTTCACCAGTAGCTAAGGAATTAAATCCTAAACCGCGCATGCGTGCTGTTTTACGTTGCCACATGGTATTAAGATTGACCCTCGGGTATAGTATCAGAAAAAAAGTATTAGCGGTGTTTTTCACCCAATCTGTCCGGTTCATCTGAATCAGGTAAGTTACGTTTTTTAAATGTTCACTTTTAACTAATTTAAGACTTTATTGATTACGATATACAATAATATCTATTCTTTTTTTATTAATCTAATATTGAAGGTGGTAGATATTAGCTGTCAACACTGTGTCACATTATCTCCCGACAGAAGTCTTATTTGCGTTTCAGTAACTAGTTTGAAACAAACATAATTTGTTCATGCTATTTGCGTTTAATCTGCATTCACGTTCGTTACGCCAAAACCTCTATAGTCTGTGACTTTGCATTTACTACGTTCTGATTTTCATAATACGTTGTTCACACTAACTACTTAATTCCCACGTTTGATAATTTATAAATATATTTTTTACAATGAAATATGTCATTCAGGTCAAGCCATGTATGAACAAGGCAACACATTAACACCATTGCACTTCAACAGATAGAATTAGTATACAATCTTATCGTCCGGACTTCGATACAGATCAGCGATCTCACATAGATATGTAGGTAAATATACTATATATATTGGATCTTTCACGTCCATTCATGACCACAGAGGTCCTGGCACAGCTCTTCAGTGTTAATACACGAATTTTCCTCAACAAGGGTAAAAGAAATGAATTTATAATTAAATTAAGTTTCAGAATTGAGTTGCATAGTGTGACTTGAATGGACAGGAAACATAGAAAGATGACTCGAACAAGGGACATGGGGAAGTTTGGAAAGTGAGCAACCTTACCAAGTACGATATAGGGAGTCAGACGCAATCAACTCACTGTTATGTGTTGGAGAGGGTTGGATTACAGATGATGTGGGGGTGAGGTTTGGGGGGATGGGGTGGGGGGCAATGACTTCAGTACATAAGTTTAAGAAAACTCCCGGCATATTCAGTAATCACTGACGAAATATCTACATGAGACTATAAAACACCCAACCCTGGAGTTTAGAAAGGAAATCTTAATGTTACTGACGGAAACCTCAACATAAGGTCATTAAACGTCCAGAGGTTTTTGTTAAAGAAACCTTTACAAACTCTCTGATCGCTGATGTTTGGTTTAGAGTCAACAGATTTTAACCCCGCCCTCATTACATACAGTCATTGTCCAACTGTAACCGATGGTAAATGATAGAAATTAAAATTGATGGAAACACTAACAGTGGTAGGTTTGTCACAAACTACAGGAAACCATTGATTTATAGTATCAAACTAATGGACCTGACAGGGGGTGTATGACCGATCCCGGGTATCACAGAGACACTCCGGAATTCAACGCCTCCACATTTATCTCTGTAAGACAAATATTGATCCATAAATTGGCACTTTGATAAGACCTCCTAATGCTATCCCCAGTTCTACACATAAATCTTCAGATCTATGATATTTACTGAACAAATCCGATCAGACACGATCAAATAATAGGCCTATTATAAGATGTACTATTTAAATAGAATATAAGTTTTCGTTTTTATATTTTGGTTTTGAGTTGTGAAGGAACACTTCAGGAGCGCTTCTGTTATTGAAAAGGAAATGAGTGTATACAAAACCTGAAATCGATCTCCTTTTGTCGGGGTCATGTTAAACTATAACGACAGATACGCCAAGTTGTAGATGGCCTTTCTAATTGTAAAACGATTGATTATCAATGAGTTCCCTGTCAGTGGTGGTATGAGTAACTACAGCCTATCAATTACACAATTACAGGGGGAAATCAACCAGTATCATTTACAATTACGTGTAAATACATCCGTTATATCACTTACAGTTAGGTGTAAATACATCCGTTATATCACTTACAATTACGTGTAAATACACCCGTTATATCAATTACGTGTAAATACATCTGTTATGTCACTTACGAGTAAATACACCCCTTTTATCACTTATGTTTAAATACATCACTTACGTGTAAATACACCTGTTATGTCACTTACGTGTAAATACACCCGTTATATCATTTACGTTTAAATACACCCGTTATATCACTTACGTTTAAATACACCACTTACGTGTAAATACACCCGTTATACCACTTACGTGTAAATACACCCGTTATATCACTTACATGTAAATACACCCGTTATATCACTTACGTGTAAATACACCCGTTATATCACTTACACGTAAATACACCCGTTATATCACATACAATTACGTGTAAATACACCCGTTATATCACTTACGTGTAAATACACCCGTTATATCACGTACGTGTAAATACACCCGTTATATCACTTACAATTACGTATAAATACAGACGTTAAATATCAATGTTAGGGACCAAGAGGGTTGATTCCTAGACAAATAAAATTGGTCTTGGTAAATGTCAAAATATAGAAGGGGGTTGCACAAACTCTATCATATAATGAATTTCATAATTACAAGTGCATGTGTATATTCCCAATCGTGGCACTATCTAAATAAACGAAAACGTGACATGCAGGATTACGATAAATCTCGGGGACTGATCTAATTTTAAACAGAATACATTAATGTGACACAGATAAAAAGACACAAATTAATTATATAAACAGATAAATGTACAGGTCACTTAGTCAACATCGGTTAAGACGTAACATTTTCGTGAAGCCACTAAAATCGAGAGAGTATACTAATGCGATTTGAACAAGCATACCAATCAGCTTAAATAGCCTTTAAATGGCCATAACACGACCGGACCACTGCCAGTTACTGTACCTATTATCAGCATGTTAATTTAGTCAATGACTTCACACTAGAATTATGTTAACAGTTTAAAATTATTTCCGTGAAGCTAAATTTGCCTGCAAGTATAGAGTAATATTTAAAAGGTAGCTGAGGTAAATTGTAATATTTTGTTTCGTTCATTGGTTGCAGTCTGCATGCAATACGACACTAGCTGGCTTTTCCAGCAAGCGCCGAACATCGAGCTACAGAGAGGAATAATTTACTCAATATTCCAAAGACAATGCCAATCAAGTCAAAACGTAAACGTGATAGCGTTTTGATTTTTGGGATTGGTGTCCTTTCTGAAGCTGGAATCATGTGAAGAATTTGTCTACATTAAAATCAAAACCTGGATAGGGTAGTTTATCACTCCAACTGGTCACAATACCATATCCACGTACCAGTCCGTCCTTGGTGTCGTGTCAACCCGAGAGCATTAAGTAAAACCAACAGTCTTCGTTAGGGCGAACAATCAGTTCAAAGACCAAAAGCCTTGGTAGTTTTGTGATTGGGCTATGTATTTCATGCAATCCTGTATTCAAATATCATGACGGTACTTTTTTTTTTTTTTAAAAATTTAAAACACACAATAACAAATACCGTACGTGGATTGGAAGGACAAAATAATCACAGCTTTCTTTGTAATGAAATAACTACACAATCTCGGGAACGCTGATTGTTTGAAGTAAGGAAACACTATATTTCAGTATATTACACGGGAAGCTTGCCTTCAACAACATCATAAATGTAGTTTCTGTTTACATAAATAGTATTGTAGGGAATTGGGTAGTCTTCAGTATGCCTCAACATTCCAAGATTTCATGTCTCCTACCGGGGAAGTATGGAAAGTATATGGCTTCCGTCCTTACGTCATTTTGGTGTTGAACAAATTGATAGTTCGAGGCACCAGAGTTTTGATTCTCTTTGAAAATATTTCTTTATTACATGTCTTAAAATATGTGCCCATATGTATGTTTCAGAACCATGTCGAAAGTGTATGTGGTATTAGGAGTGGACACTGCAGTTGGTGCTGCAGTTGCTTTCCATCTTGCCAAAAAGGCAACAGTAAAAGGTGTCCCACTTGGCAGCGCTAGAGGGAAAGGGGAGGTTGACCCTCCTCCAGGTGTGGAAGTAATTCGCTGTGATAATCAAAGTGTCAAGACCGTGGAATATGTCTTGAAAGGATGTGATGGATGTTTTATATTCACAATGTCGGACTTCCGTAACGATCGAAGCTTCATGGTAAATGAGTTGGCGTACGGAAGGACAATAGCGGAAGCATGTAGAAAGGCGCGAGTGCCTCACGCAATTTACTGTACCGAGCCACACACGACCGACATCCAGGGGATTGGAGCACGCCACATGGTTGCTAAGGCCGAGATTGAACAATGTATATGTGTTAACGATGTGCCGCTCACTCTACTGACCCTTCCCCGCAGATACGAGGATATCATTGACTACATGGCACCCAGGAAGGTCGGACAGGATTTCGACTTCGGTACGACTTATTACACGAAACATCACTATTGCTCGAATAGCGATATTTCCTGTATCTGAATTTATACGTTACAGATTCACAGATACGGACGGCTAACGGGACGGAAAAATATACCAGTCTATAGTTGTATGATGGGACTTTTCTGACCAGTTTCTTTCAAAATCTAGCGAGAAACGAAGAGACGTAAGACTGTTCCACTTATTCAGGGTTAACCAAAACACATATTAATTAAGTACCCTGGTGAATAATGAGCTACATGATTTGTTAATTTTTAATGGTATTATTCTACTTTTCGTGATAATGGCATGCAGTTAATAAGAGAATCGAGGCAATGAAATACATATCTCATTAGTTTGACACCAAAACACCGCAGTATCGTTAAGTGATATAATTTTGATATGTTCAACATTCCAGAGCTACCTTTGGACACAGACATTCCCCTGAATATGATCAGTGCCGAGGACTTGGGACCGATCGTGGAAAAAATCTTCGATAACAGAGCAATGTTCACGGACAAACGAGTCAACCCTGGCCCTATCAGTCTGTGTGGCAGCAAGGTGTCGCGCCAAACCTTTGCTCAGTGTCTTTCCTACAACTTACAGCCTCTGCAGTTTTTTGATAAACCAGTAAGTCACAAACACTTTTACCAACAAGTGTAGCCAACAGTATGTCTCCGTACTCAAACTTTAGTTGCCTACTGGATAGGATTGCAAAGAATTTGATTTTTTTTTACCTTTCCCGAGTTTTCACTGACTCATGCATTAGACCGTAAATATTTTTTTAAAAAATACCACAAGTCTGATGTAGGAGTTAAAGGAAAGCATATGATTCACACTTGGAGTTCGACTCGTAGAACATCAAATGCTTGAGAAGTTCAATGCCTAAAATAATTCAAAAGCTGTTGTATGTCAGTTATGGTTTTCAAGACTATTTAATTTCTGTAAACTTCACAAGCGATGCTATAGTGGGTTCCATATGCGGTTACCAGAGACATGGTGTGGCTCTGGAAATTCCAATTTACCATACAGTATATGCTTATACCATTGGGAGACTTAAATGTTGTCTTTGTCCTGAAAAAATCGTGTCGCGAAAATGTCTCTGTCGTCATAGATAGGACAGTTTTATCATGTTTATTTTGTGATATAACAATGTCCAGTAACAACACAATTCATCGGATTCCAAACGTTTATAAAATGGCCTCGAATCAAACTTATACAGGGATTCTATCTTCAGAACGCATTAATAATCAGAATAGCATATCAGGTCTGGTGTTTAAATACTTTGATTACGATAAACTACATTGTATATGTCAAAATGAAGCATATCTTTTCTTTATCGTCTAGGAAAAATGATACCAGTTATATTTGTTTATAATGTTAACAACATGAGATTAACATTTGATTCACATTGAAAAAAAAGTCATTTCTATCATTATTTATTGTAGATGACCCATACAAAATACCGTGATTGCTCTTTTAACGAACCATGGAAGGATGACTACGCAAACATGTTCTTGTTCCTGATGCGCACACGTTGGGACCATATGTACAGCGACAAAAAAACACGAGAATTAAACCCGGACACGAAGTACTTCGAAGAATGGATACAAGCAAATGCCCAGGCACTTTATACCGCATACACCGAGGTGAAACCTGAAGACCGACTACGCTGGTGGTTCAACAAGCTCTACAGCAGGTCATAACGTTCCAACTGAACCCAAACATAAGCACTATATGTGATTAGGACAAGGCCGAACTGAAGAAAGTTTCTTGATAATTACTTTCTAGGAAAACATTACCATAAGGGAGTGACCTAACATTTTCATGAAACAAAGCTATAAGTGTGAAAAAATCCAGTGAATGAAACAGAATGATCTGTAGCAAACTAAACAGTCGTAACTTAACATCACCAAAACCTGGTTATGACAATAGTGACAGTTTCATCGTGAATTCCTGCCATTGCTGTGTATCTTCTCTAAGGAGTGTCCTCAGGGATTAGACAGTTCTCCGAGCAGCATATCCACGCGTACAGATTTTGGATAATATATGTTTTCGATGACATCACCTATGTTGTACTATTGTGTTGATCTTTCATTTACATGGTAATTGGTTTTTATTATATATTAATGTATTATTTGTACTGTGTAGTAGGTTTATGTTCGAGTACACTTTAGTCTTATGTCATGTACGGTTAACGTACAAATTTATACATGGTGGTAATTCACACTTCAAACAATGTAATTCTAAAACGTTGTACTTTTATCTCATTCATAAAACAGAAACATGCAACCAATGAAGTTTATCCTTTTTACTGCTGATTTGATACTCTGTCAGTCAGCAGTATTACAGTAGCAATATTAAACAGGATAGGACGTTAACAGTAGGTTTTATCCAACCTATCAACTGCTAACTCCCTCCACCTGAAGTTTGGTTATCAATTTTTCATAACTTACAGCCATCATTTCCTGAAAATGTTGTATAATGTTTCCCTCAACAGACATTTTGTTTCTGTCCAGGTTTTTTTTGTGTGTTTTTTTTTACAATTGTACAATTTGTGTTTAGTTTTATCAAACATCTTTCCTATAGGTATTGCTGATGATATATTGTTATAGCAAGAATAAATATTTAATCATAATTAATATATGCTATGCTGTTGTTGGTTATGCTTTGTGTTATTGATAATGAAAATTTCATTCACAAGGGATACATATTTTGTACGTTACTTATCTTACATATAGCCCTCGCAAGTATCACGAAGGAAAATTTCTACAGAAAATAAAAATAAAAAAAAGCAGACATACCTATCTCAATTATGAAAATCATAACAATTGAAAACAATTCAGATGTGACAAAATGATAAAATAATCTTTCACAATTGTTTGATTTCATTTTGCATCCAAAATGCTAATGTAGAATCACCTCGAAACATGTGGTGGGGTACCCAGTTTACATTACTCAACCAGGGGAGGTATATACACTGTACACTTCACTACCCTTTAATAAGGCCAGGAGAGATATATCTACTGTACACTTCACTACCCTTTAATAAGGCCAGCAGAGGTATATCCATTGTACACTTCACTACCCTTTGATAAGGCCAGGAGAGGCATATACACTGCACACTTCACTACCCTTTAATAAGGTTAGGAGAGGTATATCCACTGTGCACTTCACTACCCTTTAGTAAGGCCAGGAGAGATATATCCACTGTGCACTTCAGTATCCTTTAATAAGGCCAGGAGAGGTATATCCACTGTGCACTTCAGTATCCTTTAATAAGGCCAGGAGAGATATATACACTGTACACTTCACTACCCTTTAGTAAGGCCAGGAGAGGTATATCCACTGTACACTTCACTACCCTTTAGTAAGGCCAGGAGAGGTATATACACTGTACACTTCACTACCCTTTAGTAAGGCCAGGAGAGGTATATACACTGTACACTTCACTACCCTTAAATAAGGCCAGGAGAGATATATCCATTGTACACTTCACTACCCTTTAATAAGGCCAGGAGAGATCCAATGTACACTTCAGTATCCTTTAATAAGGCCAGGAGAGGTATATACACTGCACACTTCACTACCCTTTAATAAGGTACACTTCACTACCCCAGGAGAGGTATATACATATCACACCCTTTAATACAGGAGAGATCCAATTACACTTCTACCCTTTAATAAGGCCAGGAGAGGTATATACACTGTACACTTCACTACCCTTAAATAAGGCCAGGAGAGATATATCCACTGTTCACTTCACTACCCTTTAATAAGGCCAGGAGAGATATATCCACTGTACACTTCACTACCCTTTAATAAGGCCAGGAGAGGTATATACACTGTACACTTCACTACCCTTTAATAAGGCCAGGAGAGATATATCCACTGTACACTTCACTACCCTTTAATAAGGCCAGGAGAGATATATACACTGTACACTTCACTACCCTTTAATAAGGCCAGGAGAGATATATCCACTGTACACTTCACTACCCTTTAATAAGGCCAGGAGAGATATATCCACTGTACACTTCACTACCCTTTAATAAGGCCAGGAGAGGTATATACACTGTACACTTCACTACCCTTAAATAAGGCCAGGAGAGATATATCCACTGTTCACTTCACTACCCTTAAATAAGGCCAGGAGAGATATATCCACTGTACACTTCACTACCCTTTAATAAGGCCAGGAGAGATCCAATGTACACTTCAGTATCCTTTAATAAGGCCAGGAGAGGTATATACACTGTACACTTCACTACCCTTAAATAAGGCCAGGAGAGATATATCCATTGTACACTTCACTACCCTTTAATAAGGCCAGGAGAGATATATCCACTGTACACTTCAATATCCTTTAATAAGGCCAGGAGAGATATATCCACTGTTCACTTCACTACCCTTTAGTAAGGCCAGGAGAGGTATATACACTGTACACTTCACTACCCTTTAATAAGGTCAGGAAAGGCATATACACTGTACACTTCACTACCCTTTAATAAGGCCAGGAGAGATATATCCACTGTTCACTTCACTACCCTTTAGTAAGGCCAGGAGAGGTATATACACTGTACACTTCATTACCCTTTAATAAGGCCAGGAGAGGTATATACAGTGTACACCTCAATACCCTCTAAATTTGGCCAGGAGAGGCATATACTGTTCACTTCAGTATCCTTTAATAAGGCAAGAAGAGGCATATACACTTTATATTTCACTACCCTTTAATAAGGCCAGGAGAGGTATATACACTGTACACTTCACTACCATTAATAAGGCCAGGAGAGATATATCCATTGTACACTTTACTATCCTTTAATAAGGCCAGGGGAGGTATATACACTGTACACTTCAGTATCCTTTAATAAGGCCAGGGGAAGTATATACACTGTACACTTCAGTATCCTTTAATAAGGTTAGGAGAGGTATATCCACTGTGCACTTCACTACCCTTTAATAAGGCCAGGAGAGGTATATACACTGTACACTTATCTACCCTTTAATAAGGCCAGGAGAGGTATATACACTGTACACTTCACTACCATTTAATAAGGCCAGGAGAGATATATCCATTGTACACTTTACTACCCTTTAATAAGGCCAGGAGAGGTATATACACTGTACACTTCACTACCATTTAATAAGGCCAGGAGAGATATATCCATTGTACACTTTACTACCCTTTAATAAGGCCAGGAGAGGTATATCTACTGTACACTTCACTACCATTTAATAAGGCCTGGAGAGGTATATCCACTGTACACTTTACTACCCTTTAATAAGGCCAGGAGAGATATATCCACTGTACACTTTACTACCCTTTAATAAGGCCAGGAGAGGTATATCTACTGTACACTTCACTACCATTTAATAAGGCCTGGAAAGGCATATACACTGTACACTTCACTACCCTTTAATAAGGCCAGGAGAGGTTGTACACTGTACACTTCACTACCCTTTAATAAGGCCAGGAGAGGCATATCCACTGTACACTTCACTGATCTTCAGTAAGGCCAGGAGAGGTATATCCACTGTACACTTCACTACCCTTTAGTAAGGCCAGGAGAGGTATATCCATTGTACACTTCACTATCCATTAATAAGGCCAGGAGAGGTATATCCACTGTACACTTCACTACCCTTTAGTAAGGCCATGAGAGGCATATACACTGTACACCTCAATACCCTTTAATAAGGCCAGGAAAGACATATACACTGTACACTTCACTACCCTTTAATAAGGCCAGGGGAGGTATATCCACTGCACACTTCACAATCCATTAATAAGGCCAGGAGAGGCATATACACTGTTCACTTCACTACCTTTAATAAGGCCAGGAGAGGCATATACACTGTACACTTAGTAAGGCCAGGTTGGGTGTGTCCATTGTACACTTACAAACTGTTTAATAAGATTAGGGAGGAGGGTGTCCATTGTACATTGTTCCAGCAGAATAAATCTAGGATAAATGTGAATATGAAGTGATGGACATTCTTCTATCTTATGAAAAACATAACTTACATTACCTAATGACCTAATGACCTAATGACCTAATTTTTCAATGGATGCAAAACCAAACATTGTTTGTTTATATACATAACTTTTATTCTCATATCAACTTGAAAAAAAATACAGTAATGACTTAATGGGTTTTTTTTAAAACCTCTACAGAAAAACATATTTTTGATTCAATTAAATCCTGAACAGTGATGATGACATCTTAATCACACCCAGTAATTTGTTGAAATAAATACTCCAAGTGTACAGGAACAATAAGGGTTGTTGTAAACTATTGACTGTAGTAGGAATCTAACAAGGAAATCATAACTGAAAACAGTAGAATGCGACAAAAAGATCAACATTCTTGATTTCAAGCCTTGAAAATATCATTCTTCTCATCCTTGTTGATAATAGGTATTTCTCCCACAATGTGTTGTGTAATTCCACTTTCAAAACCATTGTGTAAACATGCTGACCATTGAATAAAACATACCATTAGTGGTATATGACCTCTGGTCTTCTGATTGGTTAAAAAGTTGAACTTTGACTCAAAGGGAGCTTTATGCAATGGTATCTCAAATAATTTTTTTAAACAATTTGATTTTTTTTTGTGGTAGAATCAGGTCACACAAACTTGTGACTGATATGTATGGTGTTTCATTCACTCTTCTTGTTAGTCATTTTTTAAAAATTACAAAAAAAAAAAAACAAAAAAAAACGCAGGCTTTAGCAAGTGATTTTTGTTATGTGGAAAGAATGCGAGATGTTGTGTAATTTCTCCATACAATATACTAAATATAACTAACAACACATTAATAAACATGTACAACTGAGTAAGTCGTAATAAAATGGCTAAATCAACATTGACTGTGACTAGGAATAAAATCTATGAAAATAAAAAGATAACCCCCCCCCCCCCCCCCCACAAAAAAAAAAAAAACAATGCTTTTGTACATTTTTTGTAATAACTAAGAAACAATGCTTGGTCCTAAATGAAAGTCATCGTAATTTTGATGTTCTTTGTCTGCAATCCATGTTTGAGGTAAAAACAACAGGGACATGGCCCTTAATGGTCAGCTGACAATCATTCGATGGACAGACCACAGAATTTAATGATGGTGACCTGACATAATCTGATGAATTCAAATTCTGAACATTCCTAGAAAGTCTCATAAACTCATAAATGGTAAGTTTTGTTCTTGAAAATTAGTTGCACAATCATGTTAAAAATGGTTACTGTACCTACAAAGTTTGGACCAGGCTGTAAAACAACATATCATCTGTTTCTTTTCATTAATGAATTAAACTCTAAATAGTTTTATCAATGGTGTGAATAAAACTGTAGCTCAGACTAAGTGTTCAGTATGACATGTTTGGATTTTTGATCCAACCTAAACCTAAAACTTAGCCAGGTCAATATCGTGATCCCTTCATACATGTCTGATATCATTGCCACTCCCTAATAATGTTTCTGACCAAATTTGGGTGAAATTTACCCAGGCGTCATTAAGAAGTAGCATTTTGAAGCAAAAGATTGTCGAAATTCCCCTAAGACCATTGGGGTCAAATCAACTTTCTGAATCTTATTGCTGATCCCTATTGATATTTCTGACAAAATTTGACTCAAATCCAATCAGGCATTAAGGAAGAGTAGTGTTTTGAAGTAAGATATTGACAAATTTCCCCATTTTGGGCCCCAACAACAGGTCCCTAGATGTCGAACCAACTTTAAATTAAGGAAAATATTGTTCATTCCCAATGATGTTTTACATCAAATTTGGTTGAAAACTGCACAGGAGTAGTGTTATGAAGGAAAAGTTTAGAGAGGACAATTTACACACAGTGCCTGATGATGGACCATGCACGACAGCAATAGTTCTATGTCATCTTGACCCATTGTGTCAGATAACCTAAAAAAATGTTTACTGAACAGTATTTTCCTTCTTGAACTGTTGATATCTGTAGCTTTTATACCTTATTTTTCCCTGAATATCCCAAATCTTATCTCAAAGGGAAGGGAGGGATAATTGTATCTATTCTTTTCTGTTATATATTCATATTCTCCGACTCAACTCTTGGAAGTGCATGTGAAGAGTCAATCTGAATTAGTGATTTGACATGTATACATTACTGACATGATAAATATTCTTTGTTTTTATGAGAAGATCCCAGATTCAGACATCGACAGGAAGACATTCCTTACATCCTTTCCACTTGAACCAGACAGATGAAGTCATCTATTTAAGCTATGTCACAAATTGAATTGTTCCTCAAACACAATATTCAGGTCATGGAAACAGATACATCCTTACACATGATACAGAACATGCATATAGTTATCTCCCTTGCATTTAATACTGACCAATGATAAAGTTATCTCCTTTATACGTGATACAGAATAAGAGATTAGGTTATCTCCTTTCTGCAGACCACAGGACAGTGAATTGTCTTCCTTATACACAATGGAGGATGAAAGAAAAAGTTATCTTCTTTAAATATGATAAAAAATAGGAATGTTATTATTTCTCTTACGCCTGACAAGGGCAAGGATACAGTTACCTCCCTTACATCTGATAAAGGGAAGGGAAACAGTAGTTTCCCTTTACACATGATACATGGCAGGCAAAAAGGTATCTCCATAACACAGAAAACTAGTGAAGGGATACACTTATCTCCGTCAGACATGATATAGGACAGGAATACAATTATCTCCCTTATCTCCATGAGACATGATACAGGACAGGAATGCAATTGTCTCCCTTATCTCCATGAGACATGATACAGGACAGGAATGCAATTGTCTCCCTTATCTCCATCAGACATGATACAGGACAGGAATACAATTGTCTCCCTGATCTCCATCAGACATGATACAGGACAGGAATACAATTATCTCCCTGATCTCCATCAGACATGATACAGGACAGGAATACAATTATCTCCCTTATCTCCATCAGACATGATACAGGACAGGAATACAATTGTCTCCCTTATCTCCATCAGACATGATACAGGACAGGAATACAATGATCTCCCTTATCTCCATCAGACATGATACAGGACAGGAATACAATTATCTCCCTTATCTCCATCAGACATGATACAGGACAGGAATACAATTATCTCCCTTATCTCCATCAGACATGATACAGGACAGGAATACAATTATCTCCCTTATCTCCATCAGACATGATACAGGACAGGAATACAATTATCTCCCTGATCTCCATCAGACATGATACAGGACAGGAATACAATTGTCTCCCTTATCTCCATCAGACATGATACAGGACAGGAATACAATTATCTCCCTGACATGTGACACCAATTATTTAGACTTTAGTTGTTCCAGTTCCATAGAAAGTTGTTTGATTTCCTCCATAAAAATATCCTCCTCTTCCACAATAATGAGTTGTCTCATCTCCTGTTAAATGCAATAGAATTACACATAATCTATAATCCTTGTCAAGTAAGTGATATTCCAACATCAAATTATCTCCTGTAATACACTTCATTGGGAAAGTCAATCATTAAAAATGGTGAATTTTGCAGTCTATAAGAAAAGGACATTATTGTATACAGAAAACTTTACCACTTATTCCTTTTGGACAAACGCATCCATTTTTCTTCAAGTGTTTAACTTTGGAAGACATGTTTGATACTTAATTACTTATTCATGGAAAACTGTATCAAACATTTCAACTTTTGCCATTTTGTGTTTATCATCACAAAAAGAGCAAAAGCTTAACTGTATGAATGACAGTGATTACAATATCCATTTTTGGTCTTTTAACAGATTCTGGACACGAACTTGATGATTGTTTTTGCAAGATGGATAACAATATGGAAGTATACATACTTTGTTGGTCAGCACTTAGACAGGTAAAAATTTAGTAAAAATAATGCAAAAAATAATGTTTTTCAGTATCAGAAAAGTGGCTTTAACAATTTTGTTCATATTAACATTTATTAAAACAAAAAATCATTGACTTGGCAACCTCAGTTGAAGATCCAAAATGTGTAGTTCAACCAAGTAATCTGGATGACATGAGACAGAGCTCCTGTAGTAAAGAGGCCACCAGTAAAAATGGCTGGGAGGGATAATCAAAGCTCTATTAACTAAACTTTTCCCTCCTTGAAAAATTAAAAATGAAATGAATTGTTACCTGAGCAGACAGCAGAGATGTGTGTGCTCCAAACCTGTAGTAACATTCCCCGTCTTTTGTAGTGTACATGACACTATTGGGCACATGCTTTATGATGATCTCTATAGGAAGAATATCAACAGCAAAGTACACATTCCGTCTTGGTGAGCATTTCGACAAGTAAAGATTCTTTTTTCAAAAATCAATTTCGCTCTGACAAAATTAATGGTGTTTAGCCAATAGAATGAAAACATTCACAATTTTTGTTGGAGTTATCAATTCAAAAATGTAAAAAAAAAAAACCTTCCTTGTTTAATTTAGTGAAAGATTCTTTTGGACAAAAAGACGAAACGACATTGCTTGTTTTCTGATAGAAATAACGATTTTTCTATTACAACAAAAAATACAGCAGAGCAGAATAATGTATGCCTATCCTAGGCCACAGAGATATGAAGGGCTTATATGAAAATTATTTTCAATATGGAAATGGTAATGAGTCAAAAAGTCAAGAGCAAAAATAGTGCTATATCTTTATATAATACACTAAATGCTATCAAACTTAAAAGAAATTGGAAAAAACTGGGGGAGGAGAAATCTGGACAGGATCAAAACGCCGAAAAAAACAAAGATCAATAACGCTTTTCAAAATTACAAAATCAATATGCCATGAAGATAAACACAATTTCCTATCATGGTGATTCAGTCTGCAAAGTTTTAAAGAAATTGGTCGTAAACTGGGAGAGGAGACCTCCTTACAAGATTAACATTATGAAGACAACAAGGGCAGTAACTCTTTCAAAATCACACTGCCATTCAAGAAAACACAAATTAAAATCAAGAGCTATGGTAGGCCTGTAAAATTTCTGATAGCTGTATCTACTGAGTGATATAGATCTTTGATGTTGTTCATTAATGTGACACTTAAATTGCATTCAGTTCCCCTACCTGCCACAAAGAGATCTTCAACAGGCAAAAATGTGTCTGTTTCTTTGTCATGTTCCACAACAGGTGTATAAATAACATCAAACATGGAATGAAGAACACAAGGTAATATTTTATCACACATCATCCGGTCCACACTAAGACGAAAATCGTCACGGTCATTTCGATTCAATTCCACACCGTGGACAGTATTCCGAATTCCAATGTATATGCTGCCACCTTTCCCTACAAAAATGTAACATTGCTTTTACAACATGTATCAGGTGATTTCATTTCTAAGAAAATTGAGAGAATTGATAGAATTCAAACTTATATATTGTTTTCAATTGATTGAAAATATAAAACAACTTCCGATGCCAAGGCCAAATCTGATTTTGACAAAAAAAGATTTCTGTATAAATTTGTTCAGTGTTGAAGCATTGTAATCAGAATGGGATCCTATAGGAAATAAAAACCTCCATTTTTGTTATTTCTTTCATGATCTAAGAAATTTAATAATGGTAACAGCAGCCATAAACACTTAAATGTTGTATACATACACATTTTATATTCTATTGTCCTACTTTCAGACACATATTCCACTGCTTCAATAAGACAATAGACCCAAAAGTTGTGCAGTATATCGACAAGATTGTATTAAAAAAAGTTGGATGGCGCAGTGGTAACATAATTGCCTTTCACCAAAACGCCCGGTGTTCAATGCCAGGAATGGTTGTGAAAAGGTATGGGGTCACTAGCCCGACCTCTTGGGTTTTCCTCAGGTACTCTGGTTTCCTCCCACAGTAAGACCCCTTGCCACGTTCATCCGGGCCAACCAGAGTGATTAATATAAGTTTGAAAGTCACAATTGTTGTAAAATAAATAAGGTTTATTGTCATTAAGATTGTATCAAGTCATTTTAACACCAGTACAAAAGATTCAAACAGGGAAAATTATTCCTTTGCAAACAAGATAACTGTTTTCGATAGAAAAGGGACATACCAATGATACAAGGAATATACCACTGTTTAATATGGTAGCAAGAGATATACCACTGTTTAATATGGTAGCAAGGAACATACCACTGTTTAATATGGTAGCAATTGTCATACCAATGTTTAATATGGTAGCAAGGGACATACCATTGTTTGATACAGTAGCAAGGGACATACCACTGTTTAATATGGTAGCAACGGATATACCACTGTTTAATATGGTAGCAAGGGACATACTACTGTTTAATATGGTAGCAAGGGACATGCCACTGTTTGATATGATAGCAAGGGACATACCACTGTTTAATATGGTAGCAATGGTCATACCACTGTTTAATATGGTAGCAAGGGACATACAACTGTTTAATATGGTAGTAAGGGACATACCACTGTTCAGGAAGCCGCACACATGCTTGGCCAAGACAGAAGGCGAAACCTTGTCAGTGGATTTATTTGGCCGTAATTCATGTGTTGTGTCATTCTCAAATTCCACTCCAGAACCTAAGCAGAAAAGAAGTAAATACGTTATATTTATAATAAAGACACGTCTATTCTATAAATCACTAGTATCAGAAAGTACAATGAAGTATTCTATAAAGATCAGTTTATATAACTAAAACAGTAGTAGTATAATAAATCATCAAAGACCCTGTCAATCTTATCGTTATGTAATAATCTAAGGCTGTTGATATCAATGTTGACACATTTTACAAATACCCATGATGCTTTTGAGCTCAGAAATGATTGCTCTACATAACATCATAGCTAAAAATCATTCACAACACAACCTCTCCACAATGAAAAAAGTAAAAGAACTAAGTAGATCTTACGAAAGAATCATATTTTTTACCAAGAATGAATGTCTTGTCAGGTGATTTTCCGTAGTAATATGCAGCATCACATGTTGTTACACGCCTACTGCTGCCGTCTGTAATACAGATACACCAATACAACATGAAAGCAAAGTACTGTACACACTGCAGTGCAAAAGCTATCAGAGAAAACATGTAATCACACACGTTAATGAAGATATTTTGGTCACAACTACTGAAGATGGGAAACCTACATGAAGATGACATACTCCCTCTCAGCAAATGAAATTTGAGAAAGACCCATCCAGTATTTTTTGTCAAAATCCAAGATGGCCACCTGTCGGTCACATTTCTATTTAGTCAGTCCAAAAATCAAAAGGGCAGAACTAGGGACCAAGGGTGCAGCATATAACAGAGTATAAGATAAAACAGAAGTCAGACCAATGTCTGTCAGCGTTCGACTACATGTTTAAAGAAGTTCATCTACAAAGCAGACTTAAGCGGTATTCAGACTAAAGCCATTTTTTTGTATTCATTATTATACAATACTGATTATGAACATCTATATGTTGTATTCCTATATGTTTTAAAACCATGCAGCATCACATTACGACCTAAACATCTAAGGAGATGTCATTTACATAACTTTCCAGCTATCATTTTAAGGCAATGATATTTTAAACCTGCTGAAACCTACCTGTATCTTCGCTGACTCGTGTGACATGGTGGCAGTCCTCATCAGAATCAGACTCATCTGACCAAGCTGTCTGTTTGTATAAAAAAATAAAGAATATAAAGCGCAGTGTTAAAATGGTACATCTAAAATGCAGTTTGGCTCAGAACATTGACGGCTTGGAGATCAAATTAATAGTTCAATCCTCTTGTACCATTGGGAGTGGTGAGTACAGGCAAGGACAAACTAATAGTTCTCTCTGGTAGCACCAATGATGACTGACTGACAACTACAGGCGGAGACAAACTAATAGTTCTCTCTGGTAGCACCAATGATGACTGACTGGCAAATTCAGGCAAAGACAGCTAGTAGTTCTCTCTGGTAGCACCAATGATGACTGACTGACAAATACAGGCGGAGACAAACTAATAGTTCTCTCTGGTAGCACCAATGATGACTGACTGACAAATACAGGCGGAGACAAACTAATAGTTCTCTCTGGTAGCACCAATGATGACTGACTGACAAATACAGGCGGAGACAAACTAATAGTTCTCTCTGGTAGCACCAATGATGACTGACTGGTAAATACAGGCAGAGACAAACTAATAGTTCTCTCTGGTAGCACATATGATGACTGACTGGTAAATACAGGCAGAGACAAACTAATAGTTCTCTCTGGTAGCACATATGATGACTGACTGGTAAATACAGGCAGAGACAAACTAGTAGTTCTCTCTGGTAGCACCAATGATGACTGACTGGCAAATTCAGGCAAAGACAGCTAGTAGTTCTCTCTGGTAGCACCAATGACGACTGACTGGCAAATTCAGGCAAAGACAGCTAGTAGTTCTCTCTTCTAACACCAATTATGACTGACTGGCAAATACAGGTGGGACCAAATTAATATTACCTCTTCTAGTACCAGTGGAAGACTGACTGTAACTGACTGACAGCCCTGTAGTTTCAGATGGGCTGGATAGATAAGTACAAGCAAACAAAAAACAATAGTTCCTGTGGTAGCATTCTTGGATTACAAAGGTTGCTTTCACATACCAGTAAGCAGCTGAAATGGTTGGACCAGCTGGACCTTGAAGAGAAACACCTGGTACACATCGAAACTGAGGACGACCTTTAGAACATTCAGAACATGCAGACTGAGGAGTCCAGTTATACCTGTTTGAAACTAACCTGCTGAAAATTGTTAGTTTTCAGAATTTCAGTATAGAGCAGGATCCATGTACACACATTTTTTTTTATTCTCATGTATTTATGATTTATCATTTTTGGTTTATTTTACCAGAATATTCAGAAACTGTATATTTTGACCTTTATATATACATATATCTATATCTATATATATATCAGTTCCCACTACCTTGTTTATCATGGAACAATTTCAGGCCACCTGAACCATTTTGGCCAACTTACATGAAAAGCTGCCTATGTTATCAATAAAGAAATAATATTTAATAGGGGAATTTATTTCCAACAGCTAGTTTCTTTTTATATGAGATTTTCACAAATGTATGACCTTCATCAACTTACCTCATACATTCTTGGTTGAAATGATGTGTTCTTTAATTGTTTTTCTTCAATGTTAAGTGACTGTATCATCCTGGCAAACTCACTGAAATCATATATCAATATTCAATACAAATGTCATAAACTCCAAATCACCCAATCTATTGTAAAACCTCATTATACTTTACCTGTACCTGTATAAACACTACAGATGGTTTTAAGGATACAATGAGAGCTCCATCACTAAATAGAATAGTACATTTCATTATTTACATCTATTCATGTCAAGATATAATTTCTTATCATTTTCTTCTATTCCGATCATTTTGAATAAGTGTCCCGCACAAGTGGAAATTTTCGAAACCACTCTTGACCATCAGGTAAGTACATTCTTTTATCCTAATTTAAACTACATACCAAGTATTATTGGTAAAAATATTCATATTCTTCAGAATGAAAATGTTAACGCTTAATTGATCTTGTGTGGGAAAATACCGGGAAACAGAGAATACTTGTGTGATAAGGCAGGGGACCAAAACCTTTCCATATCTTTAAAGAAATCGAATGTAGAGAGATGGAGAACATAATATAATCACATATCTACCCTGTTATTAAAACAACACCTATTACTAATTAATTTGTTATGAAACATGTAATATGACGTAAAGGAGCTGTTGGCTGAAGCTTCCACTTTTTCCAATGTGACATTTTAACTCTCTGGTAGCAAATGCATTGTGATGTCATCCCAAAAAGATATTGAATCAGGACATTACCAATTAAGTTTGTGCATCAAGTCTAATAAAAAACTATTTTTCATACATAGTTCCAAAAGTTTGAAGGTTATGTTATGTACAGAATCTGTCATAAGTTTCCATATCATATTATATTTTCCTTATACATCACCAGAGGCTCAGTAAAGTGAAAAACTCTAACACTTATTGCATAAACTCATATAAATGGAAGTTCTGCAAACTTCTCAATATTCATTAAATATGTAGCACTGTAGTACCCGTTGGTGTAAAGGATATTATAATATCTACTTATTCTGACATCCTATGACAGGTATCATGTTGTTCCTATTACTATTTTGTAGTTTTAACATCCTGATTTGATGAATCCCACTTCACTGGTTTCATACCATGAAGAGTTATTACATAAGTACAAGTGTAATTGTTTATGATATATTTCTACTAAAATACAAATTCTTTATTTAAAATACTTTCATACTTTGGACAGTTCTTCAATTTTGGGTCAACATGTTTGTCTTGACTTTTGGATCTGCCTGTACTGTTGCCATGATGTCTTCCCAATGTGCGCCTATGATGCAGCACTGTAGATCGTTCTGTGTCTATTCTTCGGACAAAGATACGAAGCAGATGTGTCCCAGCATGGTAAATCTTGTATTTGATGTTAGGATGTTGGAAGACAACTTTCATTAAGGTGTTGATACCTATAGCAACAAAAAATTACCATTTGTTTTACGTTAATTCTTTAAGAGGAAAAAGGATTTAAAGCTATATGTTTTCAGGAAACTATGGTTGTGTAGAAGTTGAGAGCACAAGTTGCATTACTAGACTTTGCTAGAATGAATTTCCCATTAGTCAAGCAGTAGAGTGTCTGCCTAAAGACTGAAGGGTCAGCTGTTTGAACCCCACACAGGGTGCCCTTAATTACTCTTTCCTATTAAAGGTTTAGTGCTGTTGACTACTCCAAGGGTAGTTATATATTATATGAGAATGAGATGCTTCCTTGGAGATACTGAACCTTAATTGTTGTCTTTGGGGTCAAACTTTGTGAAGGAGGGAGTGTTGTAGAAGTTGAAAGTACAAGTCACCTTACTAGCTAGTGGGAATTTCCCTCTTGGTAAGCGGTTGAGTTCATCTAGAGACAGAAATGTAACAGTTGCTATTTCGAACCCCAACAATGGCAAGGTTTTTCATTATTCCTTCATATTAGGGTTGTATACCCTGTTATGCCTGAACTAGAAACTGTTTAACACCAGATACTGTGTGTGGTAGAACAGAGGTGCTAATGTGTACAGGTTACGTGTTGCCTACAGTTAATCCTTACCAAATTAATTATCTACAGTCAATACCATCTATATTGTAGCTTTGTTAGAATTTTCAACAAGTAAAGAATTACTACAGTTTAGCCTAAGCTTTTGAGCTCCATTAAGCGGCCTCAGTATGTTCAGGTCCTCATTTCATACAAAATTTAATCTTTTTCCCCAAAAGATCATTCTGACCAAGTCCAGTCAGAATTTACCTTGTATGTTTCTTAAGAAGATGACATCCATGTGCTTGTTTTTGTAACCGAAAATAAATGTTTACTCTTCCCCTTGGGTCAAAAAAGTAGCCCCAGGGGCGTGGACTGAACATTTTTTTCTCTCTTACCTACTTTTAAATACCTTTGAAAAGTAATCTGACATAACACAAGTAGAAATTTAACTTGATATGTTGAATTACATTTAAGGTGGTAGACTTTGTATCAGATGCTATACTTTTAACTAGAAGTGTTTCAAAATAATTTTGATTCTCACTGTACTGTCACATGCAACCTGAGAAACTACTTTCCCGTTCTATCTATATCACTTTTACTTGTGACTAACCTTCATGATGGTAGAATTTGTCTCTGGCCTTGTCATTTTTGAATAGCATGTTACAGAGACAGTTCAACCCTGAAACCAACAGGTTCTTCTGTGAGGCAGGAGGATAGACCAGGAACTTGGATATGCTGTCTGGAAAGTAAAAATTTTACACTTCATATGAGAATGTCACACAAATCTAACTTCAACCATACATTCATTCTTAAACTTATCGATTGTGAAAGTCAATGTTAAAAACTCAAGTTTCACAAATGTTATAGCATAAGGTTTACATATTTTTCAAACATACAAGATACATTAAGTGTTTTTCACACCTTGAATAAATTTAGTGTGGTTCATACTGGAGATAATGTTCTTACCTAAAGCAAATTAAGTGTGGTTCACGCCTAAAATACACTAAGTGTGGGTCACATCTAGAATACTTCTAGTGTGGTTCATAATGGTCTCACCTAAAACACACTCAGTGTGGTTCACATCTAAAATACATCTAGTGTGGTTCATAATGGTCTCACCTAAAACACACTCAGTGTGGTTCACATCTAAAATACATCTAGTGTGGTTTATAATGGTCTCACCTAAAACACACTCAGTGAGGTTACTATTGGAGATGCTAGAGGACATCTTTGAATGGAAGGAGATGTTGGTGATCAGTCTCAGGACACAGCAGATAGTTTCTGGCTCAGGACAAAGATATATAAATGTCTCAAGGATTTCTAGTCCACCTTGCTCAGCCAAAATCTCACCTGACAACAATCATATCAATAGAATTCCATCATGTTTCCATTTACATTTACACATAGTAGCATTTTTAAAGGACTACAGATTTTACACCCTTTCCTTTTATCTTCTAACTTGAAATCAGATCTTTCGTCTCAAATCAATTTATTCAATTCACATAACAGTCTGATTTTATCACAATCTGGACATCATATCTTTACTACACTGCTTCCTTTTCAACTCTATTTTGAAAACTTGTGAAACACAGATACTCATCACTCAAACATGTATGAAGATGAAAATTCTTATTGAACTATTACTGGAACTAAAAAATATAGCAAACAAATACAAAATATTTCATTGTTTGAGGAACAAGTCCTATATTAGAGGACTAAATTTTTAACTTACAAGCAGGAATACTTTTCTGACAGATGTTACTGAGAATTGCGGCTGCCAGCTGTGGGATAACCTGATGGCGAGGTGGTGGTGATACTCCTGTAAAGTACATGACATCATACTTTAATATATGGCAAACATCAGTTGGATATAGGTGGGATTATATCTAAGCATGGGTGTATTACTGATAAATATAGTATTAAAAAATCGGTAAGCAGGACCAGACAACGCCAATGAAGATCTTCTGTAACTTTATTAGTTGACTAGTTTCGGCACACTAGGTATGCCGTTCTCAGAACAGTGCAAATTCAAAAAGCAGGACTTTATATACTCCTGTGCCTAGCAACTACACATGTTATTTCCACCAATGTCAAAGAGAGTACACTAGTTACAATGACGTAATTAATTGGTGATGTCATAATGCAAGTAAACCGATAGTAGCGGAGTTCCGCTTTGCCCTAGGCTAATGCTATGTAATGTACAAATATCAATAAAAAGAAATTATAAAACTGATAAAGAGATACAACAATTAACAACGTTATCTACGGTATATATAAATACATGAGAAGTCTCTCCTACGGCTGGAAATATTAACAGGTATGTAGTAAATGTTCGTTCCTAATACCTCAGGGAATCCGCTGTGGAGTGATACTGGACTTACCAGCCTTACCTCTTGGACGTTGGATCTCTTTTTCTTCGTAAATATAGTATTAGTACATAAACAATAGACAAACTACTTTGTTTAGAGAATTGCATTTAGTACAATTCAATACTGTTTGGAAAATTACTACTAAAACCAACATTTCAGTTAGTTTCATTAAAAATATTGGAGTAAAAATATACTGTACTTACAAAAAACATATTAATGGCTGTATTCTAAAGCTTCAATCTTTCTTTCTCTATTGTTACAAGTTTCATATCCATGAACTATTCTACTCACCTTGATCAAGCATAATATTGAGGAGGAAAAAGAAGGAGAAAAGTGAATAGGCAAGTAGATTCTATTATTCTGCAACAATAACTTACCTGCCAGTTTACACAACGATATTTGTGGAGGAAACTTGTGTGTACTAAGGTGGTCTGGTAAGGTATATACTAGATCACAGTGTATGTCCATCTTGTATCCATAGTCCAAAGCCCAGACTTGGACCTTCCACTGATCAACCTTAATAACCCTAGCCCGCATGTAAAAAGACTGCTTAGTATCCAGTGTCTTTACGGCAACAACAATGTCACCTACAGTACATCTAGCTGGCTGGAGATTTGCTGTTTCTAAGGCCATCTTTATGTTGTGAACTGTTTCGATGGTAGACATGCCTATGTGTGCCCAAAATAATGGTCCATCAATGACATCTGACACAAAAATGTCTTCCCACTTTTCCTCATCTTCTTGTGTTTCCTCAATCTCTATCATGTTTGGCCAGGAATCTTGTTTAAAATTTTCCAAGAGATGATCTGTGATATTCACATCCCTGTCAGAATCACTGGTGTCAAACAATGAACAAATTTTTAAGTTGCTAGGCAACATGTCCAAATCCTTTAACTTTAGATTTGAAAGTTTGTGTACTTGTTTGTGCATTTCTGAAGACATTATCTTGGTTTTTATTCTCCCTATCAAGTGCTTGTTTTCACAAAGCAGTTGAAAATTTCTTGTAAATTTTGATGTAAAATGATAAATGCTGCCGTTAACATTCAACAAGTATAGCAGGCACCTCATAACGTCGCCTGATATCATACGTTGAAGAGGCCCTATTGACAGCTGTGACAAAAACCAAAGACATTTCAATGATACATCAAGGGAAGCCAATTCTGACTGGATATCTAGTGCCGAGTCCACAGTTATCAAAAGAGTTTCTAAAAGTCCTCTGTCCATGAACAATTGACTGATATTGCCATTTTTGTCATTCTTTAAGAATTCTTGAATTATCGTTAATGAGGCAAGTTGTGTGCTGTAGTTGTTCTTGATGCGAGTAAGGTCTATATGGTACTGGAGAAGGCGTGAGGCAACTGCCCTCTCACTTATCCTGCTATCCATTTTTATTCATCTCTACAGTATCAAGCTTTCTTTCATATTTTAATCCTACGATGGATTTAGCTTATAGTCTTTGAAGCATTTCCAATCTAAAAGAGAAAAAGTCATCATTGAAATACATATAACTTGGGTACAGCGATCTGTTTAAATTTGCCTGCATAAATAAGTTTTCATTAAGGTATTAGAATTCTCTGTGTCCAGTTGACATCAAAAAGAAAAAAAAAAACAAATAAAGATGAATAATAATAAATTAGAAACCAGCTAATTAGTAATGCATAGGTGCATAATTAAAACAAATTATACATATGTTAATAGCAATGCAATTTTCTGAATGTTGAAAATAAAGGACATACATTGTATTCTTTTAAAGACTTAAAACACATTGCAGTTTGTAAGATGCATTTAAGGGATAGATGTGTAAATAAATGAGCAATGACGGAAAACTCTTTATCTATAACTACACAGCTGACAAATGTTATTGTTAATCACATCAATTCTTAATTAGTACAGACAAATCAGCTGACCAACAAAGCCATACCATCCAATAAAAAAAAAACCTTGGAATTTGTTCTTTCTGATGTTCATTTAATAAATAAGGCAAATATAACTTGCAGATACATGTATATAATCACCACTGACAAACTTTGATTCATCTCTTAAAAACTATCAATTCTGGAGTACCCAAAGATCAGTTTTCTGACCAAATTTATTTCTCTTCCATATGTTTGCAGATAATACCATAATGGGAACTTTGTGAAACTAAAATACTGATGAGAGATCTAAGCAGTTAATCTCTGTAGAGATGTGGGTAAAGATCATGAAAATAATCTTCAACGCTAGCAAATGAAATGTGCTGTTACAAAAATGCACTTTATTAGATCAATCAATACTATACTGTACACTGACACATATTAGAAAATGCAGATAAGATAAAGCTTTTGAGTGTCACAAAACAATCTCAACTTAAATGAGACTCTCATGATTACCATATTTATCCCAAAATAAGCCCTCCCATCCTTGTATTAAAGTATTTCAGCTTATTTGGGGACTACTTCTAGCTTACTACTGCAAAAATGAAGAAAAGGCATTATTTGTTGCCAAGTGTTATTTGTGGAAATAAATATTGTATAACAAAATTTGCTCTAAAAGGAAATTACACTCGGGTTTTATGAGTGTTTACCTCAAAACATTAGCTAAATCTAAAAAGTGCTTGCTGTCCTAAAGATGATAACCTGTAGTTATAAAATAACAGTATGGCCATCACTTCTAATGATTAGAATATGCTTGCATAGCATGACTGTATAAAAGTAGCCCTACTATTATATAACCACAGTTATGTATATAACTGAAATAGTTCGCTTGGACTGCATACTATAAATGTATACATGTGCCTTGCGAGACATTGCAATAAATCATTGTAACATGATTAACGTCGGCTGCCCTCTACTTACAAATGACTGCTTTCCATGTATATATTTTTGGAAAAGCCTTCAGTGCATGTGTGCAATCTATGGAATTATGAGATACAAATGTACCATTTTCTAGTCAATTGGCCATAACTGTGGAAAAAATAAGTTGACCAAATAAATACTCAAACTTACATGTTATGATTTCGCAAGTGAACTTCAAAATGTAGTTTCAAAGTCACATTCATCTATGAAAAATGCAGAAAATGATACTTTAGTTGAAGGGCCATAACTCTGGAAATGAAAGTTGACAGGAACCCAAAATCGTGATTTGCATCGGTATAAAATCATACAGCTTAGTTATCTCATTTTGCAAATATTCTGTCCATCACTATGTCCATAGAGTAAGGCCAACATAAAGGACACTAGCAGCAGAGACATATATATACGTATCTGGTAGCAGTTCCTACTGCTTGCAGTTTGTTTTGATATCCTGCTCCGAGAACGACCACGCTTGAAGTGAAACGCGTGTTCCTTTTGCGATGAAAAAAAATAGCCAATCAGAACAATTGTACCAGTCACGTCGGTTCAGTCATTATTGCAAAAATGGCTGCCGTGCTTGGAGCCGAACCGCAAATAGGAGGGTTTAATTTCGAAAATTATGCCAGGTAAGATGTATTGTTTCGTCTATTTATGATAAAACATGTATAAAATATAACGTGACATTTCTAGTGAACTTTTAGAAGTCTTTTTGCTATACGTAACATAAACGTTGCTTTCGGCGAACGACTTCACCATGACAAAGCAACATCGATAAGCACAGCAATATTTTCTTGTTATAATTTCAGGAACGTATCTCTCGAGCAAGCAGGGGTTCATCCACCAAAGGCTTACAAAACAGGGACAACAATCGTCGGTTTAGTTTACAAGGTAATATATGTACCGTACAGAACTAGAATGTTAAAACCTCTACTTCCCAATATCCATTGTTGATATATACTACTTCTCTTTCTTGCAAATGTAAAAGTTGAGAGTAAATGTCGCCTTTGTAGCCTCGGCAAGTAGAGAGTCAAGCGGTAGAAATGACCAACTACAGACAGAAAGGTCACTAGTTCGAATCCCACTAGGGACAAGGTTTTTTTCATTACTCCTCCCTATTACACCAGTATATTACGTGCAGTACGAAACGTCCCATCGATGGCCTCTGACGTTTCAACCCACGACTTTGGTGTCCAGCTGCGCCGGTTCGCTGATAGATCAATACTGTGTTATCAAAATTGTAAAAATGACATTTTGATTCTACCACAATAAAAATGTTTGAAAAAAGGTAATAATAATAATAATGATAATAAAGAACAAACAAACAAAAATGATAGCAGCAAGATTGCCAAACATGATACAAGTGAAACAGGTTGAACACAACCCAGAATGCAGGCACTGTAATAGTTTAGGGACAGTTAACATTACTGCTTTGAGTAGGAAATTTGTTTCTGCAATGGTGAATAATTTGAAATAGAAATACATATGAAACATTCTTCTTGAACATTTCAAAACAAAAATGATATGATAATCCAAATGCCAATAGTCTGGGAAAACTCACAATCTGGAGAGTTTGCCTGATTGTCATCAGTTAAACAGATAGATACATGTTGTAGCCTGTACCCTTACTGTCCATAAATGGAGTTAAACTACTTTTCTGCTTTTCTCCCATTGTTAAAACTTCCATCCATGATATCAAGAGAGGTAAACATATCATATGCAATATAGCTTGTTTAGTAATTACTGCAAAATAACTTAAACATTACATGTAGCTTTTCATGATTTGATTGTGACATTATGTGCACAGTATTAATCTAGAAACATAGACAAAGCAAAGCTGTATACAAGTCCCTATTCACATAACTTAATGCTGTATACTATATTTTACAGGATGGTGTTGTATTGGGTGCTGATACCAGAGCTACAGAAGGGTCTGTGGTGGCTGATAAAAACTGTGCAAAAATCCACTATATAGCAGACAATATTTAGTGAGTTAATAAGCTATATTAGTGAGCAGCAGATTAGAAAATATGAAAAAAATAACTTGATTATTTTGCATATATATTTCTGATCAGTATTATAGCTTTGCTGTACAAAAAGAAATTAATGTGACGTTGACTCAACACCTTATTTCAGCTATTTTAAGGAAGGAATTCTACAAGCAAAACATTTTTGACTTTCCCATTTTTGAGTTCCCAGAAATCTTAACTCTGTCAGTATGCATCACTCTTCTAATATTTACACATTTCTTTTCAAACTGAAGAGTAAAGAGTAGAAGCATTGTTTAGCAAAAACTATTTATGATATTATAACCCTTCTAGTTGCTGTGGTGCTGGTACTGCGGCTGACACAGAGATGACCACACAGAGGATTTCATCACAGCTTGAGCTTCACCGTCTTAACACTGGCAGGGTACCACGAGTGTGTACAGCTAACAGACTCCTAAAACAAATGCTCTTCAGGTAAACATAGATACAGTATATTTCTTTTCCGTGTATAAATATGTTGTTTACAGATAGATTGATGAGATAATTAATCTTCCATTGGGAACTGGAGTGGGAAAGAGGCTCTAGTATTGCATTGTGTCAGTCCTGCTATTTTATCGGGGCTCTATATCTGTACTTGTCACTGAAACTTCAAACTTTGTGTATGAGTTCACCTTGGAGAGACAGTGTCATTCATCAATAATAAATCACTCTGACATTTTGACTTTTGACCTACATCAAAGAAAAAGTGTGTCAGGGCACTGTCTCCTATACCACTATATATACAGGATGTAGGTTCACCGTGGTGAGACTGAGGCAGTGTGTTGTATTTCAAAAGTGTAGGTCAATCTCGTCTACATTTTTACCTTTAACATTCATAAAGGAAAAAGTTTGTCTAGACTCCATCTCCTATACTATTCCTCACTGAGAATTCATCCTTGTGGTATGTTTTGTTCTAAAATTTGTTCTTAAACCTTCATCAAAGGGAAAATACTGTTTGGGCTGTACTGCTAGTTTGTTCTAGCTATCCATGCATTTTTGGCATATTTCACATTCAGTGGAAGACTATGAGTCTTGTTGGTTTCAGATGTTCTTGGAGCTTCCATTAGTGAAACAGGTATATTAAAAATGGTTACATCTTTAACATTAACTTGGAACTTTGGAGCAAATTAACATATGGGTGAACTTTCAGGATATGCTTTTTTGGGGTTCCAGGTACCATGGTGGCATCAGTGCAGCCCTTGTACTGGGAGGTGTTGACTCCACTGGCCCTCATCTCTACAGTGTGTGGCCCCATGGATCTACTGACAAACTACCATATGTCACAATGGGTAGGTTGTACACTAGTCTGCAGAAAATAATATTACACTTACAGAAAATATAGAATTATATATTGCAATATAACAGTTTTTAGATTAAAAAAAAAATATTTTGAACAATAAGGATAAAAATAGGTGTATCAGGTACTTATCATCTGCAGCATACTCACCTTACTGATCTCTTACTTCATACAAATCACAGTTTATCTCTCTGATTAATCTTGACATGTTCCCAACAAATATGATGTCTAAATACTAAATGACTTTGTCTTTGTGACTCATTGCACCACACTTGGTACACGGGTATATTTATGTATTATATATTTCTCTTTAATAGGTTCAGGATCACTAGCAGCTATGGCTACATTTGAGGACCGCTTTAAACCACAAATGGAGGTAACATCATCGAATGACAAGATTAGACTAATGAATTAAAGTGTTACAATGACTGCTTCATTAATATGTTAACACCCCATAGAAATCATTTATTTGTTCATAAGTAGTGGTAGACATTATAAAAGAATCATTTATTTAGAAAAAAAATACATAGTGAAGAGAATTAAGATAATCCATTAGAGGACTCGGATTATGAATTCGAAAGTGAAATGTCAGTTTCCTTTGTCAATGTGTATATAGGACAATTGATGATTTTTTTCATGCCTTGCAATTGAAACCGAAGCATGTAGTATATAGTCAGAATTTGTGTTTCTGCTTATTTACATAATATACTGTTACATGGATTGGCATTAAATGATTCTAGAAGAAAGGTAAATTAGTCAAGCGTAGCATGTTTAAGTTATGAAGGAAGTGGTTGAAACATCTGGAGATTTATCTTGTTTTCTGAATGATTAGACAAAATAATTCTAGCCAAACATAGTTGTACTATATCTGTATTAAAATGAAAAAACAAAAAATCCTAATCTGTCAGGTTGTTTCCTTAACCTTTCCATTGAACACCATGGCCTCAAAGGCATTTACATGGAGATCAAACAAATCTATTAGACAAAATACAAAACCAGACTACCACTCTTTATGGAAAAGTCTGAAAATGCCAAACTACAGGAGAAAGTGTCGGCAAAATGTTTTGTTATATTTAGTATGCATGCCATTCAGTGATTACATTTTTGTGTTTGCAGAAAGACCAGGCCATACAGCTAGTGAGGGATGCCATTGCTGCTGGCATATTTAATGATCTTGGATCAGGAAGTAATGTGGATGTTTGTGTTATAACCAAGGGCAAAGTAGAGTACATGCGACCATATGATGAAGCAAACATAAAGGGACTGAGGTAGAATTGTGTTATGGTCTTTGTTATGTGATGCTAAAGATCTTTTGCAAATCTCTAGTTATTTTCATGTAAACTCAAAAGTATTAAACAGCAAATAGCAATATATCAGTAACTAAAATCATGTTTGGATAATTCAGTAATATTGTCTTAATTTGTAAAAACACTGAAGTTAATTTTTCTTGTTATTGTATATTATAAGATTAATTATCTTGAATTAACATTTGTCTGACATACATGTGGACTTAAGTCGTTAACGGAGAAATCATACATAGATTTGAATGGTAATCTAATTCCTGTGTTGATACATTAAGTTATGATAGAAGCCAGTTGCATATGAATGTTTTCTCACAATTCAGTTTTATACATAATTTTTTTTTTCAGATAAAAATCATGACTTCTCATATAATTGTTCAATTAATGGAATTGAAATGGAATGCCATTACTGGACTCATTCCATGGGGAGGCCAGACCAGATAGGAACAGTTTGGACCATTCAACTTTATAGAAGTAGCCTTTCTCTTTTGTGGAACATTTTGTTAAATGATGGAATTCTATCCGTTTTACAAATTACCACTACGTCACAATGTCCTTTCATTATAAAACATTACATTATCATGGTATAGAAATAATCACTCAAGGAAGAACTAACAGTTTATCTACCAAATAGTAGATTAGTGTGATTAACATGGAAACCAGAAGATGTTATGTGATATTACAAATATATTGGTTAAAAGTAAAGATTTTCAGAAGTGCTACATGTATGTTGGGAGGAGTTCTTCCTTACATGTTTAATAAATCATTTAATGATAAAAAAATTGCAAGCTTGTTTTATTTGTCATAGTATTGAAATACAGAATTTAAATTAATTTAATTCATTAAATGGTGATTTACCTGGTAATAAACTTAAGAATCAAATCTGTCATGTTTTAAGCCTACCAACACCATATGGTTATCTGTTAGATTTTATTGACTATGCTCACTGCAACTTCCATCATTCCTACATGGGAATATGGCCCATGTGACAATGACAGCTGTTAAGAAAATCTTACCACTTTTGTATAGTTTAAACATAATTTATCTTGGTAAAGGAATTGGCCACAAGATTTTGAAACGTGGACCATATGATTTTTGTAAGTTAAGGTAGCAATTAGATTTTATGCTTAATAAGGTTACAGTTTCACATCAAATGTCAACATGAGATATTCCATTTTCTATTATGTTTTATACTCTACTTGTACACAGAAGTGTGGATCTGTGCCACATTTAATTGGTCCAACATGGCAGCCATTATAAGAGTCTTTTTGTTACATGGACCAGTAATACTGAGTAGGGAATGGTTCATATCTGGTTCTACATGAAATCTGCCTGTACATTAGGCAAGAAGGTATCTTCAAAATCCTCATAATTGTACTAGTTCTTCTGACTGGAAATCCTATGTAGACATTAAATTAATTGAAAATAGTGCTTTGTATGGTTCAAACATAATTCTTAATGCAAATTTGACATATGCATCACTTGTAATGGCTGCTATTGTCATCGAATTGAAAACTATATTCCCTTATCTGAAGAGTGGGCAATGATCCCATGTTGGTCCTACATAAAACTTGAACCTATGCAATAGCCTAGGTATCTGGTTATCATCACATCTGCCTGTTTAAGAAAAGTGATCTTGTACTGATTTGTTTGTATGGTTTTAAAGCATTTTTTTAACCAACAATGTTTATTTTGGTGAACTCTGCATAATCACTTGTATGCAATATTTATTGTGTTCCTATATGGAAAACAACATAGTCTACTTATTACAGAGCTTTGTGAAAGAACTTGTGGCATATGTCATAATTCTCGGGGAAACCCATGGCATAACACAGAAAGTTTGAAAGTTTATTCTAGTTAAGCTCTGTAGAGTTAAAGGCTTTATGACTTCCAGAATCCAGCTAGACTATAGAACAACCGTTACATATATAAAGTATATTCAACGAAAACTTGGATGCAAGATCATTGAACATCATTAACCATGTTTTAAATAATCAAACCTTCAGTTTATGCACCAAAGTCATGACCTTCAAATCAAAGACGCATGATGTAACACACTCAGGTAGGTATCTAAGACAGGGATCTTATTTGTACTTTGAATAATGACAAGACCTTCACTAATGACTAGCACATGGTCCCAACTCGATGGGACTAGATGCAACATTCAAGATGGTGGCATTTTATATGCCAGTTCCCAATAAATGTGAATATTTCATCAAATAGTCACCAGGCCCTTGTTGAAACCTTAAGGGTTAACCAGTGTATAGGGAAAAAATTTAAATTGTTGCCATTGAAGATACAAGTGTTAAAACAAAATTGACACTTGAAATATATCAAATCTGACCTGGCTCAACAAATCTTCTGCTGTGAAGTCATAAACAGTGTCCCAAATTTGTACAATTCATATTTGAAAATTTTCACTAACCTGTTGTTATCTCTTACCAGTCTTTGAACAACTGGAGCCAGATTTTCATCTTTGATTGAAAAACTTTTTTTCCAGAAAGTTCTGGAGAATTCTTTCAGCTCCTGCTACTTTCTGTTGTCCATGATGTTGATACTGACCATTTAAACATGAAATACACTAGGAAGATTTGACATTTTAACTTTGTTAGAAAATTGTGAACCAAGTTACACTAATATATCAGGAAAGATGATGGTAATTTATTCAAGACTTTAACATAAATATCACTAAGATACTCTTTCACATTTCTAATGCATTGTTTCAATAGTGATGCATCATCATAAAATAAACAAGAGATCCCAGAGGGATCTTGGCGCCCACCATTTGAGGATCTGTTTTCAGTTCTTGAAGATTTGTTTATTTTTTTTTTTTTGTTTGTTACAGGTGTTGTAAATGTTCATGAACTGGTCTTCATTGAATGTACTCAATGATGGCACAAGATATTTTTATTAAGCACCTATTAGCAAATATCATTTGAAAAAGATCCCAAAGTATTATTAGATAGCAGTCAGTTACAGGTGGATAATGGACAATATGCTTGTGCTGTATTACTGTTGACATCCAAGATGGCTGCCTGTGGGCCACCTTGATTTCAAATCAGTCCAAAACAGGTACAATGCACAACTAGGGACCAAGAGAAACCAATATCTATGAAATATCAGAAGGATCCATCCAGTACTTTCCAAGAAATAGCGGTAACAATCTTTTACATCCAAAATCCAAGATGGCCACCTGTCGGCCATCTTGAATTCGAATCAGTCCAAAAAAGGTATAATGCACAACTAGGGACCAAGGGGAAACTGCATATGAAATTTGATAAAGATCCATCCAGTACTTTCCAAGAAATAGCAGTAACAAACTTTTACTTCCAAAATCCAAGATGGCCTCCTGTCGGCCATCTTGAATTCGAATCAGTCCAAAAAAGGTACAATGCACAACTAGGGACAAAGGGGAAACTGCATATGAAATTTGAGAAAGATCCATCCAGTACTTTCTCAGAAATAGCGGTAACAAACTTTTACTTCCAAAATCCAAGATGGCCACCTGTCGGCCATCTTGAATTCGAATCAGTTCAAAAATGGTACAATGCACAACTAGGGACCAAGGAGAATCTGCATATGAAATTTGAGAAAGATCCATCCAGTACTTTTCCAGAAATATGGTAACAATAATTGTTTATGGACGGACGGATGGACGAAGGACCACTGACGGCAGGGCGATTTGAATACCCCACTATCTGATGATGGTGGGCTAAAAAAAAACCAAGTCAACAAATGTCCATATCAACATTTTAATTTTCAAATAAAAAAAAACAGTGTTACAAAAACAACATCACAATATAACACTTCTGTTTCAATTTGACATTTCACTTCCATTGCTTTCCATTGAGAATATGATTTTCTTGAAAGACATCATTATAAGTGTAGAAACCAGAGCATTTGTTCTGTAATGTCATTTGTAGTCATATATACATAAAGACATGAGCTGTTGTTTTTGGAGTTACCATTTATATTCCACATCAATTTGTTTTTGTTGTGATATTTATCAACCAGGCGTACATATTAGATCACATCCTATGGAATACATTTACAATGAAGACAGAATTATTAATTATTTCAAAATCTGGAATGCATATTGGATTTCATTTTTATGGTTTTTAAAAATGTACAACAGATATAAAAAAAAATTGAATGTTGAAATTCTCATGTTGGCCCCGGAGTTCAAATTTTAATTGATATGACAATTCTTAAAAAATTTTGCAGGCTGTATATGTATCTGTTAAAAAATGTGTATTCTATTCGACAGTTGATACCTAAACAAAATGTTTTGCTCATCAAAGGACACATACAAAGGTGGAAAAAAATGGTTGTGCATTATGGATTTCTAATCTGTTTTGACCGAGCTTGATAATGTAACTCATGTAACATACATACCACTGAATTACATGTTACAGTATTACACATGGTTTAAAGTACAAAACAAGATATGTCAAAACATTCAAAACTGCTTGATATACTTAATTCAACTCTTTTTTTTATCTTTTCTGTCATATTACAAAAACTTAACATGATATATTTTTAAAATTTATAATCTTCAATTAAATGACAAGCTTGCATAGAAGTACACATATATATATATATATATATATCTGTACAGCAGTGATTTCTGTACAAAATACATCCCTGGTATATACCTCCCATTTATATAGATTACCATCCTCGATACTCCAGTGGTTACAATCACTTTCGCTCTCTGCACTCCTGGAACTTGTCATGGCAAAACCAAAGGGGCAAGTGAAGAAATGTGATTGGCTCCAGGAGAAAACAAAAAGACCAATCACAGGCTGAAACACTCCTTTTGAAGATTACAAAAGAGCAACACCCAATTTCAAAGCCAGCACAACATACTGTAACCCCAGGTTCGTTTGATGTACATCAAAAGATCAATAGAGTCTTTTGGTCTTGTCCACAAAGTATTGCACAGCACATGGAACCTTCAACTTTTCCATGACATGTTCCTGGTGTGCAGAGAGTGAAAATGACTAACCCCTGGAGTATCTATAATGACAGATTACAAGATGATGGCAATATTCTTTCAGCAATTGGTGCAGTCACACGTCCTAGTTGTAACTGTCACTCTAAACCACTAATATATGTATACTGGAGTGCATCTAACATCACATTGAAGACAAATTAATATCTGTACATTAATTGTCTCTGATGGTGAACCAAAGATCAAAAGGAATATTTGATCACATATGGTCAACTCCTGAATATTATTGTATTTCTAGAAGTGGTGGTGACAGGGCTCTGTTGTATATGTTGTAAGTAACAATATGGACTTGAAGACATCAGTCTTACAAAATTATTTAGACACGATAGAACCTAATCATCCAGAATGTATGACAGCCATAACATCAATACAACTACCATATACATTTTACAGACAGGGAAATGACTGAATATACTTACTGACCACTGTAAATTGTAATACTTCATATTTAAAAAAAAAAAAAATTAAGTTTATAGATTAAAGATTTTTCTTACAATATGTTCTGGGGGCCAACATACAAATTCTGACTGAAAAGTCTGAGGACCGACTTACAGAAAGACAATGAAAAATAAAATTTACCAAACAGCAATGGGTGGGCTTATTATAGCAGAAAAGACCACTATTCATTTACAATCTGCTTTTCTTACACAGAAAACTCATTTTCCTTAATTGGAAAAAATATCCATTTTTCCAATACTACTAAGCATATATGCTTTTGAACACTATTTCTGAATTCTGTTTGATTGTGTAAACATCATAGAGGGATGTAATTCTTAAAAGATGTTGATATGGCCCCTAAAATATCTAACGATACTACATCTAGGCTGAATTCTCAGATCCCTTTCTATCAGAGCACCGTTGATAACTTAAGAAATCTGAAAGAAGGATTTCTTACATTTTATATAATACATCTTGCCCATCATTGCAATGTAATGGAAAAGTAAGTTATAAAAAGATTTCTTTATTTTTCACTTCAATTTATTATTCTTTGTTTATATCAATTGTCCTTGTAGAATCTACAAATAATGCACACAATTCACATTCACACTGACTCACATTACAGAAACAGTTGACAATCATTACACATTACCGGTATCTAACAATATGACTGCAGGAATGCCAGCTGCAGTGTTTATTACTGAGCTTCAATTTGAAACATATTTTAGCCTAGCATTGTTTCACAAAGGATCTACATATTGCACACAATCAATTTTCTATTTCTTTCTTTCTATTTTAATTGAAATAAAAATCTCTAAATCACTTCCAAGTCTATCTATAGTATTACATTTCTGTCTGTTTGTGTCCACAATCAGCAGTTTGATTATTTTGATGCTATTACATATAAATTAGATCCAATATGGACGCTGTAATTACAAAGTATAAGTATTCATGAAATATTTTTTTCTCCTTTCTTTTTCCATTATCTTTAGAAGTTTATTTGTACATAACACATAAATCTATTACAAAAAAAATTATTTACACAATCAATTTTTTTATACTAATAAAGCAATTAACCAGTCAAACTATAATTATATTTCTGGACACAGAATAGTCTTGGTGTCACCTCAATTTATTTGATAAATTTGACTTCAGGAAATATCAAATGTGAGGCCCTGTAGTACATACAAGAATACATATAATTAAGTTATTTGATAACTCTACATCAATTCAGAATGAAGAATTACGTGACATTTATCACCAATATTGTCACAAATGATTCAGGCATGTAGCCATTTTTGTTTACTGATGACAGTGCTTTTAAGCATGTATTATCATATATGATGCAAAATTTACATATACAGTTAATAAACAGATAAGGATTTCCTTTATATAATTCTTAATCAACATCATAATGTACATATTTCAGCGAAAACCAACAATCACTGTCCATAAGGTGACACATTTGATATATATGCAATAATAAAAAAATTTTAAAAAATTAATACACCATGATGTTGTTTTAACACAGCATACTAAAGGTCAAGTACACAATCACGACAAAGGACTTATTGGTTACAATGAATAAATTGTTGTATTAAGATTTTAAACTTTGTCCTTTGGAATATGTCAAGGTCATTCACTTGAACAAACTAATTCATCTATCCCTGCCTACTGCTGGTCTGATTGATGTATTATGACTGAATTCTTACAAAACTTAAAATTATATCAAATACACTCAAATTTTACATTTGAGTAATTCATCAACATGACATATATAATACATACTAGTACTCATGTATCAATTTGTCAAATCACACTTTTAAATAATACATAAGTAGTTGCATGAATGTTTTACTTTATAGTGAAGATGCTCAAACATAATCAGGGCATGATCACAAATGATTGAAATGATAAATATCCTTGGGACTTGTACAGTAATGGTGACAATGTTGTCTGGAGTATCTTGTCTAATTTTTTAGAAAACATCAGACTCCATTTCCTGCTCCAGATATATAAAGGGATGAATGAAGGTTGCAAAATATCTTATCGATACATATGTCAATCATGGATCAGTGGATTTGATGTGGGTGGGAGGGGCGCCATGATAGCTAGGTCAGTTGAGCGTGGGACCAAGACAACCTCTAATGAAGATCAAAAGTGCTTAGTTCTATCCCTGCTGGGAGTGGTGATGTTTCTCAGGCAGATGAAACGTTGTGTTATGGTGGCTGTGTCTTTAGGCAAACACTTTACCTTTAGTCTGGATAACATGCAGCAGACTTTCCACATGACGTTCACTGAGGAATCAACCACCAGCTACAACTACAAGGAAATCCCATCAAAACATATCTCAGCAGTTCACCAGACGATAAACCCAGCATTGACACTATGGAAACATACATCAACACACAACCACTTCAAAAAAAGGGAAAACATTTAGAGAAGAGTTGGTATTCCACATGAGGAACATTTACAATGAGCACTTGATATACCACCACACATGGGGAAGAGTGAACATTAAATAAGCCACACAGAAGACATATTTACTGTGAACCGTTGATATACCACCACACAGTGGGAACAGTAGATAATCCTCACAGGAGAAATAGTTATGTAGTGAATGGTTGATAAACCACACACAGGGAATGAAAGAAGAAGTAATTGTCAATATATCAAGGGAAAAAGTAAACTTTATCACAACTTATCATACAGTGACAAATAGTAACATTCTTATGTATGCCTGGTATCAAGGGTTCAGTGCTGTATCTCAATATCATTGTGCAGCAATGAAAGCAGGTAATGATTAGTAGCATTTTCCTATAGTAAGTATTTGTAAGTGTATATACACTGTATGAACGAGGGCTAAAATCCATTTTATTATTATAGATTTCAGGCACTGTACTAAGTACATGTTTAGTGTGTAATATCATTTTTATAACTCAATGATCAACTGAAAAGAAATTAAACAATCTGTTAATACTGATACAGAGATACCTCTGTTCTTTTATCTGTTGGTTTTTTTAACAATAAAAATATATGTTACATAATTAATTCTCATTTGATACATTTTTCAATAATACTTCAGAGAATATCAACATTGTAAACTGCTAATCCTTTCTGGTATAGTTTGTGTAGGACATCAATATAAGCGAAGTACACCACCAAATATCTAAAGAGTAATTCTAGTCAGTTTCACATAAAAATGGCTGACTGGTTTTGTTTTCATTATGGAACCAAGTCATAATTAGGCAATGATGTGTAGTTCAGATACAATGCATATAAATTTTAGTTCGGAAACCAACAACATCGACACACCATCACATTCCATGTCACATTTACTGACAGTTTGTGTGTATACAGCTAGGTGAAACAAATGGAAATATTGATTGTGCCAGTTTTCAATGTCAATTGAATACAACAATTATCTTGAATGTACATGTATTTGAATACCAACTTGATTCAAGAGTTATATAACACACAGTTATTTACACATATACTTACAGATATATCACAAGACAGTTGTATTTTCATAACTTAGAAATTGGAATATCATGTTTCTATATATTGGAAATTTAGCTGCCAATCAATCTACAATGTTAATGATGCAAATTCCTGAAAATTGGTTCTACTAGATACATACAGGTCTGTTGAGACAGCCAGTAACTGGATAACACACAGTACTGAACATATCCAATCAGGTAACCGAAAAGGACATCACTAACATGATGACGTCCAAGCATTAGTCTGGATGCAGTAACGAAAACTGACCACAGCAACAGAAGTCCATGGAATGATGAATTCACAACCAATCTTTCAGCTAGTAGGAAGGCCACCATTGCTGCTCTTGTAGCATGGCCAGAAGGAAATGAATAGTTGTCAACAGAAACTGTTGCAAACATGTCCATTTTATTGTGCGCTGGTCTTGGACGCTGGAACAGGAACTTCAGAAATGCCACTATTATCAGGTCACCAATAAGACCTACAAAAGAGATTTGATATATTATGATATCGGATCAATACTTATACATAACTACATGTATATTCATATCTATTTAAGTACTATTTTGGGAATATGCATATTCATATAACATTGAAGGAGTTTCCATACGCTCAAATCAAGTGTTTCAACTACACAATATACATGTATACTCTTAGTAACATCTGGGACATATAATATTGTATTATATGTCCCTGGAAACATTAATCCGTGTACAATCGGATGTCACTTGATTACATCTATGAACATGTGTTAAATGAAGCAAGAAGATGATTACAAAGATGTCCGCAACACTAAATTAAAGTACTAAATTTCACAATTGGAACATTTTTAATAATGGTTTGATTTAAAACTAGTATACAACCCCTTTGCTTCTACCAAATTGTTCAACAACAGGCGCTTAGTCTGCTGATGAAAAATTACAAATGTAATATATATATATACATATCCTACTAATTTTTTTTCATTTTTTTATCATCGAGCTAAGTGGCTGTGGTTCAGCCATTTCGACAGTTACCGATATACTGACAAAAGCTTCAGCTACAATGGTACTACTTCATGAACTCGACTTCAAGTGCTAATTGGCTGTAAGCATTTTTATTTACCTATAAATAAATTAACGAGAACTTCTATATGAGCTGCTTTATGAAGGGTTAGTAACATGCCGACTGTTCCTAAGAGCCAAGGAATTCCGTGGCAAGATATTTCCAATGCCTTCATCAGAGGTCGGAGGTTCCCAAACGATGAATCCTTGTCGGCACAAATACTGCATTTCTTTGTCAGCCTTATATCAGCTGAAGCTATCGATTTCAAGAAAGAATCCACTGATTTGATGAGTTTCTGGTGTTGCAAGTCCTTATTACGATTATTAGATCCATTCGTTCTTCGTTTTTTTCTTGCAATGGATGACATTTTCGTTCCTCAACTTGCAAAGTCTCAATATAATGTCATGATTTCATTGGTCGATGGTGAAGTCCCGGGAAATCCCTTTCAATGCGGAACTCTGGGTAGAACACTAAATATAGAAAGCGTGCTGGTTTCCATGACCGCAAGGTGTTCAATAAAATTTTTTCTTAACAATCTACTTATCATTTTTTAATGTTCCCTATTTCTTTTGATGAAAAAAATTAATTTCGGTTCAAGCAAAACATATAAAATCTACTTTGGTTGGAAAAGAGACTGAACAATGTTTTCTGAAAATCATGTGATTTCCATCAGTGACGTCAAGAAAAGTATTTCGGGTGCGGGAGATACAAGATGACAGTATAGCGGTTGTAAGGAACAAGGTGTATTTTAACCTGTATTTGCTTCTAGATTTGAGATGTTAACACAGAATAACTAATAGCGCATAAAAAACTTTCAACCGACCGTCAACTCCCATACAGAAGAAATTAATAATAGAGAATGTCGAAAAAAACAGATGAGACTGAAAACAGCCCTGCTTGGTGTAACCAGAATGCTATAACTGCAGATGTGGTACCCGATGTGCTGTCGAAGATCAGGGTCTTGAACCTAAATGCAAGAATTGAAAACCAACCTACCACAATTGATGAAAGTTCCAGTGCGGTTTTGAAGTACCAAACACCAAATTTCCGGTAAGACAACTAGAAATTTAATCTAAATGCAGCAAAAAATACTCCACATTTCACATCACTTTTACCAGTAAATAATCATTTTTAGAAACAGTTTACCCTTGACATCGATTTTTTTCTTTACTGTTGACCTCGTGATGTTGGGAGGTTAGATTGCCCTAGTGGACGATATCTGCCCTTTAAAAAGAAATTAAAAGATGTCAATCTTAGCCGTGGGCGGGATGCACTAGAACTGTAGATATTATTTTTTCTTTAAATCAAAGCATGAATTTACCAAGAACACCATTGTGCCGACCTCAACTTTACATACTGTTACTCTATATGTAGTGTTTGGAAAATCTTGAATGCCATGTATCAGGAGAAAATGACTATGAAAAAACTTAGATTGTATAGTATATTTGAAACAATTACAGGAGTAAAATGATAAAAAACTAACCTATGAAGTGAATAAAAATACAGAATCAATATTCATGCAGAAAGATGCCAAACTTTTCAAAACTTTAAATTTTACAATATTACTGCAAGCTAACTGGACCATAGTTTCACCATTTGACTTGTCTTGCACACACTAAAAAAAATAAAAGACTAAGAGATCTGTTAATTTTCATTATTTCACATTGACATGTCAAAAAAGCAAAAAAAAAAAAAAAAATAATAATAATAATAAAAAAAACTATAGTATTGTCTGCACACTACCTATTCAACTTATATACTGTTTACTGTGTACCCTTGACATTTTGTTTATCAAAGATAACCATGTGTTGTTAGCAATGAACAAAAATTTGCATCTTTTGCAGTTGTCATTGTTTTTAACATTTCAGAGTTTCAGCCACTGTAGAGATGGCCCCAATGCCAGAAGAACATAAGTGGAAGGTTGGCTGGATACAAGCCTGTACTGATATGATGTTCCATAATACATATGGAGATGAAGGATAGTAAGTACACATATGTATTGTAAACATGTGTGAATTAATAAGCTAGAAATGAACACTCAGCCAAACACATTTCTTGTTAGGAATTATATCTTTTTCTCTGTGTATACTAGACTTACCAGTGATACTTACCAACATTTGCATCATAGTGCAGGGCTCTCACACCCCATTTTGGGACTGGGCCCGAGGCCGTTATAATTGGGAAAAATAGTGGCATTTACCTTAGAATTGGGAAAACTTGGGGTCTAAATTGGGGAAAAAAAGATACTATTTTGCATTGGGAATGGGGCTGAATATCGGCCCCAAATCTGGCAGATCGAGAGCCCTGTAGTGAATATGAGTTATTTCAATATCTGCATAAATAGAAGTACCTTGTTTTCATTCAATATAACACCAATTGTTTATTTCCTTTTTCAGTACAAGTTGGGAATTTCCTGAACTGACCAGTGGCCAACAAATAATGATAAGCGATTGTGATGGCCATCATTACCCATGGTATGGATCTCGCAATGAGACTGTCGTGTTCCAGGGTCCATGTACTATGTATCAGTCTGCCAGCATTAGCATGAATGACAACTTCCATCCTCACGTGACATGGCGTAACCCAGCAAACCGTAGCCAAAATGAACCAAACCTGACCAAGATTGTCCGTGATCAGACCTTTAATGTCTGGCTAGTTGCTTGGAATATGTCACTGCAAAAGGCTTACATCCTCAAAACTGTGCGATGGAACATGCGTTTGGATATTAAAGTTGATCCAAAGAAACCGTTAGGACAACGGGCAGAGTTAGTCAGCAATCCAGTTCCCAAGCAGCCAGAGGTACTGGCAGAGAATATTTCTCTACCACGGTGTGCTTTGATGCCTCCAAATGCCAACAGTGCCCAAATGCTTGTTTGGAGACCAGCAACTGGACGTCCATTGTGTGTAATACCACCAGTATGGCAGAATGATGTTCCAGTAGAAGATCAAGTGCGAAAATATGATAGTAAACTCTGCAGACTTTGAAGAATGGATCACTGGATTGCTTGTCATGATTTCTTGCAGTCAGACGATCAGTAGAACTTTGATAGTATTCAAGTTAACTTATATGTATATATTGAATTTTTGAAGATCTATATTTTTACACAATTCTACTTCATAGTAATTTTTAAATATTTCTATAATTATTTGCTATTTTGAAGGTAATTTTTTTCTGATTCTGTGATAAAAAAACTTTTATAACATAAATCAAACTTAAATTCAAGATGCAACTTTAATAGTGAGATTTTACTGAATCATGTTTCAAAATGACTTTTTTTGTTTTGCTAGGAGTAGTTCAGTCACTTTGATTTTGTTTTTTACTTGAAATCAGTCAAAAAAATATTTATTGAATAAATATTCAAAAATCCTGTTGGAGTTTTGTTATTATCAGCTGGTGATTTAATGCAGCAAACAAAGGCAACCTTTTTACATTGTTTTGACTATACATTTACCTAATTTTAAACACTGATCATGTAGAATTCCCTTTGAACTGTTAGGTTGTTTGTAGGTGAAACTGGTCAAAATTTTGTTATAGTTATGACTAACACCAATCTCATCATTATTTGTCATCTATGAAGTTGGAGATTTTCAAAGTGAAATTATACAAATATTCTGACATATCTAGACAATAGGAACTATTTCAATCCAACAGTTTGGAATTGTTCTTGTTTGTGCATGGACTGCCTGTATTCTGAAAATTTGCAAATATGATACAATTGTACATGTGTATTGAAGTTTTTTTTAAGTAACATCATCTCCTCCCTTACTTTTGTTTGGTTTTTTTTTTAACAAAAAGCATTGTCCATATATTTTATAGGTCTTGAGGTCAAGGCCATATGAAGTGATAAGTTCTCTTAGTAAAATATCTTATAAGCATCAATGTCTGTATCTTTATCATGGTATATCTTGATGAATACCATACATGGACCTGTTTATATGAATTTTCATACCTATTTGTTTAACACACATTTTGATATCTTGAAAATTTTGTCAGCACTGTGTGATGTTATTTGTGGAAGCAAATTACATGAACAAACAATTAACAACTTTAAGACTGATTAGAAGAAACTCCAAAGTAAAAAATGTGCATTTTACTATTTTCATTTTTTAAGATGGAAAAAAAATTGGACAGCAAGATTCTGTCTGATCCAGTTATTAATTTCTTAATCTAATATTGAGAAACATTGTTACATGCAGTTCATCAAAATAAAGAGAAATTTGAAACATTTCAAAAGGTGACTTTATTTTCTATATATTGTACATATCATTTAAATAGCAAACAACATTTCAACATATGTCTGGATGACATAACATCTCTCAGGTAACATTTCTGGGTTTTTATATCACTCTCACTACCAATAGACAATTACATGGAAGATTTAACAAACACTACAGCACACTTGGTAAATATTAAGTTATCTTGAATTAAGAATAAAAACAAAAATTCAATGTCAACCTCTGATCTATGGGAATACCCAAAATATAGAAGTATCTTGGTATAGGTTGTTTATTCTACATGAAATGGTACTGATGTAGCATTTAAGGAAATCTTGTGTAGAATGCCAGTGTAATTTAGAGTAGTATCTATACACTTTAACCTGTAAAAATCAATTAATTCTGTAGCAGTGTACAAATATAGCAGTACACTGGGTGCTCTAGAAATAATGACTAGAAAAACACATCTTTTAAACTTTTCAGTGTTTTTCTTCTTTGCAAAATGCTGAAAAAAATCTGTCAACCCAAAAAGAATAAAAAAGAAAAAAAAAACAGGCCGCTATTAATCATGTACAAGATAAGTACAAGATAAACAAAATTTCGAGTATAAAAGATTCAATGATGACAGGAACAAAGCACTTCAATATAAACTAAAGGGTGGTAAATTTTGAATACTTGGTACATGTACCTCATATTCTAATTTACAGATTAAGAAGTGACATGCTTAATTCATCAAAACAATTATAAACTCTTATCATAATCATTTTCACTGAAAGATATATTACCCATGACAACTTTACAACTGTACTATTACAGTAAAAACACTGAGATTTCCCTTAAATTCTAGAAAGATTTCAACAATGACAACAGATATTCCAGACACTGAAGAGGATTCAACAATACAAACAACTTCAATTTAACAAGGACAGTCTAACTATAATCAAGAATTCCAAGTAAGATACTTGTACATATGGTGTAATAATTTGTGTCATCTACTTGGATTAAAGGGGAGACACCACAAAACACTTACAAATTGCACAATAGTTTGTCATGGGACTTGACAGACCCAAAAAAGGAAATCCATAACATTAAGATTTAAAATAACAAGACTGTTCCATACACTTCCATAATCTATGAGGAAGTATCTGCTTCAAGCAAAGGGAGAAGTCGTTATAACACCAGGGTGTGAAATACAGCTTATATAAAATACAAGTCATATACAGAAATAAATATATTATTGTTATCCATCAATATGTACAAGTCTTATGTAGCCATTGCATAGGCACCTTAAACCTATGTTTTATTATCTATGTTATTGAAAAAGGTGAAAGAATCATAGAGCTAGAGTAATTTTGATTTATAATCAGACATGAATGCAAGTGACAACTTATTGCACTTTGTCAAGACAATTCTTTTAATGTCAAACAGATTCTTGTTGGCAATGTAGTCTATCAATATAAAGTTATGTCAGCTGTACATACAGCAGTAGAGCACTAAAAGAGAATTAAAGCAGCAAGCCTGTATTAGAATTTTCCAAAAAACACTGCCCTAGCTGGTACATACATAAGCATTTTTTTCCTTAATGGTAGAAGTCATCTATAACAAACATAGCCTGGAATCAGATGTTGTGTGTTTATCTCTCAAGTTTAAACTAATGTAAGAATGATTTACCTTTGTGTAACATTAAAATATGAAATAGGTATTTCTATAAGGGTAGTATGTGTATACAGAACCAATCATTTTTTTGTTTTTGTTTAGGGGTATATTTTTGAAAGGAGTAGGGATGGAGGGAAAGGGGGAGCAGTTAGACAATAAATGTATCAGGAATGTTTGTTTCAAAATATTTAAACTTCTTTAGAAGTTGGTTCAGTTTATATACAGAAGATAGTGGTTAACCTTGGGGTTAAAATCAAAAACAGTACAAATCCATGATTTTTATCTAATGTAACATATATCACAAAAATATCATTACTTAATCAAATGGGAAGAAAAAAAATCTGAATATGAATAAACTTCCTGGCAAAATCACACACTATAGGAAATCTATAAAGAACATGATGCAAATTATCCAATAATAGGTTGTCAACATTTCAGCTCTATCCTGGTTGGAAATAAAAGGATGGTTTCTCGAGGAAATCTTATTTTTTACCTTCACATTATCTACAAATACTACAAATATATACACACAAACAACATGAGAAATGTTAATCATGGAACTCAGATCCTACAAGCATTTACATTTATTTACAAAATTATGTTGGACGATATATTTCTAGTTTGAATGGACGGAATAATTCAGTGGAAAGAATTATTGAGTTTTCAAAATAATTTACAGTACTATCCAGATCAAATTCTGAATATTACATTCCAGCATATAACATCTAGCATTCCAGCAAAGGCTCATTTCTCTAAATATTTAATATACATTCAACACCTTCACTTCATTAATAACATTTCTTTAAAACATTATCTTTATATTTCAATCTTTCATAAATTTGTTTATCTATCTGCACATAACAAAGAACATGTTTATAAAAAAATATACATACATGTACTGTTGCTGATACAATTTACATGTCTGTAGTTAATTTAAACTAGACAAATTTGAATAAACTTTGTTCAAACTTTAATGAAGTTGAATCTGTTATAGAATATCTTAGCTTACATAAACAGCAGCAAGAGACAAATGTTATCAAGGGGAAAGTTTTTACATTAATGGAAATTTCAGCAAAACAATTAGGATAATGTGAAAAAGAGCAAAATTGTTGCTACATAAGAAAGTACATTTTTCTTCCCTCAAAACAAGTGTAAAAGGCTGTTCATCTAAACTGAAAATAAAAACAAAAAGAAATCATGCATATACCTGTAGAACCACAATAATGGTATAGTTTACAAAATGTTCTTAAATAAGCAATAGACACAAGGTACTTTTTTATTAATTCATTCTCAACATGTTGAAAATATCTCGCCCTGTTCATGAGTTTTTCTGTTATTCATCATGGTTCAATAGCTTATCTTCAGTAAAACTAATAATTCATTGACAACAAACCTATATTCAGTATACACAATGAACAAGAGGGCTGTCCAGAAAGTATTAGTTGATGTATTACTGCACCACATTTACCAGTTTTCCCGTCTTCAGATTTTAAAACAAATGTTATCCAGCAACTATACAAAGTATAACATCATTAGGTATTAACAGGGTTCACATTGATCAGCAGATCAGCTAAGTAAAATGCCTATGTAAATATAATCTTCATAAATGAAAAAAAACAAAATCAAATAATGCTGAATGTCACTGAAATGCTAAACCAACTTTTACTGATATCTGTGGAGAGAGATTTACAAAAAAAAGTTCAGGATCTGAATCAAAAGGTCCACAACTAACATAACTTTGTTTCTGAGGGAGGGGCTTCAGTCATGCATTCTAAGAAAGTTCTTACTCCAAGCATGAATTGTTCATGTACCAACATCAGCAACACGAATTTAACCAAGTTTGATAAGGGACTGATTTGATGAAAAAAAAATAAAAAACCAGTATAACCTAGATTAAGTTAACTGGCCATTAAGAGCAAAATGTCAAAGATATACATTGATATTTTGTATCTATTTACTGAAAAATCTTCAGTTAGATGTTCTTGTTTATCACTTTTGACACTGATTCTCAACTAAAGGCAGGCTGGAGATGTAAAATTGTTATAGCAAATAACACTACACATTGGAAAATCCATAGATTTCTAACATAAATAAATTTCCAATGTGCTATGAACTTAATAAAAATAACTATCTTGCCCAACGTACAGTATCATTACTATGATCATGCTTGTCTTGACTCTTGGAAAGCTATTGTTGCACTCATTCAATTTTTCAGATATCATGATCAAAATGATTGAATTTCAACAATAAAATAGCTTAATTCATATTTGCCCTTATTACGTCGAACATATGAATATAATTAAATGATTATTAACAATTCAATTCAACTAGGCCAATTCCCAGCACTACTTCACACAACCTGTATTAAAATTAATTTAGATGTAGCTTAAGTAGTAATCTACAGAGATGTAATTTTTCTATTGTATTGGTCCCCCACCTCCACACTACTCAAGAGGTCCCATTTATATATTATAGAATATTTCTACAGCCCTGGAATGTTCCAATTGAAGTATTTAAATGCCTCTTCCCTTACCCCTGCTGTGCTACACAAGCTAATCTGTACTTGTCTGGTATAAAGCAGATATGCAGACAAGTCAGATGAATCAAATTAATGACACACTTATCAATTAAAGGTCTATTTAGCAGAAAACACACACTTATGAAAATCTCCCATGCTAATGTTTCCTATATCTATATTTGCTTTAACATCACCATGATGACAACTGTCTAAGGCAAATGAAGAAATACACATCTATAATGTTATTGTTGATAAGGGATCCTCGGAAAGTGAATGATATTTCTGTACAGTATTCCAGAAGTGAAAGTCACATCACAACAGCAAGTGTTCTTTATTCTAAGGTGAAAGTCAGTATTTACAGTATTATGCATATATGTGATGATCCATTAAGTGCAGTAAGAGCAACACATTGGCAAACAGATAAGTGTACTCAATTAGCATGTCAGCCGGGTCTAAATGCCTGATGAGAGATTTAACATCACTGTATAATGAACTGCAACAGTTGTTGACAAATATAAGGTTATGAATATATGGACTAAATTTTCATGAATTTGAATTCTCTGGCATTTTCATTGGATGGACTATTGAGTATTGTATGGATAATGGTGACTAAATTCATTGACACACCAATCACAAATATAGACTATCTAACCAATTACATCCAGAGCACTGAAAGTTACTCCAGATCTATTTCAATGACCATCTGACTTTTCTCTTCAGTTATCCATATTTTCATTCTTTCATACTTTCATTAAATTTGGTGTGATTTTCATGAATGATTGATGAGAGCTTGGATAATGATTTATGAGTGGAACAAATACAAACATACATAAAACTGTGAAACAAATTACATATATGTATATATATAAAGTATATACCATCTATGTAATGTATACACTGCTGTGGAATAATCAAAATATAATCCCTTGTTAGAGTAAAAGTTATTCCCCAAAAGTCAAAAATAACTTATTTTATGCTCTGACTGGACGGATATCGAGCATACATCCAAAGCTCTATATATTAATATATATATCATCATTTTAACCATTTATTTTCTCTGATAGTTTTATGGTTGATGTAGAAAGTGTACTTCCATTTCATGAAGAATCAATAATACCTGATTTCATCTACACTTCCACTGGATTTCAGTTTCAAATCAATGGAGTGAAATAAATATTTCAAGTAGCTTTGAAAAGTTTTTAAAATTCAAACTATGTAATTGCTAATTTTCATGGATTATATACACCCTTGGACTATTATGTGTTTCAAAACTTATTTTCCAAGTCTTTTGTAATAAACCAGAGTAGCAAAATGTCATTAAAAAAATCAATGAAGAAATTTCATTATTTCTTTCTATTATCAATGAGATCATCCAATTTGTTCATAAAATTTGGGAGAAATAATCAATTAATCCGAATAAATTCTCAATGTGTTAAGCTATAGGTCTTCCTATATACTGATATTTTTTTAAGCATTTTTCAATAAAAGCAAAACAATGGCAAGACACATGATTTCGCAAATGGTTTACGAACAAGAGGTCTCAGGTGACCTAGAAATCCATCACTGAAATTAGCAACTACGCAGTCTGAAACATGATAATTTAACAAATGATTTAAGTAATAAATACAACAATTTCAAATGAGCCTTAATTGATAAAATGGTAATACTGCTCCTTTGAATTTAAAAAGGTGTTGATTATGAGACATATTCTTTCTGGTTTTCAGTTTTACACAACTTGTTCCTGTTGTGGTTGCTGTGGTGGTTGCTGGGGAATCTGTTGCTGTGGTAACTGTTGTTGCTGGGCAACCATTGCTGGCTGCTGTGGGAACTGTGTTTGTTGTGGGGGCTGCTGAAGGTGGGGATGATGTGGATGCTGGACATGTGGGGTGGCAGGTGTGGCTTGACTGTGACGTTGGTGCATCATTTGGGCCACCTCATTTACATAGGTGATGTCAGGTCGCTGCTCTGGCTTAGGGTTAATACAAATGGCAATCAGGTTCCTTAACTAAAAAAAAGAACAGAAAAACATGTTTTTGTAAGTTCCAAAGTGCATCGTTGCAAGTTTTGTGTTGTACTTTTAAGCATAGTTTTGTGATGTACATATAGAAACTAACTTCCAAGGGGGGGGGGATTTACATTCACTCACCTAATATGAAAATGAAAATATCTTTAATTAAGTCTGTGTCTGAGGTAAACACAAAGTCCTTCCCTATCTGAGGCATCTGAGGCAACACACAATTCTTCCTCCACCCTCTGTGGTGGAGAAAAACACACAGTCCCTTCCCCATCCTGTGTGTCTGAGACACACAGACCCTCCAATATCCATTGTGTTAGAGGCAAACTCACAAGTCCCTTTCTTTCCCTTTGTGACACAAATCAGACTCCCTCATCAACCCACTATGTCTGAGGAACACATAGTTTCTCTCCCCATCCGAAGTGCCAAAAGTAATTCCACAAATTCACTCCCCTCCCCTTATACGACTGAGTCTAAGGTAAACACACAGTTACTCTCTCATCCTCTGTAACAGACAGTCCATTTGCCACTGATTCCAAGACATATGCAAGCATATGGTCTATTCCCTACTGAACTGTGTTCAGGACAAATTCTCTTTCACAACCACTTTATCTGAGGCAGAAATACAGTCTCTTCATCTCCCATTAGTCTCTTACATGATGTTTTCCCCCACGAGCATTAATTAAAGACTGTAAATAATAATAACTACAATGTGAAAAGGATTTTAAAAGACATCCAATATAAGAAATACCAAAACACTTCAAATTAACTATACTCACATCCTCGGAGTACCAATCGGCTGGCAAAGGTGGGTAATCACACTGGTCAATCTTTTTACAAAGTGAGTACAGGTTCATCTTGTCTCCATAAAATGGGGACTGTAAAGCTGCCATCTGATAAAAATGCAAAATTTTCATGTAGGTTAATGACCAAGATACTATAAATTACATTTTGAAGAGTTTATTCTTTTTTTAAACGCTGAATATGTGTATGTGACCAGTCTTAATATCATCGATCTGTTTCTCTAGAACCAGATGATTTAACATATCACCAGTACTTCTTTCAAAGTTTTAAACATATGTGACAAAATGATCATGAAAGTTTAAGAAAATATCACTTATTTTATTAATGTTGGCATCACTAATCTACTAATCATGGACTTAATTTGATTTTTAATTTTACAATTTACATCTTCATTATAATTATGATAATGCACGGTCTGAAGCATGTAAAATAGTAGTACGGTAGTTGGTATTTTGTCAATTTGACTATAAATCCTGAGTATCAATCCAATCAGATAAAAATACCATAAACATAGTGCTCACAAGTATACAGTCTTCCAAATAATTCAACATTAGATGTATAAGAATTCCAGATTTGATTTGATGAGGTATATATAACCTACCTCATACAGTAGACAACCCAAGGACCACATGTCTGATTTAAAGTTGTATCCTGTTTCATGGATTCTTTCTGGAGACATGTAGTATGGGGTTCCAACTATTGACAAAAACAAACAACAAGGATTACAGACACATCAAAGAAATAATATATTGTATTTACCCTCAAATCAGCCTAGGGAGTCTTATACATTACCTCTGATTCAAATTCTGAGGGAGGGCTTATTACAGACATTGAAAAAGTACCTTTAGTACTACTACTTCCAGCAACAGATATGGGTGGGATTATTACCATGATCTCAATGCTGGATAAATATAGCATGTAGAATTGGGTTCTAATGACAGAAAAAATATATAGTAAATACATCATCCAACTGTTGACAAAAATGAAATTGTGAAAGTATTGACAGAAACAACCCATGAAGTATGAGGTCTCAGTTACAGTACTGGTTGTATATGGTCCCATTAGTTGCAATGTTTTAAGCAGAATAGGTATAAATTCCAATGCCAGACAACAAAAGAACATACAGAGTGGAGTTAAGTATAAAATGGTGTTGGAAGTTAAATAGAAGAACTAGTAAAGTGTTGCAATGGATTCAACAAAACATAAAGATATCTAAAAAAAACATCAGACATATTTGTGCTGGACAAACAATGTTATTTTAATACCTTGAATGCTATGATATCTATTGAAACATGTAACATTTTTACACTTAAATACCTAAGGAATGAGCAGCTGTGGTTTTTGAGCTGAAGAAACGACCTAATCCAAGGTCTCCAAGTTTCACTCTGCCTTGTGCCGTAATAAATACATTGGCTGGTTTTATGTCTGTAAGGAAATGATAATATTCATTATCGTATTTTAATACAAAATCAATGAATTTATTCTTCAGTCAAAATACAAATTCCTATCATAACTATTCTCTTGGAAGTCCCTTCACAATGAATAAAATCAAAATATCTTTTATTCTATAGATAGTTTATTATATGCCAAATGAAGATTTCAACCTACCTCAACTGTATCAATTGGCATGAAAGTGAGTAACTTTTGTGAACAATCAATTCTGGTTTGGTATAATGCTTGTATATGTGCTATATATTATCCTAAGTAGGTACATTTCAAATAAGACATGAATATTATTCACTTTTTATCTCATTTTAAAATCAAACCAGCTCTGTTGAATACTGAAACATATGAAATAATGACTTCAGGTATCATAGGCCTCATAGATGTTGTTGAATAGATGCTAACAGACACTAAAGCATGGCAATGTACACTACTCTTTCATATTTGCTATGACGCTTACTTCTACTGTATTAGCATGTACATACTGCAATGAGAATTTTTCACTAGAATAGACTATAAATTTCCAGGATATCTCTTAAGGCATGACAAACTTACAACTTCAAATAAAATGTGTGAAAATGTGTTTAAAGCTTGATACGTTTTTTACGCTTTCGTGTTATCAAAACACAAATTTAAGTGAGAAGTAGGCAACATTCACCTGTGTCTCATTTTGACATATGGCATCCATTTCATGCTGTCTGTCAGAACAGCAAAAGGGTAACATTATTTGTACTGTCTGTCGGAACAGCTAAAATACAACATTATATGTAATATTTCAGTACCTACCTCTGTGCATGATTCTTCTGGAGTGCATGTGTTCCAGAGCTCCACATATCTGTATAAAGTACTTCCATATTGTCTTCTCTGGTATCAGTCTGTTCTGTTTTTTAAAATGCTGAAAAAAAGTCAGTTAATCCTTTAAATTTGTATCCAATAATTGCTACACATGAAATGATTAGTACTTATAAATACAGTGAATATGCAATGAATGAAAAAACATGAAAACTCTTCAAGTTCATACTTATATTAGGAATGTTTGATTCATAGATAAATGGAGAGTTATGAATAATTCTGAAATAAGTTAAGAATTGTGAATATTCAGAAAGTTTAGTGTGAAGACTTAATAAGATGTGAATAGATTGGTTACCTGAGAGTAAGTGCAAAGAATAAGAGAGAGAATCACTACAAATATAAACTTCTATATAAAATAAATAAAAAGTTGTAAAAGAATTAATTTCATTCCATAGCTACACTATTATCATTGCAATAGCACTTATTTTATATTTTTTGTTATTTCACATTTGTAATATGAATAGAAGAGCTGAAGGTTTCTATTTTTTCCACTGATGAATGTGATATGATGGCACCATACATGCATTGCAACACCACCAAAGAAACAGCTTTAGAGTTTAGACTTTGCACCTATCAAATGAAATGCTGTTTTATAAATGTTTGCAAAAGCATCAAAGTTATTTGATAAACAGAAAGAGACTTTGTAAAATGAAAATTTTTAAAAATTGTTACAAAAATCTTATTTGAAATGGAAAGTTATGGAAGATTTTCTATATATATTTTTACAGCACTTAATGATATATTGAGATTTTTTAGAGAAGATTTTTATATACCTTGATCATACGAGACAGATCTCCTGCATCTGCCAATTCCAGTACAATATTAAGCTCATTATTTTCTATGAAAGACGACAGGTATTTTATCACATTTGGATGGTTCAGTTGCTGAAATAGGAAATATTAACATTCATAAGATATACACTACACAAAGAAACTCTATTTTTCAATCTTTAGACAAACCTTATTGTGATGATAAATGGCTATACCTGAACATTATCAACAAAAGGTTAACAAAACAAACTGCAACTACATTTTGTTAGTTGATGACATTCGAATATATAAAGCTGTTTGTTGTTTATCATCATTAGTCTGTAAATGCAGTGTATATTTTTCAGTACAGATACCGAAGTGTTTTTTAATTCAGTTGAAATTAATTTATACTCCACATCAGAAATAAGATATACCAATATATGTATAATTCCACCACGTATTACAAATAATCTGTAAAATATCACACGTAAAAAATAATTACTTTCAACAAATCAATCTCCTTGATACAATCTTGTCTTGCTTTTGCATCCATCATTTCAAATATCTGAAACAGAAAAATTAAACATGTTTGAAAACAACAATAAAAACATTTTTTCATTTAGTTACAACCAATTCATCATCAGCAGTGGCAGTTTGCATCTTCTTTTATTGTGCATCTTTAGCCACAAAATGATTGTCAAACTCACAATCATTACAAAAAATATATATACCAAGTAAAAAAAATTAAGTGATTTTATCCATCCCAATATTATATTCCTTTGGAATATTACTAGTATAGATAATGTAAAAGGTCCCACTAGTTTTCTGGAATCCCATGCAAAAAGATTATTATGATCTATCTTTATGCTTTGATGAGGACCCTGTTTTAGGAAACACCTAACTGTGTGATTGTTGTCTTCAAACATATCACTTAGTCATTTCAAATGTGGATTATGGGAAACCTACCTGCACTTTTTTCAAAGCTACAACGCTTCCATCAACCTTACAGCGTGCTCGATAAACCTCAGAAAATTGACCTTTGCCAATTTTTTTGTCAATCTCAAAGTTTTCAAGTCTGCCATATACACTGTCTCTCTGGTACACTGTGGCCTGCTGGAGAGGCTCCTCCTGTTCCATAGGCTCCATGGCCTACACTCACTTGGTTTATGGAAGCAAAAATGATACTACATTTTCTTTTAATTGAAAGAAAAAAAAACAACAAAAAACACATGGGAGTAGATAGAGGCAGGAAGGTATCAAGAAGTTAAACTGATAATTGAAAACTGGCTTGTGGTTTGCCAAGAATACATCTCAGTCTAGTAACCCAGACAAGAAATAGTAATATGACATTTCAGTAAGTCTTTAATAGTTTGTCCACACAAAAAACTCTAAATGAAATTTTTGCTTGTTTGTTCCTCTTTAACTCAGAATCTAGAACTCAGATCAATATGTTTGATATATTTTTGCATAATCTATTTTAATCATCAATTTATTGATGGCAATGGAGATGATCAAAGTAAAAAAAAGGAACCTTGATGATAACATCACATCTAATTTCAAACATGCAGCAAAACATTTGCAATACAATATTTAAAATCCATGAACTTCTTTCTGGCCCTCACAAATTGATGGCTCACAATGATTCTCTGCCCTATAATTGTTACCCTTTGTAAAAATTAAAATGAAAACAACAAAAAACATTTTTGAATCTGAATGAATGATGATATCTTCTTCGCTCATTTTACTATATATTGATAAATATATTTGAATTTTTGCATGTCGGATGGATATCAATGACAGATTAGTTTCTTACTATTAACAAAAACAGTTTGGTCTTTAAAATCACTGGGGTCACCGAGAACGATCAGTATCAAATGACACAATTTTGCCAGAGACATGAATCGATTTGGTTGGAAGATGAATTGGATACTTTGGGCCATATCATATGTTTTAAGTTTTACTGTGATTATAACATACATAAAATATCCACCCATATCCACATCTGGATTGCGTGTATCTTTCAATCGATCGCAATAAAGTTTGACAGGTAAAACATTGTCTGACGGTGCAGTTTTTTCTGCTGCCAATATAGAACTACGTTTGTCAAATGCATTTTTTTCCGTAACATTATCAATTATTGTTGATTGAATGATTGCGCTGTGCGGATTTTACACGAAATTATGTTCGATCATACCTGTGAAATGGACGGAATAAAAGTGTTTTTGCTGTATTTCGACGATCCTTTCCCCAAAAATATGTACAGGAAACAGCAGGTGCGCATGTACAAAGTTTTCCTGACAACCCATTCAGAACCTCTCTAGACTTGCCTAAGAATCTGCATTAACAAATGTTCGGTACTTTTAGTCGATATTTTCATGTGTTTATTATGATACCAGTTGAGTACATTTATTCTTTATTAGCAAAAATAACTTAAAGAGTCCACTCACTGTAGGCAACATAGATCTATATTTTGATAATTCATAAAAGTACGAAAATGACAACTTTCATTTTCGGACCTCCGCCAAAAAAGAAAGAGGTCAAAATCGTGGTCGTTGAAATGTTTATGCGAGTGTAAAGTAAGATCCTTTGCCGAAGCGTGTGAACGATACGGAAAGAGAGAAAACGAAAACTCATGACCATTATTTCAAGATTTCAAAAGTGAATCTCTGAACATTTTAAGATGTCAGAGGAAGACACACCACCACCAGAGAGAGATGTTAAGGTGATTATTTATTGGACGACGCTATCAATTACATGGAACGTTCTTGGAAAATGTGCGCAGTTTGGCCAACCATATATTTGCTGGCTAATGTCCAACTAGAAAACCCCAAAGTGTCCTCTTTCACTATTTTTCAATTCGGGTAGAAATTGCCGCTTATACATGTCAATGGATGTGCATTGTAGAGTTAAAATAAAATGGATGTGTATTGCAACTGAATAAGATAATTATAAAGTAAACATCATGAACACTGTTTAGAGGTTCAACACAACAAGACACTTTTGATAGGCGCCAATGTAATCAGACGTAGTAAAATCTCTTATACGTATAGGAGTGCATAAACCCGATGATAATTACATCTCTATCGACAGTTTTGACAGAAATCCAGCATATGGGTTATGGACCTCTTGTTAAGCATTTGTAATTTATTACTTAGATCAAATGAAAACGAAATGGAAATGATCCATCAGATAAAGAATTGATAAAGATCAATCAAATCTGGGTGCCAAGATCCTTCTGGGATCTCTTGTTCCAATTAATAGACCAGATAGCAACTGCTGTGTACGGGTCCCAAAGGCTACAGTTGTATTCTAGCCTGTGACTGACATTATCAGATACTCGTTACTCTATCATATTTTATACCTGTTATGAAATTTTATGATGTCTTTGTGTTTTAGGATTATAAATTCCAGCAGTTATGCAGAGTTAGGATAAGTGAAAGTCCATCAGATTTATCAAAGCAGAAATCAAGATTGGTTGCCTGTTCATCACGATATGGACTTGCCTTTGTTGGCTATGATACAGGTATGTAATTGATCTGTTCTTGTAATTTTGAAATGAATTTGTTAACATGCAAAAGTGAGTAAACCTTATATGTCTCTTTGAAATTGTCTTTGAATTTGACTTGTAAGTGTATGTGAAGGAAACAAGGACAATTATTTTTCTTCAGCATTTTCCCAGTAACCAAAATAACTAGAGTAAAGGTGATAAGCCAGCATGCTAGTATAAAAGCTTTTCAGCTGCTTTCAAAATAAATGAACTTGAACTTCATCAAGTAACTTCCTCTGGATAACCAAACAGTGTTTTCTCAGTGCATTTTACTTAACGATATGATGGTACACAGATCAGAGAGGCTGTAAGGCTCCCTTACAAACTGTCAGTTTTCTACTTTAAGATACCAACATAGGCTGTACATTTACAAATTTTGGTGTTAATTTAGGTTTTAAGGTCATTAGACCTGCAGAGCTTAGTAAGATTGACCAAGACAATGCTAAAGACCGGATGACAGTGATTATAGACAGTTTCCCTGTGGTTGCTGATGTCAAAGTATCTGGAGTTGTATCATGTATTGCCCTCAATGCTGATGAATTGACCTTGGCTGTGGTGGTTACCAAGGATGATCTAGTCCAGGCCTATATCTATGATGTTCGAGCATTTGTTGATGTGGTAAGTAGTTGTAAAATAAAGATGCGCTTTTACAATCAAGAAGAAATTTTTAGCTTTTAAGCTCAAGATGACCTGTAACTACCATATTTTGCCAGTTGTTTTATGTTACCTGCATCTGCCATGCATCAACTTTTCCGACTGTAAACTTTTTCTCAAGTTCTACCAGTCATACCATATTTAGATGTGCCTTTCCTGAGATGGTTTTTATTTGTTAATCTGATGTCCAAGCTACAAACTTGAAAGTTTAAGCTTCTCCTCCAGTTCTGCTATTGCCATTTAGCTGAAACTTTGTGAATGATAAGGATAGGATGCTGAAAACAACACAAAATGTTGTATATTTATGGCATAGTCAGAAGTTTGGTATGTCAGCTGTGATGACAATTTTGTAACATGGGTGTACAATCATGCTTATTAGGCCACCATGCTGACTCATAGGGTCATGGTACAGATTTCAAGATGGATACCTGTTGCCATTTCTTATATTTTGGATTTTGACATTTGAAGATTGTGGTTGATATTCTCAAGAAACACTGACTGGCCCTTCTTTAGAAACTCTATCAATGTAATCATTTTGAGTCCTTGTTTTGTATGCCACATTGGTGATCCTGTTTTTGAAAATAACGGAAAGCAAAATTTTAAAGAAGGAAACTTTGAAGCTTACTTATATGGCATGTCTTTGATGATAGATTGCATAATGTCTTAATATCTTGGTATTTAGGTAATCACACCTGTCCAAAGCTTTATGACGGTTCGGTTGACCAAGGGCGGGGACACAAGATTTGAGGACTTGGCTTGGAACCCAGTCCAGACAAACACACTTGTGACTGTACAGACTGATGGTGGTATAAGGCTGTATGATATTTCTGACAAACTTGTCGTCGTGGCCACTATACCAACGTCCTCTGCCAACTGTGGTATGTTTCTCTTTATAATGTATAATGATTACAAAAGTTGATATCATTGATGCAAATCCTTATCATAACATTGTATTTATGCAGTTGATGTGTAACAAATACTGAATTAAAAAAAAAAACATAAAACAAATGTACTAACTGTTATATAATGTGATTTAAAAAAAAAATCCTATAGCTGTACTTTGAAGAAAATTGATGCAAATATCGGTGATATCTTCTTCCCTTTTTGTGGCAGTGTGCTGGAGTCCACGGGGTAAACAGCTAGTTGTTGGTACAACAGATGGCAAATTGATACAATATGACCAGGAGCTGAAGAAGAAACGGGAATGGGCATGTCCTTCTGTGCTGACAAGGGGCAATTACAAAGGTTAGTTCAGGGTTGAAGTTTCCATGTTAATCACATTTTACTACCAGTGTAATAAAAAATGTTCATCTTTTAATCACATCACTTTACTAACTGTGTAATCAGAAATGTAAATCCATTCATCACATCACTTCACTACCTGGGTAATCAGAAATGTTCCTCTATTAATCACATCACTTCACTACTTGGGTAATCAGAAATGTTCATCTATTAATCACATCACTATTAATCACATCACCTGTGTAATCAGAAGTATCTATCTGTTAGTCACAATACTTTAACTACCTGTGTAGCTGGAAAGAAATTTTCATATGGACTTCATTTTTAATGACTGATTATACCGGTTTATTTGGGGAAAAGGGTACTGAATTTCATTTAAATCTAGGTATTTGGTAAAAGACATATTACACCAGCCTGTCAGCATGGATGTCCTGACCATTATAGGTTATTTGTATCTACCATGCCTTCCTACTAACCATCTCTCTGATTTATACAGGGAAACAAAGTTTGATTCGATGGTGATGATGAAGATTGTTAAAAGTATACTTCTGTAGATATTACATTTTTGTATTAGATATTATCAAAATTTTATTGTGATAAAGATTACCTCCTTGTGATTAAGATTACTTCCTTGTGATAAAGATTACATCCTTGTGATAAAGATAACCTCCTTGTGATAAAGATAAACTCCTTGTGATTAAGATTACCTCACCTCCTTGTGATTAAGATTACCATCTTGTGACAAAGATTACTTCCTTGTGATTTAGATTACCTCCAAAAATGATATTTAGTAAATATTATATCCTTGAAATATATATGGTAGCAGAATGATTGTGGTAAATTTACTAGTTTGTCTTTATTGTACATTGTGCTGTATTATTTTTGCTATATTTTCAGTTGTTGGTGTTATTTGGCTGTCCACATTTGAGTTCCTGACAGCATTTATCCCAGACGATGCTGAGCCAAGTGACCAGCCAGACATTGTCCTCATTAGGGGATCTGTAAGTACTGCTGCAGTCATATTTTTCACAGGATGTTATGTCTGGTCATTTATGATTTTGTAAAATTCTTGTCCTTGTACTTCTAGGCGCCTTACTACTTCCACCATTTTGTTCCATGTTAATTCTTCATATAGCCATGTTTCTTAAATACATATTTACTGTGTCATTTACAGAAAGAAGGACCAATCAGCTACCAGAATTTTGAAGACCCTTGCTTTGGAAATGGTGAGGAGCGGGAGAGAAGGGTATTGTTTCAACATCTGCCAAAATGGTGAGTGTGAAGTCTCTAATCTACATACTGTATTGATATAGTTATGTTGTGTGGTTGCTGTTGATTCTTTATAGGGAACATTATACTCATAGTATTATAGTAATATTAAGTAGTACATAAACCAAACTTACATGGCTGGTGATACAATGGATGCTTTTATAAGCACAGGATGTGTTAAAAATTTGAATAGGCTTATTGAAGTAAAGATTTTTTATTGTGAAGTTCACAGATCAAAATATTGATTGTCTGCTTGTCAATTTTTGTAAAGTTTTTCTTAGAATTGAAAAAAAACCCATATTATACTTACTTGTTATTGAAAACTGTTTAATCTTTAATAAAATAAAGAAATTGCATTATTTTAAGGATGATTTATTTTTAAAATGATTGTTCCAGGGACATGCTGCTTGCCTGTTCAAGCAATGCCTGTGAGATATCAGTTCTTGGGAAACATCAGAGTGAACAAGTGAGTATGAACAACGACTATAGCCAGTGGAGAGAGAGAGAGAGTATTTCAGGAATCACCTGGTGTGTATATGTATTTATCAGTGCAAAATATTCAGACCTTGTTAGTTTGGTAACTTATAGTGTCTAACTGTAAACTGTTTCATTGAAAATCTATTTAACTATTTATCTATTTTCTAAGGAAGCTTACTAATCCCAGTGTTTGTATTAATCAATATTTATGCATGGTGATTAGGTTTATAAAAGAGTATGTATACTGTTTGGTACTTGTACTGGAAGTAAGTGCATGATGATTGTTTTCCTAAACTTTATATAAATGTGGTTAAAATGTAAAGAGATATATAAGACATCTATATGTGTGCTACATGATATGAAAAGTAAATATCATCAGTTTCATCATTTGTTCTTGGAACTATTTTGTTTCTGTTGGCATTATCAATTATGCCCAGATAGTCTTACCTTACAGGTGTACAATTGAAATTTGCCACTGTTCTAACAACGTGAAGAGGGAAAAAAGGATTTTTAAATGTTTTTTCTGAAAACCTGTGTTTATCAATTTTGGGTTGGAGAATTGTTAGTAATTTTCTTATTAATTTGCATTGAAATGTATTTACATTAATGTAACTACAAATGTACCTTATTGCTTGGTACATATTAGTGCTCTTAGTAAAATATACAAAGTGTTTTCAGATTCCAGATCCTTCCCCTTATGTGCATGTCTCTCTCTCTATAGATGTTTGACTTGTATATTCAAAATTAGACTCCAGATCCCAGTGCAGGTTGAATTTTGAATTTTTTTCTTGCGAACTTAAACATGATTATCAAAATTGTTCTGAAATTGGTAAAGGAAAGTTCACTGGTGGTTTTTGGAGGAGACACTGTTTTTTATCGTGGTTGGAGACCAATGATTTACTCTATTTTTCAGAAGAGTGACTGGGAGCGTTGGAACCTGGATGATTCTGCTCGGGCTGAGCTACCATTGACAGACAATCATGATGACACTTTTCCAATGGGTCTGGCAATTGACTACTCTTCCCAGGTCCCAATATCACTAGGTCAGTAGAGATATAGTTAACAGATACTTACTCCCTGTACCTGTCAGTAAAACTGTTATCTAATCCTTGTACCCCAAGGTTCATCAAAGGTTGAACAGAACATACTTGATTTGATACTGTGTTTTTTAGGTGAAGGAAGCCATCCACCATCCCCCATCCTCTTGCTACTATCAACAGATGGAGTCCTGGTGCCCTACTACATGATGAATATGTACAATGGAGCAGCTGTTCTAACAGAGTCCCCAAAAACGCTCACTACAGCAGGGATCAGGAAACCTACAGGTGAGATGGCGTTATATGGAGAAAAAATACAAAGTTAACATTAACAGTAGTCAGAGTTTAAAAGACACAATTTCTGGTAAAGGATTATTAATGGTGATAGCAGCAGATAGGTAAATATATCAGTTTATTAGTAAATACAAAAAATAGAAAAAAAATCCCACATCTATTGGTTTAATCGTGTCTGAGTTTTCTTAGTGTTGGGATGTTATTTAATACGTTTTTGTGCTTGTAGGGTTAGAGACAGATGCTGCAGGAATCCCAAGCAGCCCAAAAAGTGTCAGTGGACCTCCCACTGGATTTTCTGGTACTGGAACAGGGCTATCTACAGGATTGGCCACAGGACTAGCCACAGGTCCAAGTTTCCAGTTTGTCAACCCAAACAAAACAGCTACTTCAAAGACTGATGCTTCAACTTTTGGAAGCCCTATGACCTCCACACCATCACTTCTTGGCAGTGGCTCTACAGCTTCAGTTGGAAGTGGTGAATCTTTTGCTGGATTTACTACATCAAAAGTCAACACAACAAGCACAAATATCACATCCTCAATTACTTCAGTATCCAGCTTCAGTTTTTCACAAGGCACTTCGTCGACAAAGGCTTCTACTTTCAGCTTCAGTGGATCGCTAGGATCTCAATCCCAATCTACTGCATCTTCTGGGTTCAACTTTGGGGTCAGTTCTGCACCAAGTGCTGGATCTGCAGTATTTAGTTTTCAGACATCTTCAGGTGGTCCAACATCTGTGTTTGGTATGCCAAGTACAACCAGTGATAGCAAGTCAACTAATTCATTTGGAGTAGCAGCAGGCATTGTTAGTACTGTAACCAACCCAGGCACTGCCACAGCCCCAGCAGCAACTTTTGGATTTAGTTCTACTGCAGCAAAGCCAACTGTCAGTGCTAATACATCTGGCCAGATATCATCCGCAACTTCCAAAACTGCTGGGGCAAAATTTGTCAATGTTGAAAACAGGGGTGCTATGATCCCTCCAAATGTACAGTTGTCTGGTGGAACACGTCCAGAAAGACCAGAGCAGCAACCATCTGCTTTTAAAGGCTTTGTAACATCCAGCCTAGGCTCATCAACTGTCACAACACCTCAGTCAACTTCAGGGTTTAAAGGATTTGTCAATCCTCAATCTCCACATTCTAGTGGTATCGCTACAGGTATGAGTTAAGATTAACACAAAGTTTGTGTATTACTCCTTTATCCATCTCCCACTGATTATCATGTTAAGGTCAGAGCTTCATTTAGAATATGCACACAAATAGGCTAATTTTATATTAATTTAAAAAAAATGTTCCTGTATATACCTAAATATTTAGAAACAACATGTATGATAACATTGATATCCTTGAAAGAGTTTGGTTGTTTTTATACCATACTACTGTAAACGAACAAACATGAGATGGTGATTGATTTATTACAAGATAATTATATAATATTTTTTAGCATTTCTATTGAAACTCTAGATAGGGACAGATTACTAGAATCATGGTTATAACCAGACACGGCATTGTTACTAGACTGGGGTATATTAATAAACATGGACACTTGATCTCTGCTTCTTATTACTAGACAAGGGCTTAATACTAGACATGGACTTATTATAAGATGTTGAAATATCAATAGACATGGACTTAATACTTGATCTAGGCCTATTTCCAGACCTTAGCTTATTATTAGACAAAAGTTGAATGCCAAGAATTTGTAAGTAATTTGTTTGAAAATACAATGTTTTAGTTATATTTTAGATACATGTTATTGTTAAAAAAAGTCATAGCTTTTGCTTGTAGACTTATTTTCAGGGTGATTTTACTTCCTTTTTTGTGTTGCAGCTTTGACTAGACAAGCAACTGGTGTGATCCCGTCTGGTTCATCTCAGTTTAGAGGCAAGACTCCAACCACTGCCATTGCCAAGGCTCCTGCGTCCAGTGCTTCAATCCCCTCCACACCTCAAACTGCACCTGTTCAATCTTTCGAAAAAGTTCCTGACAACAAACCAGGTACTTCTTTACTTATGCTCCAGGTTTCAGAAGTAGAATAGAAATTCTTATTATTAGCATCAATGCCTACAATGATATCACATTAATCATAACTGAACACATAAGTTAAATATCGTAGATATATTTTGGAAAATTGTCTTCCTGATTTACTATTGGTATTATATACACAGAAATTGTATGCAAAATAAGAGAAATGAATAAAATTAAACCTGCCCTCAATACAAATATACATTATAATACTGTTTAATGCCATCTACAGCCCCTGTACAAGCAGGTGAGATACCCAGATCCGGGGGCTCTGAAGACACTTTCACCAAGGGTATCATGGAGGAGGTAGGTTTGAAAACAATGCTATTACCAGAATTTTTAGCCCTGTTTCCAATTCATGATGTTATATGTACGTCATGCCTTGAACTTCAAAATTATTTGTAAATTTCCTGATCGTGCGGAACAGGCTGTTGATATAAGGTCAGCATTTGATTGTCAAGTTTCAAGTGTGATTAGGTCTCTTTTGATATTGTCATTGCCAGTAACCTAGATATGATTAGAGGTATAACAGATTAACGACCTTAGTAAACAGTTTTGAAGAGAAGCTTTTATGTTATTGTGATGCCTTTTATGGCGAGTGACAATACTGCAATGGTATCATCTGTAATGGTAAAAAAGTATCAAACTCATTACTGGTATTATCTAGTCGACAACCTTTTGTTGACAAACTGATGTAAAAGTTTAATTTATACTGACCTCTTGTTGAACAGTTAGCTCACTTTGAAGAGGAGATGTCAGAGTTTCGGGCACAGACATGTCACAGTGGTGTCCTGGTTGGCACACGATCAGAGATGCACCAGCTGAGAGGAAAAGTTGAGGAACTGACCAACTTTTCAGCAGAGATTATAACTACAACTAAGGTAATTCATCGCCTGTGTAGTATGTCTCAGATATATGTTGTATATCAAAATGAAGTCAGTGTGACCAACAATTTTAACTCTAACCAAAAAAACATCGAAACTATGTGCAGGGAATATCTCTAAATTAGTGTTACTAACTTTAGTATTGTGGTACATCTGACCCCCGAAGTTTTCAGAGTTTCCTTAGACCCCTACTTTGGTCTCAGATCTCCACCATTGATAACATTCTGCTAGGGAATTTCTCTTAACTTGTTAGCATTTCTCCTTTAGCTAGTAATGTTAGAATTCAGGTTAAAAACGTAATGGTGGAGTAAATTATACTTGAAATTTAACTCTGATTTTTAGATTATCTTGATAGCATTATTAAAATGTTGTTGAAACCATTTTTTAGCTTTAATGTATTTGAGGACTAGATCATTTAAGAGTGGGGACAGTGTGGCATATAATTCTGAAAAGTAATATATGTACTTGAATTTTCCATATTATTATCTTTCTGGTTTTTCTTCTTATAAATCTTTAAAAGTGGTGAATTGCTGAAAATATGAAACTTTAGCACTGATAAAGTTACACCAGCACATCCTCAAAATTTGTTGAAGTGACCAAAATGGAAAATGTCACTTCAAAGTCAAAGGTCAAATAAGTGCAAAGCAATTACTTGTATTTATTTTGGCTTACAAGGGGATACATATATTTTGTATTAAAGGAAGAAATTTGTGGTTGGATTGATTGTGCTAATGTTGTCTTTGTGTATGGGAATAAATATTGCTTAACGTGGTACAATCGGAACCTATCTCAGGACCAGACAAAGGAAGTGGATGAACAGAAGTCACTCTGTCTTGAGCTGTTTGCCATGGTAGAAGAGTGCCGCTTACGTGAGAGTCGCAATACTGACAACAAGTACATGCACCTGCTTAAGGCAAGGGCCCTGGACCCTGCCAGTCTGGACCACCTCCGTCAGCTGCAGCAACAGTACCAGGTGCTTGATCAGGGCCTCAGAGATGTGGATGCCATCTTGGATCAACAATGGATGGAACATCAGAATAGGGATAGGAACAGAAACAAGTAGGTTATATTTTAATGAACAAATGTAGTTCTTAATCCTAAAAAACAGTACATGATAACCATAACACCGATTAGGAGTAACTGTTGTGAAGTAAACCTGTGCCTTTCTTCAGTATTTCAAGGATTAGATGATATTAGAGAAAAAAAACAGATCCTTTGGATGTGGGGGATTTATAGTATTTTCTAGACATTTCATGAAAATTTATTTTAACTTTCAATTAACCTGATTGTGAAATTATGTTCTGTTCTGAATGTTTGGTATCTCCAGTGTATACATGTAAAATACTCAATGATTTTTATTACCTAAGAATTTATATCATGTTTACCATACTTTTTTGAATGTTTAGTGCTTAATCATTGCTTTTCATTTGTCAGGATTAAGGCACCGACAACAGATGTGTTGTACCGTGTCCTGAAGAGTAACAGTTCACTGATCCGTAACCAAAAGACAAACCTCAACAACCTGGAAAAAAAGCTGAAGGAACTTAAACTGTACAATAAAACCTCATCTTGGCAACACTCCAATTCTTCTAATAACGACTCCAGGTAATGTTGGGGAGAAATTTAACTCAACAGTAAAACTACCTCATGTCAAAACTTTTGTTCTTCTAATATTGACTCCCATTAAGTTTGTAATAAAACAGAATGATATGCTTTTGTTGGCCTTATTAGGTAGTACTGGATGCCTGTGTTGCATAATATTATAATTCATACTGGCATTAGTAGTGTTAGTCATAATTGCCTCAATTGTCCACACTGCAAGATTTCATATCTAGTTTGTGGTTTGGTTATTTTCTATGTAGGAAAAAAAAGAGCTACTACTTAAATTCGTGCTGCAAGATGTATCGTTTTCTGAGACTGTGAATTCAAATTTGAAGTTCATCAACCTTTTAAGACTCATTTCTCTGCTTTTCCTGATAGGGATGTGGAACTGTCTACGCTAGCAGATAGTCTTCTGGAGAGTGATAATAATACAGCCCCCGCTTTGTCATCAACACAAATCAACAGTAAAGCTCCAAGTCCAGAAAAACAAGCAAGGCTTCGTGAACACTTAGCCAGACGTGTTGTACCAAAAATCAAGTCAACAAGACCAGGTGAGACTGAAAGATTAAGTTGTTTTTTTTTATATCAATAACAACATTTTTTTGATGGATGCACTATCAGCTGTACAATTTAATTGATTGAGGTAAAGACAAAGAGTTAAGTTGGGAAAAGTTGACTTGTGTTAGGTCTGTTATGTTTTTACAACACCAAAGAAAGGTAAGAAAATTTCATTTTTGCCATTTTTACAAGAAAATAAGCAAAATGGCAGAACCATTACCGTGACCAAAATTGGAATGCTAATTTGTTTCAGAGAATTTGTCTATTTCCCGTATAGCTACAGTAGACAGGCGTAGATATGATCTTGAAGAGACTGTTGTGGCCCATGCACCAGAACAAACCTTTCAAACAAATACAGGTATGTAGTTAGACATTGTTGTCAGCACAATAGCGGTGGTGTCGTTTGATGTTGAGAAAGTCTCACTAGAACAAACCTTTCAAACAAACACAGGAATGCTGGTAGACACTCCTGCCAGCACAAAAATATTGATTTGGTCTTCAGTTGAGAAAGTCCCAGGGATTGCCGTGGTGTATTGTTGATCAGTTGATGGGTACATAATTTTGTTGTCACCTGAATCTGTGTTAGTCCACCAGTCTGTAATTGGCAAGTGAACACAAGCTCCAGCTGTCAGGATGAGTGGATGAAGCACTATGTACTTATCTCTGACTTGCAATGAACAGATTCTCCAGGTATATTGTACATGTCCAATCATAGATGTTTGAATGACTGAAGAGTTCAGTTATGGTGAAGGGGCTGTGATATTTCTGCTGGTAAGAGTGTTGGCCTACTTAACTTCTGATGAAGATCTGGGTTGCATGGTTCCATGCTTTCTACCTGTGGGGGAATTGTGTTTCTCAGGAAGCTGAGAAATGGGCTGGCCTTTGTTGTGATGGTGGTGTCCTTGGGCAAGACTTCACCTTACTTTTACTGGATGGTATGCATCTAGTCTCCACTGTGTTATTCTGTGAGGTAGCCACCAGTTATTACTTTTATTCAAAACCAAGAGTGAAAACTAGATAAATATCACAGAAGTCACTCAGAAAAGTTTCATTTCCAAAAAAACCGTCTGTGCCCCACCTTTATTTGCTTGGGTTGAGAACTGCCTGTAATGAGCCATCATAAGTTTCCATAGATGATGATTTACCTATATCAGCATTGGCTTATCACTTGTAGGGTTTGGTCGATCTAGATTGATTCTGATTCAACTTATATTGTGATGGCAGTCATTTTATGATCTGGCAAAGTCAGATGGTGAAAATACTTGTTCTTAAAGGTATATTTTCAACTCTGTTTTCTTAATATTAATATTTATGAAATTGGGAATATAAAATTATATATTTTTTTCCTGCTAGATCAGAGCTTTGCAATTACCTATTGTGATTTATAATACTGATCATTTGACCCTCTATTTGAATCATGGTATTTTAGGTGAGAGGGGATCCACCCGATTTGGCCTGTCTTTCAAACAACCAACAGGAAGTGCAACTTCTGGTATCGTGAATGCAGCAGGAAATGTTGGAAGTCAGAAGTTCAAACCAGCCCTATCAACTGGTCAGAGCAAGAATTCTTTGGCCATAAACAGACAGTCTGGAATATGGGATATCAGCAGGCAAAATATGGTATATAGTATTCAGTGTTTTATACTCAGAATGCACCAAACAAATGTTTTAAGAAAAAATAAATGAATAAATCAAACCAAAATGTTCTATGCAAACTCATTAGTAAACGTCCTTGTGGCAAGCAACTTCTCTAAATGACAAATGGATTTGTAACCTAGGTGAGTGACCTAGACCTCAAAATTCAGTTTGGAATATTCCATCACATATGAAACAATAACCTAAGAATTTAATGTATTACAGTTTCAACTTAAATAAATATCATAAGATTACACAAATATATTTGTGCACTGACCTTGTTTCATGTGGGTATTCTGAAAACTAGAGAGTCAGTGAGTTAGTAATGGACAGCAAGTCCCTCTTACCATACATCCCATGTTTATGATCTGTGCCTGTTTTTGTCTTCTAAGTATAGCAACAGTTTTATCTGATAACATAAAAATTTGTCAAAATATTATAGTATTATATATTTCTTTATAAGGCCACAGATAGTAACATTCTCATATTGTGATGAATAATATTCTACAGCCAGGAGGTGAAGAATGTTGTCCTAATGTGAAAATAGAGTTAATTTCTGGTTTCAAATGTATTATAAACAGGACAAATAATTTTCTCTAGTGAAGGTTTAGCTAGTCTACTTAATACAGTTATATTGCTCAAGAGACCATTTCTGTATTAGACAAATTGTATGTAGAAATTAAATCTTTTCACTTTCCTTGCTCTTTTTCTGTAGCCCCCTCCCAGTGGTCCTAGCAGCCTTCCATCCAAATACATGATCAACGCTCCTTCAGCTGTCCCAGGTGTGTAAATATACTTGTGTTCATATTGGCTCTAGACAAATGCTGATCACTCTTGACCACTGACTGCTATACAACTACACATGACAGGTAGTGACCTATTAACTGTATTGCCATTAGTTGACTAGCACTGATTGCTACCTGACAGCTACTGACAACAAGTATTGCCACTAGCTGACTAGTACTGATTGCTACCTGCTGGCTACTGACAACAAGTATTGCCACTAGTTGACTAGTACTGATTGTTACCTGCTGGCTACTGACAACAAGTATTGCCACTAGTTGACTAGTACTGATTGCTACCTGACGACTACTGACAACAAGTATTGCCACTAGTTGACTAGCACTGATTGCTACCTGACGACTACTGACAACAAGTATTGCCACTAGCTGACTAGTACTGATTGCTACCTGCTGGCTACTGACAACAAGTATTGCCACTAGTTGACTAGTACAGATTGTTACCTGCTGGCTACTGACAACAAGTATTGCCACTAGCTGACTAGTACTGATTGCTACCTGTTGGCTACTGACAACAAGTATTGCCACTAGCTGACTAGTACTGGTTGCTACCTGCTGGCTACTGACAGCAAATATTGCCACTAGCTGACTAGTACTGGTTGCTACCTGCTGGCTACTGACAGCAAGTATTGCCACTAGTTGACTAGTGCTGGTTGCTACCTGCTGGCTACTGACAATAAGTATTGCCACTAGTTGACTAGAACTGATTGCTACCTGACAGCTACTGACAACAAGTATTGCCACTAGTTGACTAGTACTGGTTGCTACCTGCTGGCTACTGACAGCAAATATTGCCACTAGCTGACTAGTACTGGTTGCTACCTGCTGGCTACTGACAGCAAGTATTGCCACTAGTTGACTAGTGCTGGTTGCTACCTGCTGGCTACTGACAATAAGTATTGCCACTAGTTGACTAGAACTGATTGCTACCTGACAGCTACTGACAACAAGTATTGCCACTAGTTGACTAGTACAGATTGTTACCTGCTGGCTATTGACAACAAGTATTGCCACTAGTTGACTAGTACTGGTTGCTACCTGCTGGCTACTGACAACAAGTATTGCCACTAGTTGACTAGAACTGATTGCTACCTGACAGCTACTGACAACAAGTATTGCCACTAGTTGACTACTACTGAGTGCTTCCCGCCAGCTACTGACAGCAAGTATTGCCACCAGTTGACTACTACTAAGTGCTCTCTGACTGCTATTGACTACTACATAAGTTGTTGATGGGCAATAAAATTTTCCATCTTCTATTCTTTTGAAGTCAGATGGCCTTATTTCATAGGCTTATTTTTTGTTGTTGAAGTTTTGATTGTTTAGTTGCACAAAGACTTATGAGATATTCTTCAAGTTTTGTGAGAAGTGTTAACTGAAAGACATAGTGTTGCTCTACATTAGATGCCATGTCAAGAAAACTTCTGGACGAATTCTTGCTTAAGGAGGAATATATCACTCTGATGCAGTTCTAGATGGTTTTTGCTGACTCAGCCAGAGATATTTTCTCTTTACCTCTTTAACTATAGCATAAGATTAGTAAACTGTCCCTAGCAAAGACATTGATAATGAAATGATCTGAGTTAAATTCTTTTCTGTGTTCCAGAGGGATTGAAGAACCTTGGGCATATTGTTGTGGAGGATATAACTCCACCTTCCTCCACAGGCTATGAAGAGGAAGATGAAGACGATGAGGATGAAGATGATGAGGAAGACACATATGATGATGATGACTATGAAGAAGAGGAAGATGAGAATGGCTTTGGACCACAGTATACCATGACGGGACATGATGATTTAGCAGATAAAGGTAAAAGTTTGAGCAGTTATTATATTCAATGGTACCTGATGACTGTTTAAACATTCAGAATTGATTATAATTCATTGACAAAGACATCTTTATTATGATATAGATCAAATTTCACACTGCAATCATCAAATACTGCATTTTATGCAAATATATCTATTCTATATTCCCTTGTATGATATGAAGTAAGACATGTTTGATGCTTGTGCCTCGTAGGTCTGGTTCTCAGTTTGAGAATGTGACATAACTTGGATTGATCTAGAAATGGTCATGTTGAAAAGGTTAAAAGTTACACAAAAATTTCAAGGAGTAGTCATTAAGCCAATTTCTAATGGTTAGAGTATGTAAGCAGTTGTAGTTACTACCAAACTGAATAATTTCAGAGCACATGTATCTTAGATAGTTTCATACATGCATTCCATTTCTTTAGCTGAAAGTGCTGGAAGGCAAATGAGCTTTTGCCATGGCCTGGAGTTTGTTGTCCATCGAAAATCAAATTTGTCCTAAATGCAACTACAATGTGCAGGGTCATGATATTGGGCCAGTCGCATGCTGGAATGAAGGACTACCAAATTTATTAAAATGTATGGTCTTGACCAACATCCAGAACCACAGTAGTCAGATGTGTTCAATGTTTGAATGATTTTTCTTCATAAACATGAAGCCTATGGTCATGAAATTTTACCTGTAGTGTGATTGTATGAAAGACTACCATATTTGTTCAGGTGAATGATCTAGACTTACTTTCAAACTCCCAGTGATCAAATGTGTTGATATCTTCAAAAAAACCTTCAATAAGCAAGAGTTGCGTAGTTTCATTATTTCACCTACAATATAACTATATACTGTGGAGGGTAGAGGATTTGAATGAACTTGAATGCTCCTTTATTTGTTGCAGAGTAGATGAGCTTTGCAAGTCCATTAAGCCTCTTTTTTTCATACAAACACTTAGAAGCTGCAAGACTGATTGCATTGTTATTTTTGAACATGTTTCACTTTTCTTTTCAACTTTGTAGGTCAAATCAATGCATTCACACCAAAGACAGGTGGATTTAATATTGCTCAGGGATCTGGAAACCTTAACAAAAACCTGTTTGGATCCCCTGTAACCACCAAGTCTGTCCGTCCATCAGGAGCAGCCATCTCTAGTGTTATTACTACGACAGCTAGTTCCTTGGTGGCAACTTTTGGTACCAAACCAGGAGAATTCAGTTTTGGTGGAGGAACACAGTCCAAGACCTCTTTTGCCTTTGCTGCTAATGCTGGTGGGCCTTCATTTGCTTTTGGTGCAACATCAAAAGCAGAAACTGGGGTCAAGACACCAGAAGTAGCATCAATCAGTAAGACCAAGGCTGACCACTCAGCTTTTTCTGTCTCTAGCACAAAATCTTCATCCATAACAGGTTCTACAGCAACAGCTTTCAGCTTTGGAGGACATACAGCTAAAACTACAGACCAATCTATTCAGGAACTATCATCTGTCAATCCTCTGTTGTTTGAAGGTAAGAAGAAAATATGAAGCGCTAACTAGGCATTTAGGCATATTTTTGCTTCCAGTCATCTGCTAAAGCCGATTAAATAAAATTGTGCTTTTTGAAATTTAACACGTTTTGCTCTCTTAGATTTTACCTAAAATGCTTAAGGTAATGAAAACACAGGCAATATGAAGTATCAAAATACTTCAGATTATAGTCTTGAATTATTGGCTGTTATGAAGGGCTACAAACTTTGTTCAAATAAATAACCTTGACCAATTTTCTAGGTCACTGGGTTGAGTGCATTCAAATCTTTATACAAATTCTTCTCAGTAACCAAGAGAACCTTTGCCAGTTACATGTCAGGACCTTTCTAGGTCATGGGGGTCAGATTTGTTGAAATTTTCAAACAAGTTCTCAAAAACTAAGAGGCCATGTTATTGAGCATATTGCATGATAGAATGAAGTTCTACCAAGTTTGTTCATTTAGATAACCCAGATGCACTTACAAAGTCACTTAAGTGCTTAAATCTTCTGACTTCTTCTCTGTAACCAAGAAACTTTGTGTTGCAGCAATTTTTCACTGTACAGAAGGGGTGTGATATCTGGGATGTACATTAAAGTTACCTAAAATAACTCTTCTCATTTTTTCGTCAGAACAAGTGAGAGATACAGGTATTTGGATTTTGGTTGTCCTCTTGTTTCTGATTTGAACATGAAAATTTAAAAACTGTGTGCTTCAGTACAACTTTAATTCTTTGTCAGCCTTGTCTGAGGAGGAACCTACCAACAAAGAACCATCTGGTGGCCAGGCAGTATCAGGATTTTCATTCACAAAGCCTGTACAGCAGTCCAGTGCACCAGAAATTGGTGTTTCTAAACAAGGTGAGTAGTGTTATGGATATAAGGCCCATTGATATAAATTGTATGTTTATTGTCTATTTATTGAATAGACATGTCAGTATTCCAGTTGTGAGCAATGTAATATTAAATCTTCAGTTATTTTATCTTGTACTCATGTGGAAAACATTATCATTCCATCACATGAAACACAAACAGCATTTGGGATCAGTTCCCTATAAATTGATATCAGTCTTAACAATCAGGAGACATTTGTATTTTTATAGAATCAGGAGGCAGTCAAGAATCTACAAAAGTGTTTGGACAGTCAACATCAATTGGAGGCAGTCTGTTCCGAGTCCAAACCTCTGCTGCTTTGAGCACTGGTGGCAGCAGTGCAGCATCCAAAACCGTCACTGAAACAACAGGTGTTCTTCCTGCTCCTGTCTCCAAGGTAGAATCCTCTTTTTCAGGCTTTGGTGTGAGTACTTCAGCTCCTGTTTTCGGACAAAAGAGTATAGCAGTGACCGGTTCCACAACCACAGCTGCAGGTGATGGCCTGTTAGTAAACCCTGCGGTAACTGTATCTACAGCATCTACACCAGTAAACCCTTCAGTAACTGCATCTGCAGTGTCCACACCTACAGTATCTACACCAGTTGGTGGCAATGTGCTTGGAAATGCTGCATCAGAAGGTGTATCTCAAGTCTCAAGTTCCACTTCTACCAAAAGTGCTAGCATTGGATTATTTGGAAAAACAGAAGCTGGGATAGAGGTGACCAGTCCTGAGCCAGATCCTAAACCATCAGAAGGTGTATCCAGTCAGTCAGAAATATCAGTAAGTGCATTTGGTCAGCCAGCAACAGCAGCCACTGGCCTGTTTGGAAAGCTAGCCACATCAAGCACTGGAGGCCTATTTGGAACAGTTCCCACCACTTCCAGTACAGGCGGGTTGCTTGGAACAGTAACCTCTGCAGCAAGTGCAGGGGGTTTGTTTGGATCAGTGACCACTACAGCCAGTACAGGGGGTTTGTTTGGATCAGTGACCACCACAGCCAGTACAGGAGGTTTGTTTGGATCAGTGACTACCACAGCCAGTACAGGGGGTTTGTTTGGAACATCTACCTCCACCACCAGTACAGGAGGTTTGTTTGGAACAAATACCTCCACAGCCAGTACAGGGGGTTTGTTTGGAACAGCAACATCCACCACCAATAACGGGGGGTTGTTTGGAACATCTACCTCCACCACCAGTACAGGTTTGTTTGGAACAGCAACATCCACCACCAATAACGGGGGGTTGTTTGGAACAGCAACCTCCACCACCAGTACAGGAGGTTTGTTTGGAACAAATACCTCCACAGCCAGTACAGGGGGTTTGTTTGGAACAGGACCATCCACCACCACTTCAAAAGTTGGCGGAAGTTTATTTGGAGCAACATCTACCACTTCAGCTACTTCCTCTTTTGTTGGTTCTGCCACCACAACTCCTACTACAACACCTTCTTTGTTTGGAGGAACAGCTGCATCAACATCAGCATCTTCAGGATTTGGCGCTGCAACTACTATGTCTACATCCTTATTTGGAGGGGCTTCTGCTTCTCAGCCCATATTTGGTAGCGCACCAACATCAACCACATCATCTACATCATTATTTGGGAGTACATCTAAAAGTACATCCTCTGGATTTGGAGGGTTTACTAGTCCTAGCTTTGGCCAAAATACTGCATTTTCACAGTCCAACCAAAGCAGGTAAGCATACAGCAACACTGACAGAAAATGTTTTAAGTTGTTTCATATTCACTGGTGATGCTTGTTTCATTGTATCATTCTTGTTTGTCTATCCCATATCTTTTAGTCAGTCTTGTCTGTCTATCTCATGTTTAGGTGTTGTGTATCTGTAAACAATTTAGATATTAAACTACTTCTCAAAATCCCCTGTATCAATTTTTAGGACATTTTTTAAAAACCTTCAATAGCAAAAGGTGAACCAAAATTGTGAATTATAGGGTTCTCAAACATCGATAAACTCGGGCAAGGCCAAGGTTGGGCAAATTGACTTGGATTTCAAAAATCATCAAATACTCTTCATGGATGGAATTGTCTTAAAGTTCTATACCAGAACTGTGAATTTCATGACCTAGGGATTTATACCACAAACCCCTCCTCAGACTGAAAGCAAAGAAGTTGTCTATGCTTTATATAGATATTTAAATTTTGAGCTCACCTGGCCCAAAGGACCAGGGACCTGAGGGACATGGCCCAAAAAGGGAAATTCAAAAATTCTACTCTTGTAGGAATTATTTCATTTTGCCCAAATTTGGTCTGAAGCATTCTTAGGTGAAAAGGAATCAATTTGGTATAAGCAGTAGGTCTGGCCCCTTTGGGCAGGAGGGGCAGGGCCCAACGGAGGAAATAGTGAAAACTCTTTAAATTCTTTCTCATCAGTTTTGTATAAACTGTGGGTCTCTGCCCCATGATGTTGAGATGTCTAGGCCCAATAAGGGGAATAGAACAAATCCTACTCCTGTAGGAATGATTGGAATTTTGCCATATTTGGAAGCATTCTTGTGCAACAAGTGGGTTCAGCCCATTGAGACAGAAAGGATGGGGCCCAAAAATTGGAAATAGAGCAAGCTCTTTAAAATCCTTCCTCTGTTGAAATTTTTTTTTTTTTCAAATTTGATCTAAAGCTTTCTTAGTTGAAGAAAACTTAGTTTTGTACAAACTGTTCATGTAACCTCCTTGGGGAGGATAGGCAGGATCTAATAAATGTAATAGATATATGTGTTTTAAATACTTTTCCTTTAATTTGAATTAAACAATTTCAGCATACTAAACCAAGTAAGCAATACAGGTCCTATTTGCCTCTTGTTTGATATAATGTGTTTAATTTCCAATGACAATAATTCAAACTTGGGTGAGATTATTAAAATAGATTTGCACATTTTACATTTGTATTGCATGAACAGTGTTGTTCAAGTTATCTCTGTTTGATCAGGAGATAATTTCTATGACATGTCACAATAACAGAATTATTTTTTGGTTATTTTGTTTGTTTAGTTTTGTCTTTAGTGTATAACTGAATGTCTTTTCCAGTCCGCCTTGTCTGTCCATCACAGATCATTAGTCATTCTATCAATGGTGTCTGTCCATCTGAAAACCAGTGCCATTCTCTCATTCTTGCCTGTCCATCCTGAAAATAATGTCATTCTGTCAGTCTTAAATGTTCATCCAGGTACAGAGAAAAAAAGTTTTCACAACTGGGCAGATGATAGTGTATAATAATGTCAACAATAATAAAACATACCATGTATAAAAATGTGATGTATAAAATATTTGAATATTAGACATCAACATAATAAGTAGTGAAATGCAATATTCTACAAGCTGTTGCTGAACATATACTTCTTATCAGGTTTATTCCTAACATAAAAATGGTCGTTACATTCTCTTCCAGGAAATTTGCCCCTGAATAATTAAGTAAACAAATCGTTACTGCTATGAAGAAGAATACATGTCACATGACTTTTTTTCTACATTTCAGTACATTGTTTGGTCAAGCAACAACTACTCAAGCTGGATTTGGCCAAACACCAAGTCAGTCCCCATTCAGCCAGACACAGTCTAGCTCTCAGAGTCAAGCATCTGGAGATGGTGGTTTGTTTAGTGGACTTGGAGGGCAACCAAGTGCTGAAAAGGCTAATACCAATGTATTTGGTTCACCCTCTGCCTTTGGAACCTCTGCCACACCTGGTTCAGGTATGCTGAAATACAGTATACTGACATTAACTGGAAACAGTTTCATTGCCCCTGCCATAACTTAAAATGCATGTATTTCTGGTTCCATACCTCAGTTCTCAGTCTGTATACATTTGCTTTAGGATGCTTATTGTTTTCACATACATTCTTTTCGGAACAAACATTGATGTAAGTAAGTAAATATATGGATTTTTTGTATGAACATAGCCGAACTTCACTTCATTTTGGGCCAAAAGCTAGAGGCAGAAGTATATGTTAGACTTTGTGAAAGATGTAAGCACTCTCTGGGTTTGATTAGTAATGATAACATATATAATGTATGAGGCTATTTAATGTGATTATCACAACTGAAACAAAAGGAACTCACTGTATATCATGATTCAGTGAGGTGTAATTAAAGATAATGGATCTTAGGACAGAATAGTTACATATTAATTGAAAGACAAACTATCACCAAGTTTCACCCTTTGTGTAAGACTTTTACACTGGTGACAGATAGGTCAAAACATATTTGTTATGCATGGTATTTTTCCACAGCATCACTGTTTGGCAACCAGAAGTCTACAGGATTCGGTAATAGTGGGTCAGGTACTACCTCGGCGTCAGGTGGAGCATTCTCTGGGGGATTCTCAATGGGAGGAACAGGAGTAGGATCGACTGGATTTGGGGTCAGCCAGCCCCAGGGGCAAGGTAAGTTTTACTTCAGGGTTGTTATTAAGTAGAGACTTTTCCACAATAATGTCAACTCTTAAATATTTCTTACTAAACAAGAATATAAAAACTAAGCTAGGAAGTAAAAACAAAATGAAAATTGTATGTTTTAGGCGGTTTTGGAGGAGCGCCAGCATTTGGGGGCAGTCCGACATTTGGAAGTGCTCTTGGAGGTTTTGGTAGTCCACCAGCCTTTGGTAGTGGAGCAACTTTTGGTAGTGGAGCCACCTTTTCTAGTCCTGCATCCACTGCTAGTTCTAGTGCAGGAGGCTCGGGATTTGCAGGGTAAGTAATATTAAAGAACTCAATTTTCGATGATGGGATGGTAAAATCGCCTTGCGTCTGTGGTTTGTCATCTCTATTTCTTCATAGCTTCTGGACATATGACAGTTTCGCCTGATCTAACGTTTTGCATCAATAATTTCCGAACTGAACAGAAGAATTGAAATGGTTGAACGACGGCCATATTGAATTTTGAAATTTAGAATTAGTTATTGCTATATCTTGAAAAGTACCCAGTGAATCTTTCACAGATTTGATAAGTAGACATTACTTGGTACCTAGATGTGTAGGATCACTTTCAAAAGTCATGGAAACTGATCTGAAAAATATACTGGCCACTAGCTGGTGTCCCTTATTGCTATTTCCTGAGAAGCTCTGGATTGATTATTTTCAAATTTCATAAGTAGGTTTCCATGCTTATGCATATTAGGATCAATTCAAAACATGAGAAAAGAAGTGAAAAGGTCCAGCTGATGAAAACCTAATAAAATTATATGAAGGTGGGCGTTCCCTCTGAGATCTCTAGTCACTAGCGTAATATATCATAATGGGTAATGTTTGATTTCTTGAAGCATTCTGCTTACATTTTTGATATAAGAAGAGATTTGAAAGTATTACACAATTAAAGGAGATAAAAAAATGCCAAAGATAAAAATACTCATATGTCTATAATGACTAGCCAGTCTCTATGTCATCGAGATAAAATACAAAAATACTACAAATCAACCACATACCAGTTAATGAAGAAAATAGTTTACTCTAATATATATTTACAGATCTTTGAAAAAAATGTTTCTTGTCAATACTCATGAAAAATTTGTGACAAGTTTCATCAATCATATAGCAAAAGGAAATACATTTAAGATCCTCGGAATGTCATGATCAATTTTTCAAGTGAATACAGTAGAAAACAAACATTTATACATTTAACTTAAATTCTTGTTCACTCTATATCTATGGTGTCCTTTGATACATCACTATACCATCTGTGAATGTGTCATTTCACATAGTAGAGTGATGTCACAAAAAGCTATATATCAAATATGTGATATTCAAAAATATTGAATGGCGATATTCATCGATGAACGAGGCACTCATGTGATAAAATGATTTATTTATAGGAATAGGGTACACAAAATTATTTATTTATAGGAATAGGATACACATTGCACAAAAATTTAAACAAAAGGGAATGTAAAAAGTATACTTGGTATGTAAGATAATGAAAAGTTTGATTTCATGTTTGTACAGATTTGCCAGTTCTAACAGCCCTACATTTGGAAGTCTAGCAGGATCCTCTGATACACCGTCCTTTGGTGCCCTAGGTGGAGGAGGGGGAGGAGGATTCGGTTCTCCAGGATTTGGAGGAGGTAGTCCAGGATTTGGGTCGACACCTTCTCAAGGTCAGAGAAATAGATGTACATCAGAAGCTTCCTGAATAATTTTAAGCATTACAAAAATTTCAAAGAATTTTTGCTTGCATACATGAATCAGTTTTTTTCATTTTTTATAAGTCTCCACTGGTGAGGCTACATGATGCATTATCACCCATTCTGTGTTCAAATTGCACTCTGTCCATGATCAGTTGTTCATGCACAATCTAAAAGTGGCCATCAGGGGTTTTAAAAGCTAAAGAATTTATTTACAGTTTCTGGATATATCCATCTCAGATTTTGATGATTTCCCCCAGGGTCTTTGACTGTGATTTTTCATTTCTGAGATTCATCCATGAAACAAAATACCTGTAACTGGTCATCTGGAATTTTGACCTCTTTACGTAGTTATCACAATTTGTCAGACAAGAGATCTCGTGGGATCTTGGTGCTGACTATTGTATGATCCCTTTTAGTTCTTTATCAACTGGGCATTTTCCCTTCTTTTATCTTTCAAAGTGTTACCAGAATCAAATATCCTCAACTAGGGACCAAGATGAACATGTATGAATAGAATTTAAGAAATATCCACAGAATAATTCTCAAGTATCTTCAGCTTTCAAAAATCAAATATGGCTGCTTGTCAGCCATTTTGTTTTTCTGCTCAGTCTTGAAATACAACATGCAGAACTAGGGACCAAGAGTAATACACATGTGAAACTATAGAAAGATCCATCTAATCATTCTTTAGAAACTGTGATAAGGATGAGCGATACTATTGACAGAACACGGATAGTGGTTGATTTGAACAGCCCATCAACTAACGATAGTGGGCTAAATTTACAGGAGAGATTTTGTTTCTTAATTTCTGAAGAAGGGTTCCTTTTTTGGATATTTTGCCCTATATGTCATTCAACTGTAGGAATAAATATAAAGAAAGCAAGAAAAATAAGCAAAGAGTTTAACATAACACGGAACCTATACATATCACAATTATTGGGTGACCAGGTCCCTTTGGGATTTCCTGTTGTTACTGAGATTTTATCAGAGATGGGTAACCAATGATTTCTTGTAATACACTGTGTTGTAAAAGGAAAATGCTTAGTTGTAAAATATCAAATAAAATAAAAAATTTCATTACAGGATTTGGAAACGCTGGTGCAGGGAACAGTTCATTTGGGTAAGCTTAAGGAAATGTTCTTATTTTCTAAGAGATAGAATGAGCAGTTTCAGTAGGTGTAATCAGCTTTGAAATTTTGTTAATACTTGGAAAAAAACTTAGAAGTTTTATTATTTACAGGGCGAGAAGGGAATTGTACCACCAATAACCCTGACATAAATGATAAAAGACATTTGTCTCATGTTTTTTTAAAACTCCTCGTATCTACTATTGGATAAATAAGCTCATCAACTGAAAATTATGTCTGATCCATGACTATCTTTTCACTGTATAATTCTAATGCAAAAAGTCATTGTTGTACCAAGAAAACTTTCATGAATTTTTGCATAAATGATGCAAACAGTATGTTTGTCTTTAAGTCATCTAAGTTGTATTTTTACATGATGTTTGAACCCTGAAGTTCTAAGAGCAGATATTTTCGTTTTCGGCAAAGAAATGAATATTAAATGTGATGCTTTGACTTAAAAAAACCAACAGTTGCATGCTTCAGAATGTTATAAATAATTGTGCATTATTTTGGGATTGTTGAGGGCATGTTTGTAGACATGGGTCCAATAGAACTTCTATACTCATTATCAACAATGATTTGTTACAGTATGCAATTGTGCGTTTCATTACTTCACCAATCTAAATTCATTCCCTGTAGTAATTTTCTCTAATCTATCTTTATTCAGGTCCAATCCCGCATTTTCTGGATACAGATAATGAGTACTTCAAGACTGTCAAATCTAGACAAGGCGTCTTTAACATCTATAGACCAAGGGGTTTTAGTCGCATCTCAACAGAGTGTTGCTGTATGTAATTGGGACTTCAAAAATACTGTTACAAGACCATAAGTTACCAGATTTTGTAGAATTTCAGTTTGATTGTTGCTGATGAGAAGATTTTTATGGCTTGAAATTTATTTGCTTTGTACAATAATAATAAATATCTCCCCAAAAAATATGGCAGGTGATTTTTACAACAAAGGTAGTGATAGGTGTCTTGAGTAACTAATGCTGTGTTTTCATGTTCTGTTTATGTATACAATAAGAATGTGTGAAGGAACATGTATTAAACAAGTCTAAGGCTGCTTGTTTATAGAAATAATATCAGTTGTAACAAACTTGAACATTTTAAAAGACCTCAAAATAGACTCATGAGAGAGCAAATCCTCCATAAAAACCAGTTCTTTTGTTACATAGATTTTTTTTTCTTGAAAATATATCATGTATATTTTTTTTTTCGTGTCAGAAATGATAAAAAGATTTTTAAATATCACTTTTGTTTTCCCTCCTTTCAGGTTATTTAATTGTACAAAAAGCTGCATTTTACTTTTTTTTGTCCTAATACAAAGGGACTTCAACTCTGCTATTGGGTGATATGTATCTTTGCATAATTTATGTTATGTGATTATATTCTTGTCAATAATTCAAGTGAACCCCAACTGCAGTAGTTAGTCATGGTAAATGGTTTCGGTTGATTAGGTTGCCTTACATAACCTAAAAACTTTCCACTTCTTGCAATCAGAGTTACATGTAGTTTCTTCTCAGCATACTGAGTAGACTAGCCAGGATATTCATCCTCACAGGCAAACAGCCAGGGGTTGGTGTTCAGGGCCACACCCACTTCTCCCTTGGAAAAAAATTGCAATAATGCTTCTCTTTCACGTATACAGACAACAAAATAAAAACACATTTATTATATATTAAATGTAAAACATTTTTATTCAAGTATTTTAATAAAAACACATTTATTATATATTAAATGTAAAACATTTTTATTCCAGTATTTTAAAAAGTCATATTAACATAAGTATGATTTAATAATTATCTCCCATGATATGGCTTGGGAATACAAAAGGTTAATGGGACACCAAGTTAATAGATTTTTACATGTTTTTCTAGGTGTGGATACAAATTTAATCTATAAACATGCATAATTTTCATTATATAGTCTTAAAAACATTTTCAAAGTCCATCAAGACTTGAAATCATCCACCCGTTGATAATTAAATCAACACTTGTTAGGTGTGTGTTCCTGTCTTGTATTTAGCCAACCATCATCAGATGGTCTGGCTGTTTAAATCACTGTCTTTGTTTGTTAATTAAAATAGCAAATTTGACCTAGGCGATCTTAGATATGTGTCATGGTCATTTCTATTTACAAACTTTGTCAGACTTCATCAAAGGTATCTAAAAGCCTTATGTCATGAAACTAGGCCAGAAATTAGTAAAAGAAGTTGACAGCAAAAGCTCAGTTCGAGTTCCATGAATATTGATATATGATTTATCAGTATCTTCATAGGAAAAATTGTTTCCCACTCCACCTTATTTTCATAACAATGGAATCAAATTTGCTTCTACATTCCTTACATTATTTGACCTGTTCAGAATATGAAGTTCTACTTCCACTATCAAAAGTTTAATTCAGTTTCTGTTGGGAGAAGCAGAGTCCTTCTACTGAAGTTAGTCTGTGTTCCAGCACAAAAGTATACTTTCTACCAGCTGCTTCTAATTTGCGAGAACAGTAGCCATTGGCCTGTGTGAACAGATCAAGCATATCAACTGTGTCCTGTGTTCTCATACTTTCCCATACCTTCTTCAGACTGCATACAAGCCAGCTGATACGTCTTGTTTCTTGAGGTTCAGATGGTACAAAATCATAGGTTCCTTCTCCTATAAGAGATTACAATATAATGGACTTCATGCACAACCTTGACTTGTCTCCTGGTTCTGATATGTAAAAAGATCAACTTGCAGGCTTCAAGCTCATTTACAAAAGATTTCCAAACATTTGACCTGAGAGAACTTGTTTTTCCTACATCCTAGCATGCAAAATTCCCAGCTTTTGAATCCCTTTTAAACTTTAATCAGGTGTTTTTACTATACAATATACTTCATTCAAGAAGAAGACCTGCCAGTTGGAACAATATATGCCCATATCTTGCAAAAGCAAAGCATATTACTGCTCTAAAGAGAATATATACATATATGAAGATGAAGCAATAATTGTCTAAATAAAATGCCTCAGAAAGCACAAATTCATGTCATTTAAATAAAGCCTACAAAATTTGAAAGAAATTGATTAAAAACTAGGGGACATCACAAGACACCATTTAAAATGGTAAACAGAACAAAAGACAGGAGGCCCATGGGCTTTAACAGTCACCTGAGTTACAAAGCTGCTGTTGTAACATGTCATAGAAATAATCTTGTTTCCAAAGTAAGATAATGTGAACTAAATTGTAAACGTATAATGTAAAGAGTGCTTAATGTAAACTGCCAGCCCATGTTTAGCCTTGTGATCACATTTCAATTAAAAGAAGTTGCACTCAAAATGAATTTTTTGTATATAAAGTCTTCAATTCATGAAGATAATATTACAGATTCTATCATATTTGGGTATTGAGAAGATCTTCAAAATTTGAGTCAATTTGACCCGTTTTGGCCCCACACATCAACCCCTCGGGAGTATTTCTAACCAAGTTTGATATATTTTCAATAGGAATTACCTGGGCCTTCAGGTTACTGAGATGAATGTAACATGTTTGACAATGAAAGGTCATTCTGTTTAATGAAATTGGAAACCCTTCATCCCAGCATAATACAGGCCCAATATCAGCATACTGGGTCATTTAAATGTTTTAACACCTGTGACCTTGGAAATGGGTCAAGGTCATTTGTCTTGACAAACTTTGGAGCCCTTCATCCGAGCAAGACAAAACAACGGTGGCTCTCCTTCTCATATTGATTAACAATCATGCAAAGTTTCATCCCTTTAGTATGACTGATTTCCATTAAACTTATGAAGTAGACACAACTTTTCATAGTTCATCATATAGAGTACAACTGGAAGGCTGCAGTTTGAGAACTTGACCATTGGAGTACAAAGAAGTATGTGACACGCCTTATAACAGTGCTTACTAATCAAACAAAACGTCATTCCTCTTCTATGACTACTAGCTACAAAGTTATGAAATGGACACAAATGTGTTTCTGAGACATGCGTGTGTGGACAAATAAAGTGGTGCTATGAAAAGATTGAGAAATTGACCTTTTGGTAGACAAGAATTTGGTATAACGCATCTAAATTTCATTGCTCTACAATGAAGCTGACACATAAACATTTCAGACAAACGGACAGAGCTGTCACAATAGGGCGGAAGCCACTATGATAACAATTCTTCTCAAACTTATTGATGTTCATATGAAGATTAAGTGAATCAGCACTCTTTTCAGTAAACGCAACTTCATGTCACAATGACTGAGCTCACAAAATTTGAAAGAGGTCCGATGAAAAATGTTGGATGAGTTCTCCGCATTAAGAAGATTGGACAATTAAACCAACAGATGATGAAATGCCATAATGTTATACTCCCTATCCAAATTTTTAACAGACCTATAGAAATTATACACTACAGAAAACTTACCTGCAAGACACCCATAGACTATGAGGCAATTAGTTGGACAGAGTTGCAAATAACTGTCCATATTGATATTGTTTGTCAGTGAAGGCAATGGTACAATTTGATCTCCTGATCGCATAGGTGTATCACCATCCCCAACTCCTCCTGGAGGCATAGTTGATTCACCTGTAACTACAGACAATAGTCAAGCCCAATGATAAATATGAAGAAATATCTGTAGGCACTACATATATAGATCAGGACAGGAAATCTTTTCTAGAGTGTTTTCATTAATAACTTAAGCAGATAATATTTCAATGAAAGACACATTATAGACAGTGTTTTCAGTAATAACCAAATGCCTGTTTCTTATTTTACTCGAGTACAAAATCAATTGTTTTCAGCAACAAAACAATGCTTGGTTTTTAGTCAGAACCCAACACAAACCTTTGACTTCTACACCTGGGTCTGGTGGAACATTTTCTTCAAAACCAGAGTATCTGCAAGCCTGCAAGATGAATGATAAATACTGATAATCAGAGGTAAAATAGGCCTGTAGTACTTGAAGCCTTTCAATATATGCCAAAGCCTATATGTAATGAAGAATAACAATTAATATATTTATTACAGGGATTTCAGTTCTCAAAAGTAATCTAAAAACAAGAGGCCAAATGCACCAGCATTACAAACATCTCTGACACTGGTGAAACCCAGGGTGCAGAGACCCATAATTTTCTTATAAAACTGATTCCTCCCCACTAAAAGCTTCTTCAGACCAAATTTGGGCAAAATATAATCATTGCTACAGCAGGAGTAGGATTTGAAAGAATTGACTCTATTTTAATCCCCTAAGGAGCAGAAACCCACCATTTGAACAAAATTGAGTCGTCTTCACCCATGGATGCTTCAGACCCAATTTGGGCCAACATTCAGGTATTTCTTCAGAAGAAGAATGATTTCAGAGAATTTGCTGTATTTCCCGTATTGGGCCTCACCACAGGTCAAAACCCAAAGTTTTCTCAAAACTGATTCCCTTTCACCATAGAATGCTTCAAACCAAATCTGGGCAGAGTTTAAAATTTCCTGCAGAAGTTGGATTTTAAAGAATTTGTTATCAACCTAAGGCACCTTCACCCACTGTTTCTACAAAGTTGAGTTCAGTACACACAGGGGATGCTTCAGAGCAAATTTGGGCAAAATCCAAACATTCCTACGAGAGGAACAGGATTTCAAAGAAAGTGCTCTCCTACTGGTCCCCACCCCTCCTGGTAACAAACTTTGCAATTTTTTTTTCATGTTCTGCAAAGTCAAAAGATTCCATATGGAAGATAATTTGGACTGTGGCTATCAAGTTTGTTTATATGAATGACAATGACCTACTTTCAAGGTCAACTGGGTCAATTGTGTTGAAATCTTCAAATGGCTTTTTATCAATAACTAAGAACCACAGGATGACAATACTTGGAATGCTGAAATAAAAGGTTATCACGTCAGTTCATAATAATGACCTTTGCACACTTTCCAAGGTCACGTCAAATTTCTTAAAAATCTTGAAACAATATTTTTTCATCGTTTTCTCAAGTTTCAGTTGATCTAGAGTCTTGGTATTGATATGTAAGATGTAAGGTCATCAGCTATGAGCTTTGATAATATGAAAGACCTTGATCCACTTTCAAGGTCACAGGAGTCAAATATGTTAAAGCTGTTAATTGAATTGGTATCAATTTACAACTTTAGCATACTTAGATGAAGGTCAATCATGAAAATCAAATGCCAAATATTCAAAATGACCATTAATGGCTGTCTGGAAGCAGATCAATCTAATAACTCGAATGGTTTGAGCAACAAGAACACAAGATGATCCATGTTCATGTTGTTTCATAAAAGAATCCTTCTGATAAATCATTGGAAAAAGCAATCACAAACTTCAAATTTCAAAATGGCTCACAGCAGCAATCCACAATATCAGGTCACTCTTAAAGAATCTCTAAAACATTTGATCACATTTTGAATTCCCAAAAAGTGATATCAGCAAAAATTGATTTTAAAGAATTTACAATCTGATAATTCTGGCCGGAAAGGTTGATGATGCAGGTGGACAATGTATGATTGATGCACAATACCTAATAAGCTGAAAATAATCGGAGCTATACACATTCAACCTAAATTACAAAATAATCGTACCTTCACTTCAACACAATCACCACTTACAACATTTACAAATAACAATAACTGGTCATCACTATCAACATACACATAACAAAAAGGTTATAGATAACAAAACATTGTACTTACATTGACAAGAAATACTTTAGGTGAAGGCAGTGCTAGAATTGGAGTCATCAGATCTAGAAGACTCACTGAATTGTAATAGCTAACACCTCTAAACATTTGCTGTCCTTGTGAAACAAATCCATGTGTGGACACAGAAAAAAGGAAGGATTGCAAGTTCTGAGCACTTCTACCTACAGCTACTGCATCTGAAATAGCAAGAGATCCATGAGAGATCTTGGTACCAACCATTGTACGATCTTTATTGGTTCTTTATCAGCACAATCTTTTCCCTTTTTTTCGCTCCTTTCTTGTCCCTCAAAAACTGCACAATTATAAACCAAGGGGAATCTTCACATCAAACATGAGAATGATCTTTTGGAAATATAATAATCCAATATGGCTACCTTTTAGCCATTTTGTTATTTAATCAGTCTTTTAACAGAAAATGCAAAATGAGCAATAATGAGTACCTACAAATCAAATAGAAGAATGATCAATCTGTCCAGATCATTTGAAGTAATAGTGATAACAAATTTTAACTTCAAAATCCATTGACTGTCAGCCATTTTGTTTTTATGATCAATCCCACAATTGAACATACATACCAATGCACCAAGAGAGTTTTCATATGAAATTTGAGAAAGATCCATGCAATAAACTTTCAACATCGAATATCATCATCTGTAAGCCATTCTATTTCTCTCCTCTTGTCAAAAAACTGATCATGTACAACTAGGGACTAAGACAGTCTACAAATAAAATCTGAGGAAGGGTTCAGCATTTCTCCAGAAATAGCTGTAACAAGAATTGTTTTAGGACAGAATGAGGGACAATAGACAAAGGGTAACTTGAGCAGATGGAATCATAAAATGATTAGCAATGCAGTTATTAGTGAGATGCAAACCAAGCAAACAACATTAATAATGAGCTTCCAGTTTTTTCCCCCCAATTTATTTTTTTTTAAGATGATACACAATGTACACTCAATCTTGATAAGGAAATATATTGGATTAAAATGGATGAACATATGATCTTCTTAAGAAAAATATGTGTATTTCTGTACATCATTCACCTACCTTTGACAACCTCTTTCATTTGTTGTACAGTCAAATTTGAGCACTTCAATATTGTATAGTTGAAAGGCGGCATAGAAAATATCTCTGTCATTACATTGAGATCTGTTGTTGCCCCAGGCAGAGGTTCACGACCGAAGTCAGAGTTACCAATGATAACAGCTAAATGTCTGACTGGTGTCCGCCTCGAGATCTTGGTAATCTCGCTTCATTAAATAAGAATGATTACAATATTTACAAGATATATATTTGATGACAATAATTTCTAAACTGCTAAAGGTGAAGATGTTCACTGTTATTTTCTATTTTAGCTCACCTGGTCCATTGCATTGCTGAGTGCAGGCAATGACCTGGCATTCCTTCTCTTTCAGTCTACCATTTTTTTTTAAATTTTCACTCAGGTCAACAAATGTGCATGAATTTTTACCGAATTAACCAGGAGAATCTTCAAATGGAATACAAGTGATAAATGTGGTACGTTATGTATGACTGTATCTGTAAAAAAATAGATATCCAGTTTTTTTTTTACAATGTAGGTCACAAAAGATGTGTTTAAACCATCTCTTGTCTATTTTTTTTATGTATCACTGATTTTATTGTTGTGTCCATAAAATGAGGTAAGACAGATGTTTCATATTGACAAAAAGATACTGGTAGGTGTGGTAAAGAAATCAGTGTGCATGTATGGGGCCAATTATCATTGAAAACAATTTAGAGAGGTGATTTACATAATGCAACAAAGAATGGCTGCTCTGGATAATCTGGTTGGCCAGATATATATTATTTTGTTTTGGAACATTTTCTTCAGGTTGGTAACGTCATTAGAATTGAAATTCTTATAACACAACCAGTAGACTAGGTAGACCAGATGCATAATGTATTGTATGTAGTTTTAAAACTTTTTATCATATTTCATCCAAGTGACCTTGAAAATTGAGCTTTATTATGGCTATTTATTGTTTTAATTTTATTTGAAATAAAAACAAAAGATCCCAGAGAGATCTTGGAAACCCACCATTATGTGATCCTCATCTGTTCTTTAAAAGTGGGATGTTTTCCGTTTTTTCCTCTTATTTGCACTTAATTATATGAAATTGGACAATTCCTCAAAAGAAACAGTGATACTACGGTAATCAAAATCCAACCAAGATGGCCATATATCAGCTGTCCAAATAATGATAACAAATTATGTCTGTCAAAAACCAAGATGGCCTTGCATTTGCTCAAGTGTGAAGTCCAAGGTAAACCTAAATATGAAATGTGAACATCAAACACTTCAGCAGAAAGAGCAATAACAAACTCTCACAATCTAAGATGGCTGCCTGTACGGAAACCAACAAATGAAATCTGATAATGATCCACCCAGTACTTCTAGAGAAATAGTGATAATAGCGATTTGTATTTCTGTCAAAACCCAAGATGGCCACCTGTCAGCCATCATCTAATGATAAAAATAAAATGGATACAAAGTAGACACAATAATGTTGTTGTTGTTTTTTTATTTGGTATTATCTTTAAGTATCATATTCTAGTAAAATGATATTGTATTACAAAACTGACAGAAATCCAAATCATATCCCTGAAGTAATACAGTATTGATAACAATGAAATACTATACCTTTCTTTGAACTTTTTATGGCTATGTCCATCTGAAAATAGATATCATCTTCATTTAGGGTCTTTAGAATGAATCTTTTAATAAGCCCAGGAGCCAACACACTGACTAAAGATTATAATATCAACTTTATTTATTCACAACAATTGCTAAACAAGCTATTTCAACTTATACTAATCAGTCTTGTTGGCCTGGATGTAATTGCACTAGGGTCTTATTGTGGGAGGAAACTGGAGCACACGGGGGAAAACCCACATGATCGGGCAGGAAACCACATACTTTTTCAAATCCGTTCTGGGAATCGAACCCTGATAACTGAAAGGCAAGTGCATTTGCAGTGCACCACTAGACCACCCTTGACAAAAAATTATGGTGATGGGGGAGGAGGGTGGTATTTGGATTTTCCATAGAAATACTACATCTATTATGGTTGTTTCTGCTGATACACAGGTGAATGTTTCTAGACCTGGTAACATTTTCACGTACTCCTGTATATGATAGAGGACAACACCTTAAAGGGTTTGCAGGTGGAATGAGAGAAGTGAATGCAATACAATGAAAAAAGTGAGATCGACAAGCAGGTTACTCAAAGATACACATTTGTCTGCAGGGCAATGATTTGCTGATTTTGTTTTATACAATTTAAGGTCACATAAATTTCATAAATTACAAGTTGTTGACAAATTTTCATAGAAAAAGAAAGCTAATGATACTTGTCTTCATGAAAATGCCTAGTTTTTAGCATATTTCAATATCCATAAGTGGACTTACACAGGTGTAAAAAGTCTAGGTAATTCCCTTAGTAGGAAATAAGCATCATGTGTATAAGTTTTCAGTTGATGACATCTGAAGGAGGAATTCCCCATTAAAAAGTTATGGCAAATGATCCAGAAATTTGAGAAAAGTGTCAAGTTTTCCATGTTTATCCCAAAATATCTTTAACTAGAATTACCCCCAGATACTACACCCACCTGAAGAGACAAATGACATTAAATACTTGAATCCTGTCATAGTGCCATTTTAAACAGACCAAAGTTTCCGCAATCCATGGCAAAGCAGTGGATTTTAGTTGAGTAGACATTTGTTCAGAGATCAAGAATGAACAAGAGACCCATGGGCCTTAACTGTCATCTGAATATACAACATACATTTTGTGATAGAGACTCAACAGACCTGTACTGCTCACCTGTTCAAGAGCTTACACAGAAGAGTTTGTTGGTTCATCAGTTCAATTTCTGACACTGATGACTGAGTGTTTGGGTAGTCAGAGAGAGGATTGGGGTGGACTGTTGAGTACTGGGATTGTCATTGTCATGCAGACATGGTACAGGTATTTCTCACAAATTTGATTCTTACCGATGTCATAGACATTGCTGACAACCTCAAATTCAGAAACATCAGAGGGCAAGTTAAACATATCTTCAGTCATATCAACTGCCTTCCAAACTCCATCCAGGCAGTATTCCAGACCAGTTGCTCCAAAAAACATGGACACCAGATTTTCTTTATGAAGCACATTATTGGTAACAGGAAACTGTTTCTTTTTCCCTGGTGGGGATTGTATTACACTAACAATACGAGATGACATCTAGAGTATCTGACCGTGATCTTCAAAACTGGACGATATCTTTTTCTGAAACAAACAATAAGTTATATGATCGTTTTCATATAAATCCCTTAAAATAGAATTGTTTTTATCAAAATGTGTATAATTTCTGACATACATTTCTTTGTGTTGTTGCCTTGGCTATTGATAACTCCAAGATAGGACACATTTGCGCTATCACACCATGGCTTAAGATTACATGCACTTTGAGTCTGCCATAGTTATTCGAAATATGATCAAAATTTTAAGTCTGCATGGATTTTATATATACATGTAATATGGAGTTGGTAAACGTAGTATTTCAATTTTCGACTTAACCTACTCAAAACATAAATAAATAATACGGAGGGTTGGAGGAAAGCTCTTTAATAACTGTAATGTAATAAAGTACATGTATTTATGAATTCAACTACAAATCAATATGTCATAGTCAGAGTATAATACACTTAGTCTTGGTTCATCCAGCAATGATGTCATTTTTCGGGCAAGGTTTTTATTTTTAAGATCATCGACACATTAGTTTAATTAGATGTGAAAGAACAATGAAAATACACATTCCTGTCGAGTGCTCCAATCAAGAATTGAACCTGCTCTACCAACCGACCCAAAGAGGCATGTTCTATCAGCAAAGTAACAAAGACCATAATCAATTTACAATTAGCACTGACCGACTCCTTTTATGCTACTTCCCCTGTTTTTATGGAGATTTCTTAAATCTGAACCCAAGACTCCAAATACCACAACCCATGGAGTTTTGTTGGCCATTGATCAAATTTCCCTTTAAGTTGTGCAGTAGAGTTACGGCTAGAGACCAAAGGGTCAATAGTTCAAACCCAAGCAATGGCATGGTGTTTTTCATAACCCCTTCCTATAAGGAAGATTGGACTCCTGATCAGTAGAAATTATCAACAAACTACAAGACCTTTTGGAGATAGCAGCAAACATGGGCCACAAAAAACTCTTGATAATGGGAGACTTCAACTATCCCGGAATAAATTGGGATTCTTGGAACACCAAGGGAGAAAGCACAGAAACAAAAGAATGCAAGTTCATAGAAAAGCTTTAATAAAAACTCTGTGCAAACATGAGTCAGAAATGACAAGATGGTGAGTAGGAGACAATCCCAACATTTTACATCTAGTAATAACTGATGATGAAAACTATCAAGAATTGAATACTGTTAAGTTAGTGCACTCAGAGTAAAAGTTAGAGTTAAGCAAAATAAAATGGGACTGCGTTACGGATAATTCTAACAGTATCAACTGGATCAATTTCAGGTATATGCTAAAAGAAGTAGAAGAAATCATGTGCCTACAAAGATCATTACAATAGGAAGAAACAACAAGTACAGCTTTCTCATTGATGAAATGACAAAGGAAGCCATAAAAAAGAAACATGCCTTTTCTAAGAAGGCAATAAACAGCAAGGATGTAGCAACAAGAATGACTATAATAAAGTCAGAAAAGTAAAGTAACAAACTTGTTAACTCAGGAAACAGTATGAATATGATATTGCCAAAAAAGCCATCTGGAACTATATACAATCAAAATCAACAACAACATCAAATATCAGAGATCTCTATTCAAACCCAGAAAATTAAAATTCAGCAAAAACCACAATTGATAAAGATAGAGCTGATGTACTGTGTAAGATTTCCAGTAATGATTTTGTAAAGGAAGAGGAGGAGGAAGTCACACTGCCTTGTATCAATGAGAATCAAAGGTGAATGAAGAGATGACAGTCATGGCTGTAAAAGAAGAGATTGTACCAGACAAATGCAAACACATGAAATTGGGTAATTAGATTGCTCAAGGACAGGAAACCTTTTAGTTCAACATATCACCTCCATGGGACACACTTACAGACAGTAACCCAGGAAAAAAAATCTAGCTCAATGTTTGCTCTTCTCAGGAGAACTTTCCTGTTCATGGATCAAAGGTATTTTATACCTTTATACAAATGCCTGGTACGCTCACATCTGGATTACATGTGGCCTGTATGGGCAGCATATAATAAAAACACATCAATAAGATAGAGGGAGTACAAAGATGGGCAACCAAGTGCCTTCAGGCATGAGTAACCTCAGCTACAGCCACAGACTGGAGAGACTACATCTACCAACATTAGCCTTCAGAAGAGTAAGAGAAGATATTATAGAACTGTACAAAATCATTAACTGAACATATGAACAGGAATGCTGCAATTCAGTAATGTTACGGGATGGCGCTGCTCAACGACGCTTTCAACAATGTTAAGAAAAAACTTTTTTCAATTAGATCGGCAACCATTTGGAATAAATTATCTGAACATGTAATTTCAGCAAATGATATTAACAGATTTGAAAATGAATTTGAACTGGAAAAACTAAGAACTGTTCTTCAAATACAGAGCTGCAATCACATAATTATCAAATTGTATACATAACGCACATTTGTAAGAGAACTGTGCATAATAACTGTAATATCTTACGTATTTTAAGTCTGGTTCAGAGGACTTATATATGAAAATAAACTTATCTTAATAGTTCATGTAAAACGGCTCGACAAAATGACTGTTACGTACCGGGATACGAAACCGATGTCGATAGGATACGTAAGCCACACCGTGCTTCTCTTCTTACATTTGAACTGTTGAAATACTATGGTTGTGTTCAATGTAGTTATGACTAAAGTGGCTGCTGAATATGTGTACCGTTACTCACTTGTATCCTAAGTGGTCTTGCGGCGACAGCTCCCAAAAACACACAGACCAGCTTCCATGCTCGCTTCAACTCTGTTTTCTCACACTGCGCATGCGCTACTTCCGGCAATACTCACACCCCTTGCACACTAGAGGCAAATACTTACCCCAGTAAATCCTACCCCCCAGGATACTTTCACTACACTCCTCCCAACTTTATGATGAAGGAGTTGATCCCCAGTAGGATACTTCACCTGCAGGTACGTCGGAAATTGACCATATCCCGGCATGCTGATGTAGGCCAAAAGCTACTGTGATATTCAACAGATTTTGGGAGAATGCCTTACCTTAATGTGTCCTGGGCAAGAAGCCTCAGTGGCACATTCATCAGAGTGTATGAAGAAGCCATGTGCTCTGATGTCTGTCCTTTTATCTGGGACCAAGCATTATGCCCGAGGTACATCAGCCGCCTGCTCGCTGTTAATTGAACAGTCTCCTTGCATTCTCGGCTGATGCCTGCAGAAAGGCATCCACCTGGATCTGCTGAATTGGAGCGATTATCTCTACAACCGAATAAAGCTGATTCGGAGCAGACCACTTTTGACCTGCTTTCACAAAATATGGGGCATCTGTCTCCAAGACGATCCTGTCTGCCGCAACTGCCTTCAGGGCATGAACCTGTGGTCCGGAGAAAGACTGGACCATGCGAGTAAATCCCAGGTACAGGTTGGGAAACGCTGCTAACCACTGGCTGAGGACATACTCGTCTCCAGAAAAACAATGCAAGTATATCCTCTGATCAGCAGGTACATTCTTCCTCACAAGATGCAACAGCAACATGTAGGCCTCTGTCCCAGTATCTCCTGGCATTCCTCTACAGTGAAGCACCAAGGTGTGTCGTCCCCGCAAAAGCGTCAACACTCTCTCCAGTAAGTCCATCTGTTCTGGCCAGCCCCACCTCACCTATTGCAGTGACTCTTCCTAGCCAGGAAAGCTCCTTTAACCTCCTGAAAGATTCATCTTCGTCTTTCTGGTGACGGAAATGGTGTTTGGGGTGGAGGCCTACTGCAACTACCATATCCTCGGGAAGGTCAAGAAGACTCCGTCCGGTCGGATAGGTATAGGGATCACAGAAGGACACACACAACCCAACCGGATCAACTTCCTTCCCACTCTCCACAGTTGTTCCCGCCAAACATCTTCAAATGATGCTCCCTGGGACAGTCCCATAGCTTTGACAGTGTGATCAAGATGGGAGTGTGCATCAAATGCTACAGGTAATTATGGTGATTTCTGCACCCGAATCCATGCGTGCCTGTACATGCACATTTCCAATGGTAATCGGCACAGAAGATGATCCAGCACAGACCCTATATACACCAAGTTCCTCTTTCTCTGCCTCAAGTACCTCCAGTTCTGTCTTTTCTTGGACACTCTGGCCAGAAGCCAAGGTAGTGCCGTCATCAGGGGATTTACTAGAGATATGGTCAGCAGAGGGAATGGTGTCAGCGCTACCTTCCTCAAAATCATCAACCTCAGAGGTTCTAGAAGCCTCTGTCTGGGGAGCTGAATCTTTCGACCCTTTTTTCTTTTGTCGCCCAGGGATTAGGTCGATCTTCCTGGGCCCTACGCGTTTAAATCCTTCCTTCCGGCCTCTTCCTTCTTGTGCTTTTTCCAGGTTCTACAGTCAGTGCTCCAGATAGCCTGCGTGAATGCGTTTTCACGCACAATATTTCTAATTTCACGCTAGGAAAAAAATAAGATTTGCGTCATTAACCCGTGCGAAATCCGGACTCTGCGTCAATGTCCGGCTCCAATAGTACGTAGTTAGAAAACTCAATAATCTAAGTCAAACAGACACTTATCAAGTAAACGAAACTCATAACAAGCGCTTTCTTGATCGTGATTATAAACCAGTCGCATAGCAAATATGGCGCTGTCAAAAATGTTTACAAATTCAGTGTTACCCTAATATGGAAAAACCCATACACTTGATGAAGGCAGGGGTGAAAAAACCCCTCAATTTATAAAGGTAGGAGTGAAAACCCCACATGTCAAAAAGTTATCTGGAGCACTGTACTTATAAATAAATGATGAAAATAAAGATAAAAGATTAGGAAGTGGGGTATATTTAGATGTTAGGCCATGCTCACTTTGTTTTCATTTTCAATTAAATTTCAGTCATTGACATAACAGCAGTAAAATTTTGAGGTTAGAGTTAACAATGCTTTGCATGATAAGAGTTATCAGATTACCTTTTTGTTAAATCATAAATGTGCTAATTTGGGTGCATTTTTCTAACTCCAGCTTGTGATTGTTTCACCTGTGATGTTATTTGAACTGTTTACATGTACTGATGTTACCTATGTACAGGGACAGTGACTCGGTGTGACTAAATACTGAGATCAGTATTGTAATCAGAAGTTAACCTTTGTCTGACCAACCATTGTTGGTTGGAGTGATTATATTAGCAATAACTATAATCTCAATCTATAAACAATCATATAAGATATTAAAAATTACTCATATATTTTATCTTACAGACGAGAGATAATAAATAATTTGGTGACAAGCTTGTGTACATTGTGATATAACAGGTTTGTTTACCTGTATATGTGATACATGTACAATCTACATTTCCACCTGGTAATTATAATAGTAGACTCCATCATTATTTGTTACTTTATCATATACACTGTGATAAGTTACCTGTGTTAAAACTTTATTAAAATATTGAATTCTGTCACCCTTAGATCTCCTGGAGAGGAGATCAAATTTGATTCACTGCAGTTCGTATAGGGAAAAATGTTTTAAGTGTATTTGTTCATTTTCATGATTATTTTCACATTATGTCACACCTATATGTCAGAACCTGTTGACTGTTGTTCTGAGAACTGCATCCTTTTACTTACTGAATGTTTATAGGTTCAAAATTGACAATGGCAGTTAATCCAAGGGAGATAAGTACCATATGACTATCAATGTACAATATAAGAAAGCGATATAAGATAGCTGTATATATGAAGATATACCCCATCAGTGCTCCAGATAGCCTGCGTGAATGCGTTTTCACGCACAATATTTCTAATTTCACGCTAGGAAAAAAATAAGATTTGCGTCATTAACCCATGTGAAATCCGGACTCTGCGTCAATGTCCGGCTCCAATAGTACGTAGTTAGAAAACTCAATAATCTAAGTCAAACAGACACTTATCAAGTAAACGAAACTCGTAACAAGCGCTTTCTTGATCGTGATTATAAACCAGTCGCATAGCAAATATGGCGCTGTCAAAAATGTTTACAAATTCAGTGTTACCCTAATATGGAAAAACCCATACACTTGATGAAGGCAGGGGTGAAAAAACCCATCAATTTATAAAGGTAGGAGTGAAAACCCCACATGTCAAAAAGTTATCTGGAGCACTGTACAGTCTCTCTTGAAGTGTCCCTTCTTTTTGCAAAAGAAACATTCTGCATCCTTCTTCTTGAACACTTTTTCTTCCTTTGACTTTGCAGGCTTTGCCTCAGCACAATCCAGCCGCTTCTGGATTTCTGTGAGGGCCTTTTGAATTTCTTCCCATTTGGTGCTCTCAGCAGAAGACCCGACAGCATTTACGTTGTATTTTTCCTCCTTCTTTTTCTTCTTGCTGTCAACTGCCTGTGAAATATACTGGAAATGTTTCACCCTATCCAGTGCTTGCCGTATTGACTTTGGGTTTTCTAGACAGACATGCTTGCCTGCTTCCCTATCCCAGCAACCTTAGCAAAATTTAGTGAGAACTTCCTTCCGGCTGTATTTTTCAGGAAGTTCCTTGAAAGCATGTGTGGCTAGAGTGAGGACACAATTAGCCCAATCCTCTAAGGATTCATCCTCACGCTGTTGAGCTAGGTGGAACTTTGCCTTTGAGGTCTCTGCTAGTTCCATGTCTCCAAAGCGTCCCTCTAAAATCTTCATTGTTTTTTTAAAAGAATAACTTCCCCCTTCCTGTGTGACAGTGGTTAAGAAGTCTAGTGACTTACCTTCCAAGCACCAGCTGAGGTAATCACGACTTTCCTTTTTCGTCGAACAAAGAACAGACTGATAACTTTCAAACTTTCGTTTGAACGACAACCAATTTGTCTTGCCATTAAATGTCAAATTCTTTGGTAACAATTTAGGGTTTCCTCTAGAGCGATGTCTTGATGATTTGCCGCTCCGATAACATGCGTTGTTGTCACTATCCTCTGAACTCGAAGACGAATGGTAATGTCGACACCCTATGCCGCCGACTCTTCGATGTCCTTCGCTCCGATCCAGAAGAACTGGAGCTCTGGCGCTCACTACGACGTGTCTTCGAACCCTTACGACCCCGCTTTGAATGCCTATGTCTTCTTATGGGAGAAGGTGAAGGACTGTCTCGCCGGGATCTGGAATTATAACACTGAGAGCGGCGGGTATGGTCATACCAACTCCCACGATGAAACCCAACATGTCCTTTTGACCCTGACCTTGACCCTGACCTTGATCTTGAGGACGACCTTGACCAACTTCTAAGTCCACATCCGGATACTTTGCTTTCCGCTTGAAGCCTAGAAGACTCTCTAGCATCCTTTACCCTGTGTATCTCAGACCGAATCATGTGTGTATCATCTGGCCTAGAAGGCTCATGAACATACCTTGACTTATCTGGCCCAGAAGGCTCACTAGTATTTTGCTTGGTGTTCTCCTTCAGTTGACGCTCAATCAACTCCAGCTGATATCGGTGATGTTCCAACAACTGTCGTCGGAGCCATTCTGGAGAGGGGGTCCTTGAGAATACCATGGGATCCTGTGGTGATTTAGACACCCCTAGTCTTGCAAGTCTCCTTTCTAGGGATTGCATTGAGGTCCGACTAATATGTGATCCCTGTTCAAGATGTGATGATTCAGCGAGGAGGGCTGCGAGTTAATCTCGTCCGGGTCCTCATAATCTTCACCAGACACACTACCCAACACTCTCATGCCAACTTTAGAACAATGCCCTGCTAGTGACCTTGCATTGTTGCCCCTGTCCTTTTGGTACACTGAAAAATCTGACCTTTTGACAGGTTCCTCCTGCTGTTTCACGGAATTCTCCGCTATGGTTGGCCATCTTTCCGTATTCACTTTTTCACAAGGGTTTGTGATCTGATGAGAGTGGGGTAGTGACATGCTTGTCTGCAGTGTATCTGACTTAACATCTGTCAGATTTGTGTTCGGCAATTGGGGACCTATAGGGCTAGAAGCCTCTTCCCTTTCCCGCCGTGACACTGTGGTACCATGGTCAGGTACAGTGAAATCCATGGAGCTGAGATACTCCACGTCCGGTGTTCGCCCCAGTAATATCTGGCGTAATTGGCCCTACCCGTTCCCGTAAATCAACTAAGGTTCTAGCTTTTTATGACCAATTCCTGGTAAACATCTCGCCAGGTCCGATTCACTGGCAGTATTTATCCGAAATGACATTATTTCAATGTTTTGCGAAATACAAATCTAATCGAAAGTTTACAATGAATTTATATGAAAATATTTGTAAAGGAACTGTAATAATGTTATTCCTGTAACAAATAATTACGTACCTATATTGTTACGAGTTATCCTGGGATTGTCCCGTTGATTTCAGTCACGGCCGTGTTTACAAAATCTCCCGTAAGAACGAATCTGTCGTCTGCCACACACACGTAGTCCACCTGTCACTTAACTGTTTTTTTCTAACAATTTACCAACGAAACCGTGAGACACCAGAGTTCGTGGTCACTTCTGACACCATTAAAGTGGCTACTGAATACGTGTACCGTTACTCACTCGTATCCTAAGTGGTCTTGCGGCGACAGCTCCCAAAAACACTCAGACCAGCTTTCATAAATCTAATACGTCTAATGGACAAACTACTAGATACAAGCGCGTAGATACCGATAATACTTTATCGCTTATAAAAGCCTGATACAATGTATTACCCTTAAGGTAGACTTACGAAAGTCATTTTATACAGCAGAGAAAAACAATAACTAATATCGGTGTAGGAGATGTCCACAGAACGGATAGAAAAAAAACAAAGGATATATAAGATACGTCCATTAGGCGGATAGGAACAATAACTTAGGATATATAGGGGATGTCCATTAGGCGGATAGGAATAATAACTAAGAATATATAGGGGATGTCCATTAGACGGATAGACACAATTATCAAGAACATATAGGGGATGTCAATTAGGGGGATAGGAGCAATTACTAAGGGTATATATGGGATGTCCATTAGGCGGATAGGAGCAATTACTAAGGGTATAAAAGGGATGTCCATTAGACGGTTAGGAACAGTAATTAATGATATATTGGGGATGTCCATTAGACAGATAGGAACAATAATTCAGGATATATAGGAGATGTCCATTAGACAGATAGGAACAATAACTAAGGATATATAGGGGATGTCCATTAGGTGGATAGGAACAATAACTAAGGATATATAGGGGATGTCCATTAGGCGGATAGGAACAATTACTAAGAATATATAGGGGATGTCCATTAGACGGATAGACACAATTATCAAAAATATATAGGGGATGTCAATTAGGCGGATAGGAACAGTAATTAATGATATATTGGGGATGTCCATTAGACGGATAGGAACAATAATTCAGGATATATATGAGATGTCCATTAGACGGATAGGAACAATGACTAAGGATATATAGGGGATGTCCATTACGCGGATAGGAACAATAACTAAGGGTATATAGGGGATGTCCATAGGCGGATAGGAACAATTACTAAGAATATATAGGGGATGTCCATTAGACGGATAGACAAAATTATCAAGAATATATAGGGGATGTCAATTAGGCGGATAGGAACAATTACTAAGAATAGGTAGCAGTAAACAGTTAATTTGCATTTTTCCTGAAATTATTTGTCATGTTTGAGATATACAGGTATAGCAGATTGGTTATGAAAAATACATCATTACATGTATATATATTTATAAACTGCATAACAATTACATTAACAGTAGAGAGATGAAATTTTTGTAAATAAAAATTTCCTCTGATTTCTGACATTTGGTTACCTACTGAAAAAATGCTAAAAATGCAAAAATACTGCTACTTCCAACCCTACACTACAACTTTCTAGGAGAAATTTAATTCTAAAGACCTATCTTACAATCAACAACACTGTCATGGTAACAAAGTACTTACATTTCAGCAAATTCCAACTCGGAAATTCTTCATAACATGACCACATGTAAACACTATGAAAATTTCACTTCCTGTAAGCTAGTTTTTGGTGCTACTTCGAGACTGCCCAAATAGTAATCTCCAACACAAAGCTAAAATATTATCCTGAAAAAAATGAAACCCCACATTGTCCACTTTAACATGACAGGACCAATTTTAGCAAGGATTTTTTTGTTTCATTTTTAATTAAAACCTGTATCATGGGGTAATCTAATGAGCAAAAATATCACCCATGGCCACACCGAGAAACTGTGTACTGCTACCTTATACATCACAATTAGTTTTTTTAAACAAAAACTTCAAATTAGCATCTGACACATTTCTTGAAAGTAATTAACAGTGATATGACATAAGATAATCTTAAATGTCATGTGTATGACATCACAAACACCTATGCTTACTGCCCCCACCCTTCTTCAAGTGTAATATTAGAAACCCTATGACATTGCAATATTGTTCGAAAAATAGTCTTTTTTACAGCAGTAACTATGGAAATGTAATTTTATGACAATATTAACATGATTGTATGCCCAATCTATGAGAAATACACACACATCATTGAGTAAAAATCATCAAAGCAGAGAATTTATCCAAAATTCAAAAACTCACACTTTCCTTCTTATTTACCATGGATACCACACCTTAAACTATTGGAATTGCCCTATAATCCAGCCAAATACATTCTAAGGTTGTTACTGACTTATTTTATACCTGTTACCTACTGTAGAACAGTTTTCAAACTGATACCAAGCCTTTTGAAAACAGCTGAAATTCTCACCCACAAGAGCACCCAAATTACCTCCCTTTATGCACCCCTGATGAAATTAAAATAAAATCATTATGAACAAGTTTCAGTGTGTTTTTTTATGTATTTATAGCAATTATGGAAAGGATTAAACTTAATCAAACATAGTAAAGCACTTTTAAATAGATTAATTTTTTTAATGTGCTATTATACATCACAATTTGTTTTTTTGATTTCATTAAAATCCCTCTGAGTGTCTAGAAAATGATCACACGAACAAAACGATATATTGCTTTACTGTGTATCTTGAATAGCTATCGAGTAATGTGGATTTTCCCGCATGGTGTGTTTTGACCTATTCTGCTCTCAAATCAGGAAGAAAGGGAGGTAATTTGAAAAATTAAAACCTCAATAAGTCTTAAATTTACTTGAATAAAGTTGCAATTGAAACTGAATCAGGTAGTTTGTGCTTCAGTGAATTTAGATAACTGGAAAGCAGATTGATACTACATATATAAAGTCTGATGTTATGACATCATGGTAACAGCTGATGTCATCAGTACTATGACGACATCAATTGCTAATGATGGCTTCACCAATGCACTGTGATGTCATAGCGAAGGCTAGAAATCCAACAAAAACTTTTATTATATTCTTAGTAATTGTTCCTATCCGTCTAATTGACATCCCCAATATATCCTTAGTTATTGTTCCTATCCGCCTAATTGACATCCCCAATATATCCTTAGTAATTGTTCCTATCCGCCTAATGGACATCCCGTATATATTCTTAGTAATTGTTCCCATCCGTCTAATGGACATCCCCTATATATCCTTAGTAATTGTTCCTATCCGCCTAATGGACATCCCCTATATATCCTTAGTAATTGTTCCTATCTGTCTAATGGACATCCCCTATATATCCTTAGTAATTGTTCCTATGCATCTAATGGACATCCCCTATATATCCTTAGTAATTGTTCCTATCCATCTAATGGACATCCCCTATATATCCTTAGTTATTGTTCCTATCCGCCTAATGGACATCCCCTATATATCCTTAGTAATTGCTCCTATCCGTCTAATGGACATTCCCTATATATTCTTGATAATTGTGTCTATCCGTCTAATGGACATCCCCCATATATCCTTAGTTATTGTTCCTATCCGTCTAATGGACATCCCCTAAATACCCTTAGTAATTGTTCCTATCTGCCTAATGGACATCCCATATATATTCTTAGTAATTGTTCCTATCCGTCTAATGGACATCCCCTATATATCCTGTGTTATTGTTCCTATCTGTCAAATGGACATCACCAATATATCATTAATTATTGTTCCTATTCATCTAATGGACATCCCCTATATATCCTTAGTAATTGTTCCTATCCGCCTAATGGACATCCCCTATATATAGTTAGTTATTGTGTCTATCCGCCTAATGGACATCCCCTATATATCCTTAGTAATTGTTCCTATCCGCCTAATGGACATCCGCTTTCTAATCAAGGTAGAAAAGCACTGCATGTTTGCACTGTTTACAAAATGTATTAATGTGAGCTTCAATATTGAGAATATACTCCGCCGTTTGATAGATGTGTTGGCATCATTTGTAATGATGGATGATAGAAATTGGGATCACCAAAGGCAAATGATATTGAAAAGGTTCGTACACATTTTTTAACATAACTAATATTCTTTTTAATCTACCTCAAATCTTATGATATATTGTAAACTACATCGTTTTCCATTTGAATGTTACAGGAATTTTGGGAATAACTAGATATCGGTTTTAATTACTTACGTCAGGAAATCATATTTTGAATCGTGCATATGACTTTTTTTAGATATGGAAATACGAGAAATCATATGGTGTCAAATGCGTTAATTTTGTAAAGAAAAAAAAAGAAATGCTTTTTGTTTCATTTGATTTCAGCAGAGACGTATATATCACGTGTTATATATGTCTGGTTTCAGATATGTATTGGAAAGAGAACCAATGTATGACAATAATTTTACCAAGATATTACTATTTATTTTTTACTAAGGCTGACAACATCTTTAACACCTATAAACACCTTATTGAAAATATTACTTTACCATGTTAATTAACTAAGTGCACCAGTCATTAAAATGTAGAATTCTTATAACTAAAATACGTGAACCTGTGCCGTGATTGTTTTTTAGTTGAATTTTGTCGATACAATAGTACTCCAAGGTCTAGACGATTCTGTAATATATGCATTATGATTCTTTTCTTTTAATTTCTTGAATTAATACGTATAAGATCTAAGGAAAAAAGAACATAAAAAATACTATTGGAAAAAATCATTGTGAAGATGGTATCAGGCTGTGGGGAAATATTTACCTGAAGGTAATCAATTAAGAAATAACTAACCCATTGTATGATAAATGTGTATCTCATTCTCTATGTTTTGCATACGCCGTGATGTAAATTCTGATCTCACCATACTACCCTACCTGATCTCCTCATACAGCGGTCACTGATAATTGATCAGTTAGCAGACGACCGCGCAACTCAAGCTGATTCCTCAGTCGTACTGAACTTTATATTTGTTATTTGATCTTTTCATGAAATCTACAATGATTGGTATTCATATCTGAACTTTTTCTATTAGAAAAAATAGATAACAAAGCATCCATATATATTTATAGGTCATTTGATATAACACTAGAAATAGGATAAAGTAGTCGATAAATATAGGATTTGAGTGGGTAACATTCCGATCCATTAGACGTATGAGATTTTCGGGCATCGTTGCACACTAGAGGCAAATACTTATTCAAGGGTGGATAACCGGCCAACTGACGTCATTGCTAAAGCTGCATAAAAAACAGAACAGGCCCCACTCGTATAAAATATCTCAATTTCAGATTTCCTCAAGCCCAGATTTTCCTCAGCTAATATCTCCTTGAAAATATCTTGTATGAAAATTCCTCAAGGAATTTCAGGACATCCTAGCCGAGGAATTCCTCCTGTTCCCTGAGAAAATTTTATACACGCCGTTTTTGAGGAGATGTCAGCAAATATTCACAAGAACATTCCTATCAATGTACTGTCCAGATTTAGATGAAAAAGCAACGTACGTGCCAATTTATAAGTGAAAGCAGTGAATGTTAAGCATGTCAATGTGTCTGACATTCTTGGTCTTACAAAGGTTTACCAGGCAACTACAAATCCGGAGCCATAAATGTGTATTTAACCCGAAGCAAATGAAAATCGTCGTTTTCTTTACAATAAAGAAACAAATACAATTAATATAATCAGTGAATTAATGTTTATGCCAATGAACGTATACGTTCAAAATTCAGCACACTTTTAAAACAAATAAAAAACATATTCCACTAATATCTCGCATTTTTTCTATGCTTCATTTTGGAAATTAGAATTATCTCGGAGAAAATGGCAGACGATGTTGACGACGATTGGACGGAATTGTTTGAATGTGCTTGTAATTACATAAAACAATTTTCCAGAAATTTCGACAGCGAAAAGCTGCTATATTTCTATTCAAGATACAAACAGGTTGAGTATACATTTGTAGCCCTGGCCATATGACGATTTTGTCACAGTACACATGTATTAGAGATAGACGAGTATGTCCAACCCCCTACACTGTACATTGTCTAATCATTGACGTATATACAACACAGAGATTGGCAATCCACAGTTCTTGTAGATTATGGTGATTTTGGTGATTATGCATTTATTTTAAACATTATAAACTGTTTTTAATGAAAGAATAAAAATATTTTTAAATAACCATATTTATTGTGTCACGCAAGACCGGAAAACGATTTACAGGATCAGGCAGGTTATATGTAGAATTGGGCCATTGAACTGTTCTTTGTGTAATAATTTTGTTTTTAAACGGCCTCAGGTACTTGTGTCCCTAGTCCTGGGATTCTCCTGCAAACAAAAATGTAGGGTTTTTTTTGCCAAAATGTTGAATACAAAAAACAAAAAAGGTTATGCAGTAAAAAATTAGGGTCAGCCAACAAACAGGAAACATATATTTTTTTTGATAATTTTCATGATCTTATCCCCAATATACTCCTGAATTTCTGATGCTGGCTATGGCAGTCATCTTCTTTCCAGTTGAGGTAGATGTTCAACATAAACATTGGAGAAACAATTTGCTAAAATATGTGATTGAAATGTGAAATTGAGAGTACAATAATTGTGACATATTCTGATCACCTTTTTCTTCACTTTAAGTGAGTTTTCGATAATTTCAGAATGTCAACACTGAAAGACGATAGGACAGTTGCTGATATTCTCAACTAAGGAATCAACTTTAGATATTATCATATCTAAATCAAATCATGTCATATGGTATGGTCTCCTACCTTTACTGGATACTTCTATAGGGAATGATACATAATTTTTAATCTCTGTTGGAAAGAAACGTATCGACAAGTTCAGATTAGTTGTCACTGTCTAATGTTGATGCCTTTGCACAATGACTTGTTTTATTGATCTACGATAGTAAATAAATATCTTTTATAATTCTGAGAAAGACATGATGAATTAAGGATATGTACACAAGCAATCAATGTAAATAACAATTTAGACAGATGATCCACACACAAAAACATTTAAAGCCTTTTTCAAATGCCTCAACCTACATCCTGACCCGAATCTATCATATTATTAATGTACAGCCAAAAAAGTTGTCAAATTCCTTACTGTCTCATACACTACGTACATCTGTCAGTGGTAGTACACTCCACGCTGGTCAAGGACCTTCAATATATTTTCACTAAAGATGGATTGATTGTACAAGTGTTTCCTTGGAAAGATTATAATACTTCTGCTTGCAGATAAGGAAATATTTTGTTAAAAAAATTTTTGGGAAAAAAATTGTAAGTTATGTTAATGAAAATGAATAAGAATTTCCTGAAGCTTTGCCGAGAATTGTTACTTCTGGAAAATATTTGTTCAAAAGAGCCCCATATGTGTTCTTAGCCAATCATTTGGCTTCTTTCATCCATTGATAATGTAAAAGCTTATACCACTTTCAAGTAAATTTGGCGGTAGACTCAGAGACATACATGATTGAAAAGACTAAGTATTTCCCCATGTGGATTTTCTGTCAAAGTCATTGTTTATAGGGATTACTTGTATACCTGAAATTCATCATGTCTTTTTCTGAACGGCAAAGAAAATTATTTGCTAACATAGATAAAATAAGAAGCAGGCATGTTGCCGCATCATGGATAGACTTCAATACAATCAATGAGAGAGTTGTGGAGGTTGACAGTACTTGTATCAGAGTCCTGCCAGCAGCGGACATCCAAAAGTGATTTCTCTGTCCATGTATTCAAAGCACATTCATGTTTACTTCATAACTTTCTAAATAGTCAAAGTAGAACAATGAAACTTTGTATGGTGGTTAACCACTATTAGAAGATGTATCTCTTAACAAATTTACATTTGTCCACAGAAGGTCAAGTTCTCAAACATAAAGAATTTTTCCTGGTATCCTATATACCAATATGTTATACTACAAGAAGATGTTTCAGCTTCATTACTTTTAAACCAGTCATAGGGATGAAACTTCACATTCTTGTCAACCTCTCTGAGAAGTCAAGATGAGTTGCATACTTTGTTTCGTCCCTGTCATTAATTACAGAATTTTCCAATTAAGTTAGGAGACAATGCCATGTGGCAGCTGGCTTTATTTCATTAGGACGTTGTAGTAATTGTAGCTGATCCAGTGCATTGAGAATTTGACTTATATATCTTGTATCATATGTAATGACTTTCAGAAACTCCTTACTTATAGAATAGAAAAGTTAAGGTCTTTTAACAAAACCAATAGAACATTTAAATGTGACATTTTCATGACAAACACTGTCACCTTCATCAGACAACTGACCGATGTGAAGCATATTAGCAGTGATGTATGGAGTGTATTAGATGGTACAGAAACGACCAACTTTTTCAGCAGTACTATGTTCTGAAATATAACTGGCCTAGAATTGAAAGGAGAAGAAAAATTAAACAGAACATTTTACCATGATTATCATCATCATTCTCTCCATTGGACAAAGCAACAATAATTTTGGCCTTGTTATTATCAAGAATTTCTCTTCTGCCAGATAACCTGCCTCAACATGAAATATGGCCATTCTGTTTGACCAGTGTCAGAATGCTTGCCATGGCAAATTATCTTAGATTCATGAGAATATCGGTGATTAGATCATAAAAAAAATCATCCGGTGACAAAATGTGTCATATGACCATCATTTTAGAATGTTTTTCAGAATTTGAAAATTATGTATCCCTGTGCTTCAGTTAGGGAGGGGTTTGGAAAGATGTTATGCTCAAAGATACACTCGCTACCATCTCTCATTCTCAAATTTCATTTGTCAGTATAATTGGTCAGTATTTTCTCAAAAATTTACAATGTACAACTTGAATATTTTCTAACTTGACTTGGGTAATTTATACATTCCAGGCCACAGAGGGAAGATGCAATATAAGCAAGCCAGGAATTTTTGATTTCCAAGGAAAGCAGAAATGGTAATTAGTTATGTATATGTTTAGATTCAATTATCATTTCATACTTACAGTGGCTTCACAGTATTGATGTTTTTGAATGCCAAGTATGCCAACACATCAGTTTTTGGAAATTTCTGTTCCAAATTTTTTGATAAAAATGTAGTTATTTTGCTTTTTACTAGATAACTTATATGCATTGTATTACATATCATTGTCATCTGGTTATCCAGGGAAGCATGGAAGAAGTTGGGAGATATGTCAAAGAAAGCAGCCATGTTTCAATACATCACTTACCTCGGAAACATAGAGCCTGAGTGGCAAGAAAAGGTAAATCTGAAAACTATTGTACAGTACAACTTATTTACATCATGACCAGAAAAAATAATTCCTGATACTTTTAACTTATGTCAGGATTTTCAATATTTCTAAAGGTTATATATGTATATGTACTGTATTTTAACTTGTCTGATTTTAAACAAGTCTGAACAAAATGTGTACATTCATTTATTTCATTTTTATCTCTGTGTCTACCGAAAAGGCTTATGCATCAAAATGTTCACCCGTTTTGAGTTTTTTTCTTTGTTTTTGTTTTTTTAGCAATATTGTTGCTTTCTCAATATATCGCTGATGGCATGAGCAAAACTTTTAATGGACTGGACAAACACAGGATGCTTCATATGTGTGTATCAGACTTTCCTGATTCTTCATAACACGCTGAAAGTGCCTGCTTCCAAAATTAACGGCATTTTTGCTAGCTTTTTCATCATCAGCAGCTTTTCAAAATCAGTACTTTTCCTTCTAACAGCAAAGCCTTTCTTTTTAGCCCACCTTCATCATATGGTGGGCAGTTCAAACTGCCCTACATCTTAAGACCATGATCCATCCGTAAACAATTTGAATTTAGGCCTGATCAGAGAAACAATATGGCTGACAGGCAGCCATCTTGGATTTTGACCATGGAAGTTTGTTATTACTGGTTCTTGGAAATATTAGATGGATCTTTCTCAAATTTGATATCTAGTTTCCCCTTGGGTCCAAGTTGTTCTTACCTGTACCGGTATGAGCAATAATTTTTCAGTACAAGGGAACTCTTGGCCCAGTATTGATATCAGCCTGTCATTATTCATTATAATAGACACAAGAATTATTTTCCTGTGAAGGTGATTTGTAGATTTTTGTTTTTGGCTTAAAATTCACATATGAATGTTTTAACACAGATTATTCAGAGAGGATCAGGGAAACTTGAAAGTGTAAGGCTTGATTAATTTGAAATATCAAGCACCAGTGTTGTGAACAGAATATTAGATACAAAGAGAAAAATAATTATTCTGATGTTAAAGAAAAGTGGGAAAAACAACAAACTGTACATTTTTAAGTTGACATTCTGTTTGAAATAAACTGTAGTTTAAGATGCAGGATACAAAAAGCATTTTCATACATTAGATATTGTCACTCCATAAGTACATTTTGATTAAAATGTTTCTTGTGTGTTTCTTTCAAGGACTGGTATATGTTTTAACATGTCATTGGGGAACAAGGAAATTGCTCCTGTAGATTATATTCTTTTCCCAGAAAAGAGAAAGAGTGTGTTTTACATGCGTGTTATAAAGAAATTTTTTAATTGATTATGCTACGAAGTGTGTGAAATATGTGAAAATCAAGAAATCATAATCATGAATAAGTTATAAATGTACATACATAATTGACCCTTTTATATATCATTAACCTGATCATTACTAAGTTATTGATAATCATCCCTTTTTTTCAGGTTTGTTAATGCAGACTACTGCGCACAGCCTCTTTCATGGTCAGGCAATCATGATTGCCCATGAAAGGGGGTTAGATATTCAGTGGACTGTAGTGACCAGTGATTCATAACCCACACTTTTTAGGTCATTAGTCCCAATAGGTCAAGATTACCTATAGCCATCATGTTTCATCCTCTGTGTGTAAATATTTCTGATTTCAACCAAATTTTGGTCTGAAATATCATTAGGCATGAGCAATCATTTCTGAATTCAGAAAGTTTATTCTAGGGCAGGTGGGTGGGATGACAGGACTCATTTAGTTAAAGGCATGCTTTAAAACACTAGGATTTTAACCAAATTTAGTACAAGTCATTACCTGGAAAGGACAATTAATTCATATCTTTAGAAAATTGATTTGATCCCTAGCAACAGAGGAGAGGAGCCCCAAAAAATTAATTTTGTTAGAGTTTACTTTGAAACTACTCTTTCTTGATACATGAACAGATTTCATTCAAATTCAGTCTGACTCATAACTTGAGAAGAGATTTTTTTCATGTCGTGAGTTAAGAAAATTGACTTTATGGGACTGGGAGGCTGGACCCTTAATGGAGGATTTAGCTGAAATTTGCTTTCCAAAACTATTATTTCTAAATGCCAATGTCAATTTCAACAAAATTTCATTGGAATCATTACCTCGAAAGGGCAGTAATTTCTTAAATGAATGATTTGATTGTCAGATGACTGGTAAGGCCCATTGGCATCTTCTTCATTGTAAGAGATGTGAAGTATACAGCAGTGTCACATTGACATATAATAGTGGAGTTTCAAAACAGGAGTAAATGTTTTTTGCTGTACCGAGTACACTGTATAAAGAATTACCAATAGAATCATTCAAGCGTGGCCTTTTAATTATTGATTGATACCTTCATAGCCTCTGCATTCACACCTGCACAAATTGTATGCTTATCATGCATGTTACATTTACATGTTGACCTATTTATACCATCCTTGATGCTCCAGGGATTACACTCATTATAACTCTCTGCACCCATGGAACATTTCATGGCAAAGTTGAAGGCACAAGCAAAGTAATTTGATTGGTCTAGAGCTGATTTCAGGAGGAAAAGGAATGACCAATCACATACTGATACATTCCTTTGATGATTACAAAGGGGCAGCACCCAACTTGAAAGCCAGTACAACGAACAGTTATGTGACCTTGATATTTGTTTGTTGTCTGTCAAAGGATCAAGCTAGTCTTTTCGTCAAGATGTTGCGAATGGAACCTTCATTTCTGCCATGAAATATTCTAGGGGTGCAGAGAGCATAATCCCTGGAGAATCAAGGATGATTCATAATCTTTTCTTCACTTTTAAAGAGAGGCTAGAGACACTTACGGAAATTTCGCTATAGATACAAGAATTCCAAACAAAGATGGTGTTATGTTGTCTGCAGAGAATTCACATTCAAACTTCAAAATAAAAAAGTGGAGTTAAATTTGAGGATTTTTTAACAGAAATTTGTATCAATCCTAGGCTTATTGATTGTAAGGAAGTTTAACTGAAATCTTCTCTCTAAAACATATGTCAAATGGTAATGTAATTTCAATTTTTTTTCACTTTTTGCTTGACTTTACAGGACATATCACTCTCTTTACATTTGAATATACATATAATTTTTCAATATTCACAGTGTGTGTTTTCCATTGGACTTATAAAGAACATTGAATTTTGTAGATAAATAAGATTGACTGCAGTGATGGAGGTGGTGACTCTGTGGGCAGATGCTGGGTGTCTGTCAGTACTATGTCTAACACTGACACAGAGATAGCAGATGAAAATAAAACTCTGTTTGACTGGTGTAAGGATGGAAATACACTACAAGTTGAGAATATCCTGTCAGGTTGTGATGGTAATGAAGTTAACATCACAGATGAATCAGTAAGTTTTTGTTAGCATACATTTGATGTTTGTACATATTTTTTCAGCTGATAAATAGCTTTCATGTGTATGTAATTGTGTGAAAATTTGATATTCAAGAAAGTCTCTTTTTTATATTAATAGGCAGTCTTTTACTGTGTGTATGTACCAGGACATTACCCTGTATTCCTCTCTTTTTAGACACAAATAATGTTATAAAGGTCATACTGTGGTATGCACGTCTGTCCCACACAGTTTTACTCTCATTATTCTAGCAACTTTATTTCTTAGGGGGTTTGATAAAACATTATACATTGGTCAGTTACCTAAGACATGTTTAATGTTTCAGAAGTCTAAGGTCATGGTCACTGTAATATGTACTATTTGCTCTAACTTTATGCAAAGTTCACCTATGATAGCACCAAGGATATGATTATCATTCAGAGGTTCAAGGTCAAGGTCACTGTTATCTGTACTATTAATACATGTAGTACATTTTGTACATATCATGTATGAAAATTAAATCCGAAGATTACTTTGTGTCCTCAGGGTTCTGAAGTCAAATTCGAGAACATTGTTACTAAATCTAGAAAATCATGAACAATTTCTCCCTTCTGACTTCATTTCTGTAGGAAATTTGATCAACTTTGTTAAAAAAGTCATGGATGAGAATTAATCTCAGATGAATTTGTCTCAAGATCAAGATCACAGTTATTTGTAGAAAATCATCAACAAGTATATACAGCCCATGTCCTCATCAGTTATCAACGATCAGCTGATTATCATTCAGCTGTTGAATAAATAATGTACCATTGCTTATTATATTATGTCTCCTGTATTCATATCATCAGAATCATTTTGCACTGTCTTCATAGCCTGGTATTCAGTTCTTTGGTTATAGGTAAATCACTTGTTTCAGGGAATGACCCTTCTCCACTGGGCGTGTGACCGTGGTTTATCAGAGATGGTGGAAGTCCTAATTAAACTAAAAGCCGATATTAATGCACAGGTAAAATAGGACACATGTATTATATTTGGCTTATCCTGAGGACTTACAAAATAGCAATGTCATCATTTTTTGTAACCCTACATAGTAAGATTACTTGTCACAAAATATCTGACATTATGCCATGATGTGTTGTCCTCAATATTTCAGCATTTTCTTCTGACATAATGATATAGACATATCATGAATGGCACATGCATAGTGTAACATGGTAATTTGAAGGGATGTCATCATTTTTTAAATGGCTTTCATCCATTTTTAAGGTTATCTTCCAACAATGTTCACTGCAACAGACTGCCTGAAACTTGTTAGATAGTTTTGCTGAAAGAATGTTGGTGTTGTGCCAATAAATTACTTCATTTTCAAGAGCCAAGGAATGAGATGAAAAATATCACCCAGCAAATTCTACCAAATAGTCAGTCCTAAAGTGGTATTGTAGTCCTTAAATGTAAATCAAATGGTGAACAGTTTCTGAAATCATGGAAAAACGAGTCGGAATCATCTGTTACAGGGAAAAATGATCTTATGTTACATATCACATATAGAGCACTGATATGGGAAAAATAGCTTTTATTACTTGTCCTATCTTGTTAAAATGGTCTAGATAAAATGGTCTAGATTGAAATGTTTTAGATAGAGCTGAAAATGGACAACTTTGGAATTTTCTGTCAAACAAAAAATCAGATTATCTATTTTTGTTCCTATTGAATATCATGACCTATTCTGAGCAAGACTTTTCCTTGAATCTGTATTAGACATTGGAAATGTTTTAGACAGAGCTTAACATGGACAGTTTGAAATTTTCTGTGGAATTAAAAAACAATTAACTCAAAACCAGATTATCTATTTTTGTTCCTATTGAATAGCCAAACTATTTTGAGATATTACCATTGTTGTGTGCACTGGCCTTGTTTTATGTCAATGTTCTGAAATCTAGTGATGACATGGCAGTTGGTTATGCATTTGATTACACCAGGTTAAATTATGGTTTTAGAAGATACAGTACAGGCCTTATTGGTCAAACAGATTGACTGACAGAAGGATGACATGTACAGTGCAAACATGTCATCCTCCCCTCTGCCAGTAATATATACATTTGATAGGGAACTAATTGCAGTGGAGCAGTTCTTTCCCTTCTTTAGTTTACCAAGGATTTGAATTACACTCTCATTTATATGATTAATGTTTTGTTTTCAGGACCTTGAGCAGCAGACACCACTTCATTTTGGTAAATATGACTTTTATCCTTTGCCATACTCCCCTCCAGTCCCCAGTTTCAATTAATTCAAGAGATTAGTCGGTATACTTTCTGACATGTCAGTATTCTAGTTGAACATTGTAAATTAATCATTCAAAGGTTTTCTTTTAGCTCAATGTTTAGCTAACTGATTTATCTCTGAAGTACATGTGCTATCAGAAGAAACATGTGGCTATCTAAAATTTAGCAAGGCATAATATTTACACCATGGTATCAAAACATCAAATTTCTACATATAGTTAGATTTATTATCGTGTTCATTTTTCAAGGTTAAAGTTTCGAAGGTAACAATTTACAACTTTGAAAATAAAATGTAACATCATGTGTATCAAATAAATTGTATCTCATGAATCCCTGAACAAAATACATTAATATTCACACTATTGTATTGAAACATCAGACTCTACACTACATTTTAATGTACATCATTCAAGGTCAAAGGGCTCCATTTCATTAGAATGAAATGATTTTGAAATAAATAATTTTTCCACGTCAGTTGATATAATTCTGAATATTCTAAGCAATATCAAACACACAATTTGTGTTGTTTGTTTTGAAGTTTGTATGGTTGATCTCACTGATTTAGATATAAAATTGTAGTTATAGACAAAATGAATAGAAGATACACAGTGTACAACCACCATTATATCACTTACCAGGTATGGTGATTAAAGAATGTTGAGTTTCAGTTTCACATTGGTAATTGTGAAGTATGGCTTGACAGTTTTGTGTTTGGATCAGAATTGCTTGAATCATGGTATCTCATAATTGATGATTCTGATTGATTTAAGAATATAAAGTCCTGTGTAGCTTAACCTGATATACCATTTGTTTTGTTTGGTAGCTGTGTGTTGTGAGCAGAAAGAAGTTGTACGACAGTTGTTACACAATGGAGCCAGTTTGTCCCTAAAAGACTGTGATGGCTTAAATCCTGCAGAACTAGACACATCTATAGAAATAAAAGAGTTATTTGAAAAATACATCTGATCATGGATGGATGATTTCTTAAACATTCCTTGGTTCAATATCAGCGGTCCTATTTGTTTCTGTGTTGGAACATCATTGAGTGAAATTGAAATACAAAAAGAAAGATGTGATGGATAGATTTGACAGAAAAACAAATATGATAGCCTCTTTTACAATAATATAATTCTCCTAATGCGTCTTTTTAACATTAATATCATATTATCACTGTGCTTGTTGTAATAACTGTTCATTGGTAAAAAAGACTGATTTCAGCATACTTCTGTGTCTCTTTTATGTCAACAGAAATTTTGGATTGGAGGCATTCCCATCAAAAACCTTCTCTTTATGACAATATGCAGTACACATATTGTATAGATGTGAAAGATCTATACAAGCACATTAGATAAGAGTGTAATTAGCATCATTTATAGTCACATAGTTTATTTTAAGTTTATGGGCATTATTTATACATTACCGTCGATTTCATTATGAAAGAAAAAAACACTTGTGTGACACAAACTGCATATTTTTCTTATCATCATACTTTCGGACAATACATGATTTTAAACAGAAAAAAAGTTTGGTGAAAATCAATATCAAAATGGATCTCAGAGCAGTGCAGACAGGACTTAGAATTTCATATTTGTGTGAACAGATTCCTACATTTAAGTACTTTTTATGGGTCACATCCATTTCAAGTTGGTTTTACAGCATACCATGTTTGATATGTACCAGAATAAGAAAGTGCATTTAAATGATGTACAAATATTTTGAAAGGATGATTACAAATTGTTAATGAAGGTTTTGGTTGTGTGTGTTTAAATATATTACACTATTTTATACTATCTCTTATCATTTTAATTCATCACTGTGCCAGATAATTGGTTTGCTAATTTAAAGTTGAAATCGTCGGATGTTGTGGGTGTTATCTGATTTACTGAGTGAAATATGGTTCAGAGAACATGGATTGATTTTAGTCTGATGTTTAATATGAAATAAATCTCAGAAGTGAATAGAAAAGGTGTTGAAACTTTATTTTTAGGTTATTTGACCCAAAGGGTCAAAATGACCTACATTTGTTTGTGTATTTCCATTGTGCTTTTCTGTTGTTATGTACTGTGCATTTCCGCCATCCATAAACTTTTCCTTTAAAACAGTACTGCATAGCGCGTGGGTGGATTTCAATCCCATCTGGTCAGAAACAACATTAGGAATGGAAAATTATTTCTTCAACTTAGAAAGTTGATTTAACCCCTAAGCACATGGGAGCAGGGCGCCAAAAGTGGAAGTTAGACAATATTTTGTTTTCAAAACCGAACTCTCCCTTGATGCTTGAAGGGATTTCACATAATTTGGTCTGAAACATTATTAGCGGGGCAAATTATTCAGAACGTTTATTTGACCTCTTGGGTTGCAAGGCCCTAAAAGGGAAATACAATATTTTGCAATAAAATGCTACACTTCTTTAATGCTTTAATGGATTTCAACCAAATTTGTTTTTGAACATCACATATTGGAGAGTGGCAGTCATATTAAATGTGCATGAATTGATCCTGAGATAATTCTAACCAAATCTCATTTTTCAGTTTGGTCCAAAATCCAACATAACACATTTTGAATGACTATTCGTTACTGCCTCTCTAGTTTCATTCATACTATCAAGAAAAATATTTGAGTTTGTTAAGGGAAAGGAAACAGATGATATATTATTGTTTTCAAGCCTGGTCAAAACTTTAACATGGTAGCAACAGTAGCTATTTCATAGCATGATTGTGCAACTAATTTAAGAACAAAACTTACCATTTATGTTTATGATACTTTCTAGGAATATTCAAAATTTGAATTCATCAGATTTGTTAGACCACCATCAGCAAGTGATGGGCTATTCTTATTGCTTTTTCTATGTTCCGTCTGTCCATACATTGATTGTCAGATGACCATCTTGCTTTTTTGAAAAATGGATAATGAAGGAAAATAGACCAGCAATTTGCCATGTGGACATATGTTGCTCACCTGATCTACAGCTTATAAAAGATGACATTATTGGAATTTCAATATCTTATATCTTCTTCACAATTAGCTAATTTCTCTGACCAAGAATGTGGATTAGGGTCATTTATTTGAACAGACTTTGCAGTCCACCATTATGGCATGCTACTGGTCAAATGTAACCTTCTGTTAAGTGATAATTCATACAAGATTTTTGAGAACTTTGATTTTATCTTTGTGAAAAAGTCTCCCTTCATCTCAGTATGCTACAGACTCAATATCATGATTGTTGGCATCATGGTTACATGTAAAGGCTTAAATGAGTAAGAGAAACTACTGACTTCAGAATCTTTTCCCTGTAGGTCAATGAATGTGATGCCTACAAAACATTACTTATATATTGCTCAATCATATAATTCCAAAGTCTGGTATTAAACAAAAAGCTAGTGCCGATCACATTATACTTATAAAGGCACCTGGACAAGGATATGTTTTGAATAACATTTCACATATTACATTATCCTCAATCTCCACAAAATAAAACAGACTGCTACAAACTTGATTTTCATCTGGACTTAAAAATGAATTTATTGAACTAATATTGTAGATGACAGATCTTTGATAGCCTTCTATTCAAATCTTGAACAATAAACAAATTATTTACAATATTATATGGATTTCATTATTAATATTCTTTTCTATTTTGTCAAAACATATTATAAAAAAAATTAATGGATTTTCTGTCTCATGTTTAAAGAGAAGCTTTATCAGTATTTTAAATGATTAATACATTGTTTACCCTTCCCACACACGAGTAACAACAGATACATTGTTTACCCTTCCCACACACCAGTAACAACAGATACATTGTTTTCCCTTCCCACACACCAGTAACATTAGATACATTGTTTGCCCTTCCCACACGCCAGTAACAAAAACATATACATTGTTTACCCTTCCCACACATCAGTAACAACAGATACATTGTTTGCCCTCCCCAGACATGAGTAACAACAGATACATTGTTTACCCTTCCCACACACCAGTAACATTAGATACATTGTTTACCTATCCCACACACCAGTAACAACAGATACATTGTTTACCCTTCCCACACACCAATAACAACATATACATTGTTTACCCTTCCCACACATCGGTAACAACAGATACATTGTTTGCCCTCCCCAGACATGAGTAACAACAGATACATTGTTTACCCTTCCCACACACCAGTAACATTAGATACATTGTTTACCCTTCCCACACACCAGTAACCACAGATACATTGTTTACCCTTCCCACAAACCAGTAATAACAGATACATTGTTTGCCCTTCCCACACACCAGTAACAACATATACATTGTTTACCCTTCCCACACATCAGTAACAACAGATACATTGTTTACCCTTCCCACACATCAGTAACAACAGATACATTGTTTACCCTTCCCACACATCAGTAAAAACAGATACATTGTTTGCCCTTCCCACACACCAGTACAACATATACATTGTTTACCCTTCCCACACATCAATAACAACAGATACATTGTTTACCCTTCCCACACACCAGTAACAACAGATACATTGTTTTCCCTTCCCACACACCAGTAACATTAGATACATTGTTTGCCCTTCCCACACACCAGTAACAACATATACATTGTTTACCCTTCCCACACATCAGTAAAAACAGATACATTGTTTGCCCTTCCCACACACCAGTAACAACATATACATTGTTTACCCTTCCCACACATCAGTAACAACAGATACATTGTTTACCCTTCCCACACACCAGTAACAACAGATACATTGTTTACCCTTCCCACACATCAGTAACAACAGATACATTGTTTGCCCTTCCCACACATCAGTCATATCCCACACATCAGTAACAACATATACATTGTTTACCCTTCCCACACATCAGTAACAACAGATACATTGTTTGCCCTTCCCACACATCAGTAACAACATATACATTGTTTACCCTTCTCACACATCAGTAAAAACAGATACATTGTTTACCCTTCCCACACACCAGTAACAACAGATACATTGTTTACCCTTTTCACACACCAGTAACAACAGATACATTGTTTACCCTTCCCACACACCAGTAACAACAGATACATTGTTTACCCTTTTCACACACCAGTAACAACAGATACATTGTTTACCCTTCCCACACATGAATAACAACAGATACATTGTTCACCCTTTGCAGATATGAGTAAAAACAATGATATAGTAGTCTTACGTTTCTCAGACGTGCAGTATCTGTTTGGCTCATTTCATCCATATACAGCAAAATCAAGCTAAATTCCCCTATTTTGAATTTAAATGCACATTATCCTAACTTTGTATATGATTTGCGATAGGAATTTGTATGTGATTTGCGAGATGAATTTGTTTGTGATTTGCGATAGGAATTTGTATGTGATCGATGCTGGTTAGTTTCACTTGCGATTCCGTTGATAAAACCTTGCTTTACATGATGTATATTGTCTATGAATTGCAGAAGACACGTTCTTATAAAAGCTTAAATGACGAACTGAATACTCTATTATGGCGTATTTGATGACGTGATTACGGTTCACGGCGTCAACAATTTTAATGTTTGTCCGTTGCTAAAGAAGTTATGAGAGGTTTAACGTTTTTCATTTGGAAATCAAACAACTTACCTATATATATATATATATAAGTTGTGTCGAATTATTTTTGCATGATACTCGACAAAGGGCTGTAAATGAAAGAAATACCCGCAACTTGAACTTTTTACGAGTTCCCTAACAACGTAATTCAGCACCTGGTAACACATTACATTTCCTGTTCTATAAAAACAGGTTCATATAGGGAAAAGTTGTTTTTACTTGTTTTTCTTTTTCTTTTATCCAATTAGAATTCTTATTGTTCATGAATACCAGCTAAAACTAGTGTTGGCGTTGTTTAGCAATAAAATGACGTCAACATTTTTTATGAATCGGTATTACATCGTATATGTCTGAGATTCTGGAATAGATATGGGCTTTGCAGCACAAACAGTCGGTATTTTTCTGGTTATTTGGTCAGACTTCTTGCACACGGTTTATAAGTAATATTCAACATATGACGTATTCCACTTAGCTTAACGTATGTACCGACTCGATGTCACCGTCGTAGAGCGGTATCAACTATATTTTGATATATGATAAAAAGTCATTTCAGCAGTGGATCATTTATTCTTCAAAGATCAATAATGTGATAAAACAAACCAAACAACATTAAAACATGTATGACGTCATAGGTCATACCCTCAAGGTTGAGCTACATTTAGCGTTGTTATACGTTGGAATCTGTTAATCATATAATGTCCTGCCTCCTCCCTCGGTTAGAAATATTTTAGATTATAAAAGAATTGTTCGTTATAGAAAAATAAGAATGTAAATTTGGTAATGCGCACATGTTTGATTCACAACAGACTACAAATGAAAAATAACGTATCTGCACAGTTCCGGGTGGACAGTTCGCCTTGAGGCGTTAGGACCACACACTGGGAAGAGAAATCTGGTTGACCATTACCCCAAAACAAATTAGGAATGCCTGCTCCCTTTGAATCCATGTATTTACTTCCGTCATAGAATCCGGAAACAAAAAGCCCTGGCTCGTTAACTGTAAAATAAACATAATTACTACATGTTAATTAAAGACTGCGTGTGTTGTACTTTAAAGATGGCAAGTTTGAAGACTTACCTATGTGAAAAAGGTGTTTGGTACCATTCCTTACAATATAAGTATCCTAAATACCTAAATTAAAATGCGAACAAAATTAATATTTCTGATACATTCAATTCGTTACAGTCCAGTGGCAACATTTCGTGCAGAAATAATGATGGTTTCCGTATATCGACACATAGATATGAAGAAAGCATGACAGTGTGGTTATATACAAAAACAAATATCTCTAAGTGGTGACAATTAAATGGAAAAGATCATTTCATATCAGCATACAACTCCTATGATGTCCAAATAGCGACATCAATAT